GCTATAATTAAAATGTTAAGGAAGCCCTAATATCTTTTTGGCCTGATATGACCCTAACGTTGTAGACAAATAGTTAATGACATATGAACAAATGAGTGGAATTGATCAATCCATAAACATTCATTTATTTTTAAAATAGACCATGATTCATTTTTTAAAAAAAGCTAGCAGTATAGTAACCCGTGGAATGTTAAGTAGCCAATTCACTGGCAGTTTAACAAGTCCAACATTGAGGGCCTACTCGACATAATGGAGTGTCGATTGTGACAGACGCGTGCGCACTCAACACTCACCAGCCGCGCCCCATAAATCCCTTAAGCCCTTTGTATTTGCTCATGTCGATCAGCCGGCACTCGAAAAAAGTATTACCGTTGCGAAACGGGTTTCACGGCCTACGAAGCGACCACACGCATTTTTTCTCTATTTCATATATGTCTCTTTTAAGATTAACCGTATCTCTTTTAAAACTATTCTTGTAGTGTTTTTAAGTTATATTTATTACAGTTCGTACCGCATTGTACTGCGCGTTATATCTTTGACGCGTTTAAAGTCACTTTATATAAAAATTGTAGTAAAGATTGTTTAGTATTGAATTTATATCATAAATCATAAGACCGTCACTTTAAATGGAACAAAAAACAAAAAAATTCTAAGTAAATTATTTGCAATAATTACAACGACAGTATCTAATCTTATGTTAATGATATACGAGTATATATTTAAAATATCCATTATCAGTGAGCCCTGACTGAACATTTTACTTTGCTAAATTCTTTCTAACTATTACACTCTCCGTTTTGCACAATGTTCAATCAACGATTAAAATCGGTCGGATTTGTGGCATTTGCGCCGATTATAAATCTATTAGTGGCATGCGACAACAAAACAAAAAATTCAAAATATTTGCAATAATTACAACGAGCTTATGTTAATGATATACGAGTATATAAAATATCATTATCAATGAGACAAAATACACTAATCGGCTTTTTTTTCTTATTGTTTTTATTAAGCACCAGTACTTTAATATGACATAAATAATAGAAGTCTTGATGCTCTATAAAATTGATCGATGTATATCTGTCGTCAAGTTATCACATATTATGATGTTTATTTTATTTATGGTATTTTGGAAAGGGTTCGAAACGTCGAGAATTTCAAAATCAAAATAAAAACGAGATAAAATCCGTAAAACAGTATCATTTAATATAGTATTTTAATTTATTTTTAATACAAAAAATAGAAGAACAAAAAGCGATTGTTACCTTACTCGTAACAATTTTGACATCAGTCAATTCTACGTTTAGGGTGTAGTCATCCGACACCTCTCGAACCGCCACAGATGGCGCTTTTATGTCAATCGTCATAATTAGGGGATTACGACCCTCTAATGACATGTTACATTGAATTTCTATTACGCCCCCGAACAAATGTTCTCTATTTTGTGCTACAAATAAATATTGTTCATTGACTTTTCACAGATCTTACGTGATTTCTGTATCAACCCTAACAATTTATATTTATTAATTTAACAATACGCAAGAACTTCAATTTATTTTTACCGTATTTTATTCAGTATGATGATTAAATTTTATAAATTAAAGTTAAGTCTATATTGGAAGAATATATTGCTTTATAGAAATTATGCTTTCATTTATTCCCTTTTTGGAAATAAAGGTTTCACTCCTCGCCTTACTTCCACCAAAAAAAATTAAAGATATTTCTTTTATTAAACCCGCTTTTAACTATTTATAAATTTTTTTTTGTTATGCCAAAAGTTGCCAAACGAGCAGACGGGTCACCTGATGTTAAGTGAATACCGCCGCCCATGAACATCTGCTACACCCGAGGCTTACAGATGCGTTGACAACCTTTTGAAAATTGGGCTCCGGCTACCTCACTCACCAGACGAAACGCGAAAGTATTTGTCATACTTCCACTTTACGCCGGTCTTCTGTGAGGTCGTGGTACTTACCCGGACGGGCCTGCCCATTCGTGCAACAGCCGAGGCTGCTGCGTGGCCCTACCAAAAGTTACTGTCACAAAAGTAACGTTGTAATAATAATATATACAGTACATTAAGTAATATTCGAATCGTACTGAATTAACACTACTTTTTACTAAATTCTACAATTGCTCGTGTTACACTGCAGAAAACTCGAAACACCTCTGCCTAAAAAGCTCCGCGAAAATTGAAAAAAAATTTAAAATGTTAGCTAACAGCGTAATTGGCGCCAAAAAAATGACAGGTAAAAAGCAAAAACCAATATACACGACGTCAAAGCAGGTAAAACATGTAGACGAAAAAAGAAACCTTTTAAACGCTAAAAGGCTCCGTTTACCGCGAACGCAAACACTTACCTCCACGTTAATTAGTAAGTAGCTGGAACGCCGTCAAAGGGAATGCATGAATACTTGCCAACCGACCTCCAACGGCGCTTTTAAAATCTCCCCCTCTTAATTCAGAAGCTCAGAGAAACCAAAGGTAAACTGATTACTCCGCCAATACGGCATTTTTAAAAGCGCACGCAGAATTTATACAGACGGAATATAGAAATAGATAACGCTCTAAACCTTAATAGTTCCAGCCCGAATAACGTTTGCCTATGATATCTATATTTTTATGGTCGACTGCGCGGAATATCGGACTGAATGAATTTGCAAAACAACATTTTATTTTAAAGTATTATAAAACATTTATAGTTAGAACAGATTCGTCATCAAGAATCATCACCAAGATAAAATCAATATAATCTGCACGATTTCATCGAATCGATACTTAATGATTTAGTTATATGAAAATATTTTCTAAATTAATTGCGTGCATTAGGTATATTTTTATTTATTTATGTATGTGCGTTATTTATGCGGTGTGTTATCGTGTTGATGGGGATAGTCGTGTCATCATCAGGGAAATCGAGGACGTGTCGAGGTCTTAGCTATTTGCGGCAGAACGTACCTACCGGTAAGGTCCTAACCCAGTAACTCAATTCTGACACAGTTTAGCTAGTAAACTGGTGAATGAATGAATAAATATTTTAATAATGAATGAATGTGCTGGTTATTTTTAGGTTTAGGTTATTTTTATTTTATGTTATAAGATACTTTGTTCTTTGATGACTCCGTGGCGCAGTTGTCAAAGTTGAAAATATTCGTAGCATCACATAACAAGAAGTAATCACAAATGTGGTTACTGCTTGTCTAAAATACAATAAAGATCTATTTTATGAAATTTATTTTGCTATTTGCTACCTACAGCTACCTATACCTATTTACGATATGAAACATTATATCTCATTTAGCCTTTATATCACTACATTGTACTAACTTTATCTCTGTTAGCATCTCGAGTTGAAGGCGTTATTTCATTCGTAAATAAATAAACATTCACACTGGCCGCTATCAAATTTAAAGCGGAGTGTGAAGGACGCTCTCGTAACTGGCTCCTTAACAGTATTAGCTAAAGCAACACAATCGTGTGCCGACGACGCGAACTTGACCTACGAAAGATCGATGCCGCCAGTCGACCGCCCGCTATGCAAATAAGAGATGGGGCGTTTCTTTCAGACCGAAGCAGACGTGATTGCGGGGCCCACTCTACTAAGACCTGTTACGTTTAAGCACCAACATCCAATTTTATCGACGTATGATACTTAGGAGTGGAAAAATCTCTTCTACCTTCCAATTTTTTAGCTGGGACAACTTCTGGCTGTGGTGTTTTGAGGTTGTTTGGCGTTGAATTGAAAAACGAAACAGAAACTCACAATTTTCAAGATGTTATTAAAAGGAAAGTAATACTCAGGAAACTTTGTTCAAATATATTGATTTGCGTAATACTATCATTAAAATAATAACGTCACCTCTACCGTTCACGTGGTGGCTGAACATAAATCATGTTATGGCCTAATCATGTAATGACCTAATCCACCTTTCTTTATAAGAGAATGTGACAAGCGTACAGACGATTCTGGCGATGTTAAACAATTATTAGCGTAGACATGGACAAATACAATAGGATTGCAGAATGCGTTATCTATGTTCAAATGCGGCTCCGATGACTTCACTCACAGACGAAATGGAAAAGCATGAATATTTCTAATTCTCACTGGACTTCTGTCAGGACGCCGTACATCCTAATACGAATCTGCCAAAAATAAAAAATAAGATCTCGATTGTTTTACAAAAAACAAAACCGACTTCAAATATCTTACTCACTATACGATTCCAAATTTTTGCAATTAAGCATTTATCATGTCATTCTTGTGTTAATATATCGAAAATTTTAATTACATCTTATTAATCGGTTGGAATTTTTTCGTTGACCTTTTACTGAACTTTTTCACGAATACAAATGTTTGTGTAAATAATTAAATTAAAAAAATCTACATGCGGTGGCAGGGCCACGCACGGTCCGTCCGGGTTAGTACCACGACCTCACAGAAGATCGGCGTAAAGTAGAAGTGTTGCACTTCTGTGTTTCGTCTGGTGAGTGAGGTAGCCGGGGCCTACGTTATTAAGAGGTGGCAACGCATCTGCACCCCCTACGGGTGATGCATATGTCCATGGGTGGATCTCTTAACATCAGGTGAGCCGGCAGCACGTTTGCCGCTTTCTCACATAAAAAAAATGTGTAGCCAGGCAAATTTTATGAAACATACATAAGATTAAATAACAAAAGTATTACGTAAGAGAATTTTAGACAAAATAAAGCTCCTTTAAAATTATAACACTACCAATCAACATTCTTTCTGATTTTATCTTTGATTTCATATTTCTGTCTTCTTTGTGAAATATAATAATTTGAGTTTTATAGACAACATGAGCAATATACAAATAACAACGTATATAAGGAATAATAAAAAATATTTTTCTATTATATTTGATGTCCACCAAACTGTTACAGGCTGCGTGGCGGCTTCTACTGTACAGGAGGCCTTTTCCCAGTACTTGGACGTATAAATGTAGGTATCATTCTTTACATAACATTCCCGTTTCAACAGCAGAAGGCGCGTTTAAGAAATTAAAACCGGAGCCGGGCGGGACTACGGGTACCGGGACATCTGGATCCACGTCCGCGCTTTCCCCAGCGCTGGGACCGCAACACGCTGGCCACACGCCCACTACAGCCTCTTGTCCCACGCCAGCACGGCGAAGACATAGAACTACTTTCACACAGGTAATATTTTTTTTTAATATTAAGGATGTCTTCCGAATAGGAGACGCTAGCGGTATCCGCCATATTTGGGTTTTGGCGTTAGATGTTTTATGTATTGCCACTTGGCTCGTTATAATGTATTCAGTGGATTTAAGTGTTGGTTGGGTAATGCTGTATTATAATTGCTTGAGATAAATCGATTCATCATGATCCTCCTGCCCTTATCCGACCGAAGTATCGTCGGCACAAGACGTGAATCGTTTTGTAAGTGATTTTCAGCTTAGCAACTGTGCCACCGAGACATCATTTGAACATAAATCAATCAAATGTTGTAAACATTTTTAAAAGTTGACTATTTGTAACAATTTTCACGTCAATAAGGAAAGGTCTGTTTTTTATAAGATAATAGTTAGCTCCTAAATATTCACTAAAAATGTTTGTATCCAAATCCTCTGCGCCTTGGAAGATATCGAAATATAGCATAAACAAATATTTATTCTTATTTTATAACCTACAATTCTCATTGAAATCAATTGAGTCGCTTTGGAGTTTATACGCTTAAAATACATAAAACACATAAAAAGGCCATTGTAAAATTTTGTCCGATAAGGTAACTATACTGAATAGTCACAACGGTTGGATGGCAACCTTCATTGTCATTTTTTCCTTTTCCGTACAAATAGGGTTTGAAAGAATCGAAAATTTAACTTTATTTAATTAAATGATGGCTGTAGATCACTCAATATAAAAGATATTTCATGATTATCTTTCATAACTCGGTATCCGGGCGCTCGCGTTTAATTCAATATACTCGAACAACCTCAGTTCAAATCCCGATGCCAGCACCAATGAAATTGTTAATTTTAAGTGCTGACTTATCATGTGCTCAGCAGTTAAGGAAAACATCGTAAGAAATCCTACATGTTTTCGAAATAATAACCAAAGAAAACATTTCGAAGATATGTGAAGTCCGCCAATCCGCAGTGGGGCCGCGTGATGGAGTATGCCCTAATAGCCTCTATGCAGAGTAAGCATGCATAGACTGTTACTTTGTTACTTTACTAAAGGCTGTGAAGGTATTGTTTTCGTAATTAATGACTCCTTTATTGACACATTTATAGAAGCAGTTCAGTAGTTCTCGTGTTTTATACAACTTTTATCTCACAATAATAATACGGACATGACATGTGATTTAATAGTGTGTATATAAGATATAAATGAATCTTCACTGGCAGCAAAAATCAAATTAACTCCCTTCTAAAATCCTAACATTAGTGTAATGATAATTAATGCTACACTTAGGAGTATATTTTTAGTCGTTAACGCCTTACGGGTCACATTTGAAGAAGAGTTCTGACATGTACCCTTTTGTTGAACAGGAACAATTAGCGGAATTAGAAGCAGCCTTCGCAAAGTCGCATTACCCCGACATTTATTGCCGGGAAGAGTTAGCGAGAACGACAAAACTAAACGAGGCGAGGATACAGGTATGTCAAGATTGAGAAAATTATTAAAAATAAAAATGCTACGATATCTACAACGCTATAATAATAACTGCTAAGAAAGATATGAGAAATTGCTGTTAGATTGTTTTCAAATGATAATGACAAGGTACAACTACAATACTATTCAGGAATTCACCCAGTACGAGATATTTTGTATTTTTATTATCATACATTCCATATTAAATTGGTTACATGTTTTTTTTGATCTAAAATAGGTTGTAATTTAAAAAAAATAACTAACCAGATAATAATGTTATCAACATTTTGCTCAAAAATACAGTAACGAATGCTGGTTCCGTAATTTTCATGCACTGTAAATACAAAACCCAAACACACTTTACGTGTTCTTTAAACCTTATTTTTTAGCAATAAATTTCTAGTATTATTAATACACTTGAACCTATATGGGCAGTACATTGCCCCACCACGTGTTAACATACGTGGTGGGGCAATGTATAAAATAAAGTACTGAGTGATAATCGACTGTAACCAGTCGATTATCACTCAGTACTTTATTTTATATTAGCTGCTGCCCGCGACTACGTCTGCGTAGAATAGGCTGAAGGCGTAACATTCAAACAGAAAGACAGATATAGATAAAAGATGTATGTAAATTATAACCTATGTCCTATTCTGATGTATAAGCTATATTATTGTAAAGTTTCATTAAAATCCATTCAGTAGAATTTGCGTGAAAGAGTAACAAACATCCATCCATACATACAAACTTTCGCCTTTATAATATTAGTAAGGATTTATAGTAATATTTATACCTATCATTTATTTTAAAATTTTTTAGTCTTGTGAAAGAATACTGAACTTTTGTTAAATTTCTTATCAGTAATTATTTTACAATAATGATGTGAAGATATAAATCAAACAGGATGTAGGGAATTTAAGAACAAACCAAAAACCGCCATAATGTGTGTAATAAAAAATCGTGCAATAAAATGTGTAATAGTAAAAAATCTCAATCGGAATAAAAAATTGTTGTATTTAAAAATATTGTATTCCGATTGAGATTTAGCACAATGTTATTATTAAAATTTCTGAAAGAATATTAGGCCCTGATGTTTCGATAACTTTGCACAACACTATTCTTGCTTTTATTTATTAGTTCTATGTGTACACCTTTTTTTTCCTATACATTACATTAAACGGTACCGTTCATTGAAACGTAAAATTCTTTTTCCTCCTTTGCAGCATTCATAGTCACGGTATGTTCAGTTTCATTATATAAGGCGTAACAACGATCGCATAAATTTAAAATATTAAATGTCTAGGTACTTTTAAACCAGGTGGATGGTCAAAATCTGGTCTTTAGTATACTGATCGCCTTCTACGTAACTCTATTTCTCAGTTTTGTAAAGCAACAAGGAAGACGATGACGCGTCACAGTAAATTATTCCAAACATTGAGTAACAGTTTAGGCCCAGAGCCGTGCCCTGTAATTTAGAATAGTCGAAATATCAATGACGCGGACACTGGGTTAATAAAATTTGCAGCGACGAAGGCCGGAGGCGGATTGGATTAAAGTACCATCTGTCGACCCCGCCTGTATGAATACGAAATGCTTACAGTAACTCGCGATCTTTATCTGTTTTAAAATCGCCCAATCCCCGGAGGCGCGCTATTGATTTGTCCCAGGAGTGCCCAATTCGTCGAGTTTAGATGTTTTATTCAGACGCTGACTTTTAAGATGACTCTCGGACACAGCTTACTTAATGCGAAAAAGATATGCGATATATGACATTACTTATTATGTTGAATAATTTATACAGTCTAAATGTTAGAAAAATGATATACATACACATTGCTATCGAGATCAAGTCATTATTATAAAGCAAAGTATGATTATATGAATAAAGAGTTAGCCTAAAATGTTTTATGCGAAATTTATTAAGAAAAAGTAGGGTAGCTATTACTGTCGTTGAAAGAGTGAAACCCCACCGCGCTTAAGAAAATGAAAGGTTTGCGAATGTCATTAGATCGAGGACTTCTGCATACATAGAGTTAAAAGCACGAACACGTAGACATTATGTGCGAGACGACGCGGGCTTGCGTACATAAATGCGAGTACGTACGCTCCAAGGAACCTATTAACGTTCGGCGACGCTACATAAGAATGTAAACGTTAAAGACGACGCTGGGCTCCCTTCTAGAGGAAATTTCGATATAAAAATACGGCGCCGACGGGCGCGGGCGGGGAGTTGGGGGACGCGGGGCGGGGGTGGCCCCTGAGGCATTGCAATCCCATCAAATGGATCCGTAACGAAGTTAGCCGCTCATCCTCCCCGCGCTCACCCCCCCCCCCCTCCTTCGACATTGTCTCTGCCCTCAAATGAATTCTACAATTGGAAATAAGAAAATGTTTTGTCGGGTCCCGGTGCTTTTTCAGTTTAAAGGCGACCGTTTTCAACGGACAACAAGAGCCCCGGGGCAAAGCGGCCACCTCGTATTTGTTTCTAGGGCAGTTCCGAAGGCCCTACCTACTCACTTGGCGCCGTTTTATCTTTGGCTTCAGGCGCAGCTGATATTTAAGCTCGATAATAATACGATCATATTTATTAGGAGGAGGAGGTTACTTAAATAAATATCGCACGTCAAAAGAAGTGCTATTTAATTAAATTACATGACATGAAAGCCTAAACGGCTTTCTTTGAGTCTCCATAAACATGTTCATGATGGATACTTTTACCTAAAAATTTTTTTCAATTTTCGGTAATGTAACAAAATTATATTATTGTTTTCAATACGCAATGTTTCATTCATAAAAAATTTACGAAGTTAAAAGCACGTGAAAATTTACATGTATTTAATATTGTAGAATGACTACTGAGTTACAACAATATCAAGCAAGATGACTTAAAATCATTTTTAAATGCTTCAATTTCTTCGGGTAATAAAGTACAACATTATTGTTACACTATCAAACTTACACGATTCATACCTGATGATCAAGAATCTTTCCCAAATTCGCTAAACCCTTAAACTATATGGATCTTATTTGCGTTTTACTCATGTATTTATAAATCTAATTATTATTTTCATGTTAATTTTTTTTCCTAAAACGTAGAAACAGAGTGATGAGTAATGAGTGAGTTTAGTAAAAACAAAGTATCTACGATTACAAATGAGATCGTAAGATTTTTGTGGAAACTAGTTCACATACATCGTCAAAACATTAATATCAGTACCTCACTCTCCTTCACCGGTCAAAGATGATCTCGGACATACAACTAAAAATCAAATGAACAAAACGAAATTATTTTCTATAGAAATAAACTCCGTGTGATTGGATTACGTGCGATTCTTTAAACAGACGGGAAATGGGAACATTTTTCATCACAACGCGCAACGCGAACTACGAATGTCGGATGGCTTCACGGGGAAAAAAACTAATACGCCATTTATGTGTCTTCTCTACGCCCGCACGAAATGAGTATATGTATATAGGTGCGTGTCGTGACCGGGCCGCGTACACAAAAAGCGCCCCTATCCTCGTCCGATAAAGGGCAAAATGGCGTCAATTTTGACAGACGCTGTTCGGGGCGCTTTAGGCGTAGGGTGTATCGGTTTATTTATATGGAGAGTGCGTTCGGAGGGAGAGGCACTCCGCCCCACAGTCCGCCCTCCTCTAATCAGGTCTAATCACCATATCAAACGACGCACACTCTCATTCCTGTTGACAACAACGGATTAAGGTCTCGCATGTTTCCGTACTTCGTTTTGTTGCTTTAAGAGACGCTTTAATGAAATTAGCTTTGTCGTTTCGTCCACCACTCGTATGCCTGCAAGTTGCTCTGCACATTTTGTATTCTAGAATCATTCTGCGGATACAATGCCCAAATATTACTTTCGTTCAGTGAAAATTATATTAAGACACGATTTACAAATATAATTTTGAGTCTACAACGTAGAAATAATAAAATAGAAAGCATTTATATTTCTTGCAAAACAGTGTATAACATAAAGATCCATTTACCTCTTAAGAAAATTTTAACCTTGGTTTATCTCGATTACTTCTCGCCAGATTGATTTGTATTTGCAAGTGTAATCGTACCAGAATAAAAAAATATATTGACATATGATTCCTATCGAAAAGCCATCCTTTATGGTTCGAAATTCACAAGAAATAGCTTCAAAACAAAGCCAAAATGGTACGATTAGACTGGCACATTTATACAGCGTGTCGTTACAACCGCGACAATAAATGAACACACATATAGAGGATAACTTTTTAAAATTATATTAAACATTTACATTCTTTAAACATCAATATTTACACAGTTATTAAATTTTCCAAAACAAACAAATATAGAACACCCTTACGTATAAAACTGTAAAAGTTACATTCGTAAAGGTCACAAAGCATATGTATGGGTTAAATGAAATAAAAGAGATAAAACATACTGTTAGAAGGAGATATTTGTAATGCGACGCTGTGGAAACGAATGTGAAAGTCTCTGAATGTATGAATCAGTCAGTTGTAGTTGTATAGCTGTTAGAAATATTGTTTATTTTTTATTTAATTAGTTTGTTTGAAAAATATTTTTTTAATTACGATATTTTTTTAATTATATTATTTTTTTTAACGCTTATTTTTTTTATGATTATTGGCAAGTAGCGTCAGACGTGTGTTCATTTATTGTCGCAGTTGTAACGACACGCTGTATAAATATTATAAAAGTACCTGGAGGACCGAGCTTTGCTTGATTTTTTTTTTGGTAAATCGTGTATTTTGGAAATAAAAAAAAATTAAAAATAAAGAATGCAATGATCTGGTATAGAAAAAAAAATAAAAAAATAAGTGTGTAAATGATTGCGACACAAACCGCGGCCTTCTGTTTCGGGGTCGGGTCAAATATTTAGCGTATTATTACTTACGAAGTACATAGACGTCTGAAAGATATATGGATATGTATAAACATTTTACCTTGCTTAACTTGTCACCATTATGATTTTGCTGTATTTGACATGTTGATAAAAAATCAAATCGAAGATATGTACGAATACAACTACAACTGGATACTTCAGATAAAGAATATTCATATATAAGTTTGTGTCGTATTTTGATGATGAAGGATGATTGGCGCATTTAAAACTTAGTATATGCTCCTGCACAGGTTTGGTTCCAAAACCGTCGCGCCAAGTATCGCAAACAAGAGAAGCAGCTGCAGAAAGCTCTTGCGCCGGCTGTGCTTCCGGGCTGCAATGGGATGATGAGGAACATCCAGGGATACCGTGGCTACCAACCCTATCCGCATCCCAACACCATCAACCGATACCCACAGGTAATCAATTATCTTTTTATTCCTTTTACAATTCTTTTTTTAAAACAAATCATAGAAACATATTATTTAGTCTGATGAGACATATATCTATTACAGTCTTAACTCGTTTTTCATTCTATAATGGTATAAATAAAATAACTAAATTCGAAATTCCATACTATTAATTTTTATCTTACCTAATCATATACAAAAATAGTATACGTTTTGAAATTGGCTGATCGGTAAAAAATATACCTGCTATGATTAAATTAGATTTTGTATGTATCATAACAATTTATTGTGTAGGTAACATATAAAAGAATCTAATGACTGCATTTTCCAACAGACAAACACGAATTTCCACACATACTTTGTAATCAGAATGATATATTGACATACACTTGCTATCGTGTTCATATTAAGCTGCTAACTAAATCGCTTTTAATTTTCTTCACTGAAAACTTGTCAATAAATTATATCCTCTAAAAAGTTTCCGATAAATCCAAGTTCCATTTTCAAATTTAAAAAAGCAAACAACGCGCCACTGCGCGCCGCAATTTGGCCGCTCATTATGATGCGGCGCTAATCAATGCTCTGATTACGACGTAATGCGATTCCATGGCGGGCGGGCGTCGGTGCCGCCAAAATAATGCAAATGGTAGCCGCTAGAACGGCTGACGAATGTGCGAACAATGGCAATCGTTTGCTTTGTGCAGTAGTTAACACAAATCAATCTATAGGAATTACGTAAGCAAAGATAACATTGCATATTGTACCAGTAAATACGACTATTTTGAGCTTTAATCTAGATTCGTTTATTCTTAAGACTATCTTGCGCTTTTATCAAGTTTTATTTATACTAAGGAAATGTAAGAAGTCTTCATCTTGGTCAATTTACGGTAGCAACAATACTGCGATCGATATAGCATAGAAAAAAAAATAAAATAAAAATGTACTAATCCTAATTGTGTTCAAACATAAATAAACTTAAATCGATTTTAAGTGTGAATAGTTTTTGTCCATTGACAGAACTTGATTTGTTTCACTACACAGAAGACTACTTGCTGAAGTTTCAATGATCTTTAAGATTTTTTAGTTATTTTTTACACAATAAATATAAAAAATCTCAAAACATGTTTTGTATAATTATCATTTATATTATGTTCATGTGTATCAACATCATTCTATTCAAAATTGAATTCGTCAAATTAAACATATTTTTATACGAAAGAAAAACTGCTTAACATTAAGTGCTACGATAATTCAACGCCCACACTATTAATAATTACCGCAATCATAATATACACATACCACTATGTGTATGTGTCTAAGGTGTCTTTATTAAACTAAGGTCTTATATATGTAGCGAATATTCAGGGCATACTATAAGTAACTTAAATACGGCAGGCAGTCAAAGCGCTTTAACGGCAAATAAGATGACCTATTCCTCGTTCACGAGCACATGAGTCTGCTGCTAACTTCAAGATGTTTTCCTTCATCAGCGATCACACGAATTTGCAATGAACGATTTGCCTGCACAAACCTTTACTTCTTATTGCTCAGGAACTGAAAAATCTTTGTTTTATATTGAGCATATTAAGTGCTCCGCCGCCAATTATTGAAATCAACTTTATTCAGACAGTCAGTTTACACGTCGAATGTACACTCACGTTCGACTGAAACAGTATTCATAAGCACATCTATCCCGGCGTGGATAATTCCGCACCGCGCCATCCCATTAATAATTAGCGGGAAGTGTTGATAGCAACGGAACACGCGAACGCGGCGCAACGGGCGATTAACATAAAACAAGCGGCCGAAAAACGATTAACTTACCCGGCGCAACCTCTCCGTGTGCTAATGAGGCCTTGATGAGATTTCGGCCGGCCGCGTGCGTTAATCACGCGTTTTGTCAATTCAATTTCGACTTAACTCTACGCGAATGCCGCGTCTGCTTGTGCGTAGACCGTTTCGGAAAATAGTGAAGTGGGAAAACACAAAGCCAACACAGAGAGATAAAGAGTGACCGATACGACTCTAACGTAAATTTACAATTTATCCCGCTGAAAGTAAATGATAATGTTGTATCTCACATTATCATTTCCTTATTTTCCTATAACTTTATTTTTTTTACTATCCTTTAACTTTATTTTTTTTATTTATGCCGACAGATTCGAAATAAACTTCGAATAATTTAGGAGTATATATTTTATATAACTAAATTATTCCTTGATTTGCAGCATAACATACTTAACAATACATACATAATTAACAATGGACACATACTCAACGGCAAAACATACTTAACACAGTCTATTGAGTGGTTTTAGGTTGTGAAAAACATACCAGAAAGGCAGGAAGGATAGGTACGAGACCAGATTAGATTTAATAGATTTTTATTTCATCAGAAAATATATAAAAAAGTATACTGAACACATCCATAATCAAACTGACTTACAATTTTCACTAAGCTAGCATTCATCACATTCATCCTCGTTAAACAGCATCACGGCAGCTACGAAGAGTTGCAGAAGGATATCTTCTCGCTGTCACAAATGGGCGGCGGCTCATACCCGATGCCCCAGGGCTTCTCCATGGGCCACGGGGCCAACATGTCTGCCGTCGGGATGCGGCAAGATGCTATGGGTAAGTAATATGCACGACAGTGTACAGTAATATCTATAACTGCACGCATAGCGTCCATACATTTATTCATAGTTTAGTAATACGACGCAGAAGTATAATATCTCCACGCCGGTCTTCTGTAAGGTTATGGTACTTACCCGGATGGACCTGCCCATTCATGCAACAGCGAAAACTGTAGCGTGGCCCTACGAAAGTAATACAATAATGTATGTATGTAATATAATCTTCTTACAATTTAATAGGATAAAATAGAAAAATAAATACATATCCATATGTATTAAACAAACGGCAAAGTTGAGTCCATCTCCGTCCCACTGGTAATGAGTTTTAAACAGTAAACATAATATATCTAAATACACACATTGCATATGGCACCCTACGTAGAACAACGTGACATCTGCAAAATTGTAATTGTTCAGGATGGCCGATTCAAATTATTATTTTTTTATTTTGGTTATAGTTTTCTTATACATAGCAGTTACTATTACAATTTTTGAGGTTTTTGATATTATTAGGTATATTAACAAACAGTATACTTTTTGAATTAATAATTATATAAATTTTAGGAAATAAGAGGTTTCATGTGTAATAGTTACGTTTTCCTACCGAAAATGGCAATAACTGATGGGTCACATGTTCATATATAACGTTGTTCTACTAAAAACTCAGAAAATATGTATGACATTTTTTTTATGTGAAAAGTTGCCAAGCGAGCAAACAGTTCGCCTGATGGTAAGTGAATACCGCCGCTCATGGACATCTGCTACACCTGTGATTGTAAATGCGTGGACAACCTTTGAAACCACGCACTTCACTCACCAGACGAAATGCGAAAGTATTTGTCCTACTTCCACTTTACACTGATCTTCTGTAAGGTCGTGGTGTTTACCCGGACGGGCCTGCCCATTCGTGCAACAGCCGAGGCTGCTGCGTGGCCCTACCACCGTTAACACATGTAGAAATTTTAAAAAACCATAAAAAGTGGGTGACTGTGCAATAGTTATCAATTGACTCAAATAGAGTATTTTCCACTCGTCTATTACGATAGTTAGCTTAGTCTAGTCAGTACAAAAAAACAGTTAGACACTGTTTTTTTGTACTGACTAGACTAAGCATATGTCCTTGTAATAGAACGTTGTTCTATTCTGTATCTCAATATCTATAAGTCAGACGAAAAAATTAATTTCATCTGAAAGCGTAGACAATAATTAAGACTTTCCGACAATAAAATCAAATTCGTTCTATGTGACCACAGAACGTTATTCTACGCACGGTGCGTATATCTCTATTCAGTTTTATTTTATTTTTTCTTTAGATAATCGGGTAAGAATATCGCGAAATCACATTGCTTAAAATATTATGCTGTCACAAAAACCCGCGACAACGTCCCAAATTAAAATAAAGTGCCACAACGAAAACTAAAATGCAAGTTTCGAGCGAAACAAGGAGCGGTAGGCGGCGGGCGAGTTTCATCAACTTTCTATTAGCTCCGTCAAGGCAATTATAAAGTTGCCACGAGTTGAGCGATGATCGCCTCGCCGGGGCGGTTTTTATACAAATATCCCTTATAATAATGAGAAAAGTTACTCCTCGCCTGCCGCAGATAACGCGAGTCCCGCCAGATGATCTCTATAAACGAGAAAAGAACTTAATTACAATTTGTTTAAGTCGCCGAATGTTCTTTTGTTCTCGAGAACGGTTCTCCTGCGATCGGAAGGAATTAAATAATACTGTCTTGATCGTTTCTATAAAGGAGATTTTTTCTTTGGTCTTAAAATGGCTAGTGCTACCTTTCAACAGTTTTCTTTACTATAATATTGAATATAATATGTCGCAAGAAAAGATTGAGTAACAATTCAATATAAAGCCTGCGGTCTCATCCTGAAGCAAATCATAAAATAAACATAGCGTGACTCTTACATATGATAATTTTATCTTTATTATTTTTATTATTTAATTTATTCTATCCTGGGACTTATTCAAATTTATAGGAGTCATTCCTCAAAGTAAAGTTTAGAAATATCATCAATGTAAGAAGTACTTCAATAAAATATTCTAAGTTTTCTGACTTATTATAATATGTACTAAAATGTTCATACTGTAATTCAATATTCAAGGAATTTACAAGCGGAAATGATAAATTACCTCATGTCACTCAAGATTGGGGCGGCTGAAACTTGTTATGTAGTGAAACTGTCGATTATATTAATATTCTTTAACTAGTCTTTGGCAGGGTATCGATATTTAATAATTTCCTTTGTTTTGAATCAAATTATTAAATAAAATTAAAAAAAAAAATTAAAGAACCGTTACACAAACTTCGCATATAAAAAAACATATGCAATTTACATTTGCCGGTTTCATAGGCGTAAAAAAGCAACTAACATCATTCAACTCTAAAATCTAAGGTTCGATATGAACACAAGAAAATTTCAAATACTAAATTTATTACTCTACCGTCCTTTTACGTTAAAATGCATATAATATGTGACGATATACGGTCGTTCACGTTTCGGATAAAATCGAACGCGACCAAGCCGAAAAGTCGACGCCCCGGGCGCTAGCGAGATTCCGGCGTAGAAAAAACGGCCGAGTAATGGAGGCGAGGCACCGTAGCGTAGATATTCTAATAAGAAAATTTCCACTACATTTACTTTAGCGGGCGTCCTCGGCGTCTTGGCAAATATCTTATTTCCTGCGGCGAGATTGCATCTTGAGAAAGCGCGGGGGTCTATTCGGTACGGGTGTAATAGTGAGGCGATTCGCGCCCGACCCTCTCCAAATACACCCTTCATACCTACGAACGAACCACTGGGGTAGCTCGCTGGCTGAAATAGGCATACTTACTAAATAGGCATATTTACGCACAAAAGTTTTATCAGTTCGAATCTAAATGGAAATATCGGTAATAAACAAAGAACTGAAATTTATATTAAATTATATAAGACGCAATACAAGTATTTGCTTTAGTAAGTAGGCGTTTCTTTGTTTGCATGTTTAAATTAATTTGAATATCTCAATACAATAAACAAATTGCTCGCCAAATGCTTAGGAATTTTTGAAAATTAATTCACTTGCTCGAAATTAAAATTTAATAATTTCTTTTGGCTTTATTCCTGGCGTAGTAACGCTGCCCCTTTGTTGTTTTTAGAAGGCAATATTCTTGTTTAATAAATGCTTGAAGTGGTAAAATCATATATTGAATTCTTTTCCAAATGTAATTATATTGAATAACATAAAAGGTTATTTATTATCTACTTGCCCGCTGCTTCGATTATATAGGTTTCAATTTCGTAATTTGCCACTGATCTTAGAGTATGGGTCTAATACGCTTCACATTTATCCCACAAGAACCACATATTTGAATGAAGTACCTATATGTCAATCCAAAAACCATAAAATATTGCCGTGCAAATAATAGTATCGCCTGATATTCTGTATTCGATATTCTTTAATGTGCACTTGCACATCTGAAACATTGTGAGGTCCTTTGTACAGTTTAGGGCGCACAAACACAAACCATGAGACCAACCATCATTTCATGAAGTACAAGTTCTAAAAATAATTGTCTTCCTCTCCTCTCTGAAATCCATTCCTCTCTTTCTAATTCCAATTACAATTTTCATGGAAATTCGGTTTTACAGGGATGAGCGCGGAGGACGAATGGTACAACAAATCGCTATCCGCGCTCCGGATGAATAGCGGCCACCACGCGAACCTAGCCGCGGCGCCAATGCTTCAGTACCAGACCTAATCGTTACTGCACGGCGCCGACTACTCGCCGGCGCCGGCGCACGATTACGCGCCGCCATAGCCAACGAGCAATGGAACGCTGCATCACGTTGGTTCCGTTGGAACTCGTAGCGGTAACTTTACGACGCCACAAGACTTTTATCCCATAAATCTACGAAATAATTGGCACCTATGTTTTAAAGCTCGTATTGATATGCATTGTAAACGGATCGCGTGAAAAAAAGATTAACCTATAATAGTGCTGTTCCTTTTAATCGCCATTATAATGAAATATTTGTAATTTTATTGTAAACGTTTTGTAATTAGGTATGTATGTACCTAAAATATTTAATATTTTGTTAATGATGACCTTCAAGATTCAATTTTCTTTAAAGTTTATACGCTTAAAGACATGTATTATTAACGAATACGTAATTATATTTTATTTTATTTATTTTTTATATTCAATATTTCAACTCTATTAAAGACCATGAAAGTGCACGGAGTCGATGACCTAAGAAAATACATTTTAATACCTGTACGGTTGTATAACTCCAATCCAAGTATTTCATGCGTCTCGTTTATGTTGAATACTTGAAGCCTACCATTACTCTCACAACGTAAAAAGGAAATGTAAACTTATCCAACCTTCCACTTTTAGGCTCTACGCCTTTTAAAGTTCGTAATGGCGTTTACGATGAGGCGTCTTGAAATATGAAAACATTACATTTAGCGAGAAAAATCTTTCGAAGCTACTCATAGCATAAGGAACAGCGTTGCGACGCATTTAGACTCATAGGTACAAAATAGAATTTTACTTAATAAATGAACGCGTTTATTTCACGATATACGTAAAATTGTGTATGCTAGTCATATTGTACAGCCATTTTAAAAGGTTTAAGTATTATAAGTACATAATGGAACTCCCCACTGTTATATCCAGGGATTCGGCTTTGCTAGAGAGCTCTTCAATGTTATCATTCACATATCAGGCTTACGTTACAAAATTGAGGTAGAATTAACATATTATTATATCAAAATTGGCCCTTTAAAAATTGATGCGTTGTATTTGTTATACAATAATATTATTATTTAATTAATAATAATATTATTAATTATAATATACTATTGAGATTTTTTATAGCAATGAAATCGAAATACCTAAAGCTAATTAACTCATTTCAATGTTTTATTTAGTACGATATTTAATTTGAACATAAGAGAGCCCTCTTCAAAATAAATGACAATCATACATTGTAAATAAAAACTTTTGCATGATACTTTTAAGGTGTTAACAGCTCAACGATATCATAACGTTAATTAAATATTTTTTAGTCGAATTTTAATAGTAAGTGGCCATTTTTCTTATCTTTCTAACGAATACGTATACGCTATACTTGCTAGTCAGTTCTATGGACGACATTCGATCTCATGGTGTATTACTAACTTTAAGAATGTATATCAAATGTTTATTTATTTAAATTAAACTTAAGCGAGTTTATATAGTAGTCGTTTAGTTTCACCACCAATGAATGGCCACCTTGTGGATTTTTATGTAAATATATTTTTTAAGAAGACTTATCTGAATCATGAACGTGTAAAATGAAAATAAATTGTCTAAAATGTAAATTGTACTTTTCTTTTGATATATCGTCGTTCTCGACCATCGTTACACTAATTATTGTCGTTAGTATCATTATTTTGTAGAGTAAGAGCCCGTGGCCGCCAGACATTCGTCACTTTATAAAAGTTATTTAATTTACAACGGCTACAACTATATTAAAAGAGATTGTTAAATTTTTTAAGAATGTTTGTACGTGATTTGAATTGAATAAAAATTTGATTTGATAAACCTATTGAATACTAAAAAATAATTTGTTAATTATAATAAGGTTTATTTTTCATTTTGCAATAGTATAGTACGTAGAACAACATAAGACATAAGAAGGTATCAAGGAACGTACAGTAAAGTGCGTGGAAGGCCAAGCTCGCTCTTCGACTCTCACCTACAGACGAGTAGCGCCGGGCGCTATCACTTCCAAATTAGTTTGACTGAGGGACCTATTTTTATAAAAGAGTAAAAAATAGATTTTTACACTCAATGATTTTTTATTAAATATGTCGCATGTCCATATTGCGCCGCGTTTAAAAATTGTTATAGAACGTATGATATAAAAAGAGATAGCAGTTTATAGAATTGCTATCTAATTACACAAATTGGCGTAATTTGAGTGCATGAGTTTCGGTGTCATATCTACTTCGTATTTGTATATGTCATTGTTTATACTATAACGAAAGTGCGATCAGATTGCATTGACGTTTACCTAAGTAGCTGGCGGGTGGTTGCCACGATACTTATTATCTGGCAATGGGTTACGTTTTCTTTTACTACTCAGTTGAAAATATGAAAAAAAAAATTGGGTTTTATAATTTAATGAATTTTAGCTGGTATATTACACTTTGGTAACCTTTTGCCCCTTGCCAAAGCCACCATAATCTAAAATTCATAATGAGCCATCGTTCTTACCTGTGCTATGGGCGGCCACGGGCTCTTAGACTGTAAATACCATGATATATTTTATTATTTGTGAAACAAGAAGGGCAATACGTTATAGACTTACTAATGAACTGTTCCTGGCAATTGAAATGATGTACGAATTGTTGTGTGATAATTTAACATTTAATATTTCATAAAAAAAATAAAAGGTTAAAGAAGAGAACTAGAACTAATGTTGCTGTAAGTTAAGTGTTGTTTAATTTTAAAATTAAATCAAAGGATATAAAAAAATGCAAAATTTACAATCGCCTAAAACTAAAAATAGTCAATTCGGACCTCCTATGGATAGAGATTTACGTATCTTATTCCACGTGTGAAATCCTTATGAAAAAGAGAGGTTAATCATCTCCAGCCCCCCCGGCTGGAGATGATTTCAAGACCAGACCGGACACAAAGAGGTAAAATAAAATATTCCAATTACTTAATATCTTGACCGATGGTTCATTTGTATCTTGAAGAGAAGAATGTTTTATAGTTACCATCATTATATATTTACTATCTTTTTATTTTTACTATAGTGAAAGCCGATTTTAATACTTCGTTTATACAATACAATCATACCATTGTACTTTCCTTTCAACTGTGCAGCTTAAAACGCAGTTGAGTAATGCAACCAAATTGCAAATCAGATACAACAACAGACCTCATGGAAAATATTAAACATTTTATTGGAAACGGTCTAATTTTAGTACTTTTTTGACTCTAATTATTCGTAAAGCAAGTAGAAACTCCTTGTTAGTGTCATTAGTGATGATAAAATAATACGTCCATCTTTGACGGATACTAATCCGTTAAAAATTAAATAGCCCTGTAAAAGAGTAATTGAAAACGATTGAAAAAGAAAACCTACCAATAGCAGTGCGGTTTAGTAACGCCACATATGCAGCTAGTTAAAATATTTAAAACTAGCCGGTGACCGCGACTTCATCCGCGCAGAATTTACAGTGAAAATAATGTCACTTATATCATCATAATTAGCAGTGCGCCATATCTGAATATACTATGCAATTTTCTAAATTCGTTAACCATCGTAGATTAACTTTAACATGCGTGCATGTCTAAAGAAACTTAGCCACACGTTCAATACTTTTTTTTTAAATGTAGAACTGACTAGCGCTCGACTGCCATCCCACCTGATGGTAAGTGGCGATGCAGCCGTCGATCTTAAGCGCGCTAGCTCAGTAAAAGCCTATTCACTTTTACCTTGAAGACGCCTACGTTATAATCGGATGGGAAGACTGACGCCGGCAGATTGTTCCATTCCTTAGCCGTACGGATGATAAATGACGATGCGAATCTCTTTGCTCTTGTGCGTGGACCGTCGACAGCAAAAGGGTGGAACCCGCTGACATCTAATTGTACGACGATGGAATGAGGCGGGAGGAATCAAATCGTGCAACTCCAACGCTCACTCTCCAAAATGAATCCTGTAAAAAAACGAGGCTGGCTACTCTGCGCCTGTGCTCGGGGCTAATGAGATTGGTTTTAACCAAATCAAGGTCACCGATGAGCCTTTCCGCACGCCTCTCCATTGAGTCAAGGGCAGCAAAGTTGCATTTTGCAGCCCCAGCCGAGATATGGCAACAGTTCACACACGACCGGACTTGAGCTTTGTAAAGAGTAAAGAGCTGTCCCGGTGAGAAGTACCATCGCACCTTTGCAAGGATGCCTAACTTCCTTGCAGCTTCCCTGGCTTCAGACTCAATGAACCGCCCAAAGTTGAGGTTTGAGGATATCTGGAATCCCAACAACTGAAGGCGATCGGTATGCTCCAAGGACACATTATGGAAATATCTAGTAAAACCGCAAGTGCTTCACCATTGTTCACGAGAGCCTCGCTCCAAAGGTGAGTGACGTACATTCGACCGATTTCGGCGAAAACCGTACTGGCGGTCACTGAGAAGGTCGTTTAGTAAGAAATATTGCAAATAAAACCAGCGAAATCCGCAACACATTGTAATTTAAAATACGCAATGGATATTGTAGACAAACGCTTAAGAATACACGTAGACAAGTTCAATAGTATTCGGGTTTCGGCAACGAATACTGCGGATTCGACGCGTGGGTCTGTTGCAGGTAGCGCGCGAGATGGGCGACCACGATGCGCTCACCGCCCACGGCCTTCCAGAAGCCCAGGGCTTCGTCGCGTACGGCCGCACTTTGCCCGCACTCCTGGTCGTCGGAATTACAAGTCGAAGTGAAGTGAATAAATCTATAATAATCGCTACATAGTATAACACAAAGTCGTTCCGCTATCTGTCTGTCCCTATGTATGCTTAGATCTTTAAAACTTCGCAGCGGATCTTGGTACTCGATCGACGACCGAACGACTCTTTTACTAGATAGTATGATTCAAGAGGAAGGTTCATATGTATAATACATTGCACCCGTGCAAAGCCGGGGGGAGGGGGGGTCTCTAGTCTATATCATAATGTTCATATCGTATCTCCCTTTTGATATTTTTACTTTTCATGTTTAAGCCTGAAATACTAAATGAAACCAATTTTAAAGATTTATCGCACTTTTATTTTTTATTTTAACTCCCGATCCGTTTTGAACCCTTTTCAGTAACGCTGTTCGAAACGTCGGGAAATATAATTAAAAATAAACGCGATAAGTCCGTAAGTTTAGTTTCATCTACTCAAGTGACTAATTTTATCATGTAAATCTAAAATATCCCACGATTCATTACTTAATCCCCCATCCCAAAAACTCGACGGATTCCAAATCCCACATATAAATAAATACAATGAGACATATTTATACACAACGTTTTCTAGCCCCGAACTAAGCGTTAAATGAGTACTAAGTGGGACCGAACTCTTAAACGTAATTTTCTTCACTTAATAAATAAATATTAGATGTAGACACCCTAACACTAGAAAAACACTATGATAATCACACAATATTTTTCCCGTAATCGGCATCGACACCACACCCTCTGGGTCAAAAGGATATTAGAACAGAATAAAATTAGGATAAAAGCAACCATTGCCTGGAAACTTGTTCATTTCAATTTAGGGTTACGTGACGTTCCAAAACGCCATCTATGGAAAACCGGTGATACAACTATGTTGATGGTTGACCCATTTTTGAAATCAATCTTATTAGTATTATTACTTCTATAAGTATTTATATAAAAATGTGATAACAGTGCAACTTACCGAAGGAATATCAGCCGCCTTTTCGACCTAATGAAAAGTTTAGTAAATCAGTTACACATCATTTTATCCCGACTTTAATGTGCATCATATTTTAATTATGACAAAAAAATCTTTGTCAAATTGAAAATCATCTATATATTAATACGGGAAGCAAAAACTTTGTACCCCTTTTTACGAAAATTGCGCGGACGGAGGAGTATGAAATTTCCCACACTAAGTTTTTATAGAGAAGGAGTGCAGAATACTGTTATTTTTTTTAATTATGCATAAAAAATATATTAAATCAGTAAAAAAACATTACACCCACTACCATGTTTAATTAGTTATGGTCGAATGTCGGTCACTGGGCGACCAATAGTATTAATTAATATTCCAAGTACAATGTTATCTTTCACTCGACAAGCGATTTGAGCCGAGTATAAAGAAATCACATTTTAAATTTAAGCTGATAACTATACAAGTTTTATTAGTCCAAAACTTTCAATATAACCTTAACAATATCACAAACGGTGACGGTGGTAGGGCTACGCAGCAGCCTCGGCTGTTGCACGAATGGGCAGGCCCATCCGGGTAAGTACCACGACCTCACGGAAGACCAGCGTAAAGTGGAAGTATGACAAATACTTTCGCGTTTCGTCTGGTGAGTGAGGTAGCCGGAGTCCAACTTTCAAAATTTGTCAACGCATCTGTAACCCTCGGGTGTAGGAGATGTCCATGGGTGGCGGGATTCACTTAACATCAGGTGAACCGTCTGCTCGTTTGGCAACTTTTCACCTTAAAAAAAACATACGAATCCTCCCAAAATTTTGGCTATACTTTTATACTAGTTTTATTCTGGGTAATAGAAAAGCCCGCCAATTAGTCCAAGATCGGACTCATTAGCGGGCTTTTCTATATCTGTACAGACACAGAGGCAGTATAATTATATTCAAATTATTTTTTGTTAAAAAAATATATATTCAAAGTAATAAACAAAATATCGCAAAATAGCTTACCGCTGCCAAGCTAGTTCTTGCTACGAATTTATCTATGACAGAGCGGAAAGTGCCTAGATCAAGTGCTTCCTGTGAAAAAAATAATAAAACTAAATTATTATGAAACTTTTTCTGATATAGTATTTTTTGTAATTCTATGGTATATTATGTTCCCAGGGTTGACTGGAAGAAAATGCTTGTTAGCATTAAGTTTACCTTTTGTTGGGGTGTAAATAAATAAATAAATATGTTAACCGACGCATATTAAATGAGTTTGGCTCTGCTTATTAAGACTTACGTTATATTTACAAATATATAATAACTTACCTCTGGCCCGAATCCACAACTTGGTATGTCTGCACACGTTCCTTGGAACTGCGGTATCTCGTGATCGCCGTATAACGAAAATCTTGACCTCAACAGATCGTAAACCTTTATATTAACCAATTATTTATTGTATTATATATTTATTTAAAAAAAAAAGAAAAAAATCGCTTGTTCTTCTAAAAATATTTTTTTTTCATATATACGTACGTCGTACATACGTATGTACGACGTACGTGTCTATGTACTATATACATAAAATATAAGATATATTTTAGATGCAGATGGCTCAGAATCACGCTTCATGGTAGTCTGTGGGGGAGGCCTATGTTCAGCAGTGGACTCAAACAGGCTGAAATGATGATGATGAGGTATATTTTTAATATAACAAATATCTCATCTCTCAAGCAGCCGGACGATTCTAAAATATTTACAAAAACGCAAAAAGTGCATTGTATGTAATTAGTGTGGGATTTACTTTATTAAATACAATTTTTTTGGTAAAAAGTTTCAGATAGAAATATCAATTCTTGCAAATTCTGGTAGAATAAAATAACTACTATTTGACTGAATCCAATCACACTTTTATGTGAGGCATCTTGGATTTGTTTTTTATTTATACTTTTGGCAGCAAATTCAAAATAAGATACAATCTCCATCTATCGGTCGCTATATGAACTGTCCGACCGTTCGTTATGTCACGACAAATCTGGGCTTACCGTACCAACATCTTGATCGTTAATATCTGTCATTAAATTCTTAAAACTCATTTGGTACATCGCCAACATCCAGCTTTGCGAGAAAAATTCGTACAAGTCAACGATTTGTTTTAGCTGAAATTATACACATAGAAATAAAGGGAAATGATTACGCATACAAACTAGATTAGAAAATCTAAACTACTATTTTATTAACAGCTAATATACATACATCAATTGCATATTTTGATGACTACGTGGCGCAGTTGGTATTGGCTTCGGCGCCGGGGGTCGTGGGTTCAATCCCCACACGGGACAACTATTTGTGTGATAGTTGTTTCGCATCTAGGTGTTTATCCTTGTGAAATTTATGTATGTAAAACGTCCTTACACCACAGAATAATACATCTTACAGTAAGGGCAATGTTTTAAAAAAAGAAGAAAAGATATTTTCTCTATTGATTCATTAATCAAATACAAAATTATTTATAAGGTCAATCAAGTTCTCTCACCTGATATCTAACAAGTAACTTGTTGAAGAAAGCTTCGTGCTTTCCGTACAATTGAAGAAGGCTCTCCATGGGAAAAGGTTTCTTAGATAAACAAGTGACGGACACCACGCAATGCAAAGCATTTAATTGCAAACAAAAATAGTTACCATCTTTATCGGTGATCAGCGTGTGGCCCTGTGTTATGTAATCATAGCTATATTATTAATTCACGAAATATCGACCCACTCTCTGTCCCTCCAACTGTGGCTAAGGAAACTTTTACAAAGCAAAATTTTTCGAAATATAGTTAACTACAAGGCTCTCAGTATGATTTATGTATTACATTTTGAATTTGGAGATTTTTTTCTCATCAATTGCTTGGGCTCGATTTTCCTTATAATATGTTTAATTATTCTTTATAATAAGTAGCTGTAAGTTTTTCTTATGAAATAAAATAAAAGTAAAAAAAAAGTTGCAAAATAGATAAGTATACACATTTATAGCATAAATCATTTGAGATTTGAGAATGAAGTAGAAAAATGAAAAAATGCTGTATTATCCCACACTTTACATTGGTTTGGGAAGTGCGTCAGATAAAAAATACATTTGTATGTGTACGATGACAAGCGAGTGCAAGCGAAGCAGGCCAGACTTGATGTTAAATGATAACTGCCGCCCATAGACATTATTTGCAACACCTGTAGGTTTGAAAATGCGTTGCCACCTTACACCACCGGTGAGGCCATTGCTCACCAGACGAAACGGAGAAGTATAATTCTTCAATATCACCCCGGTCTTCTGTGAGAGGTTGGGAACTACCCCGAACTGACATGCCCATTCATGCAACAGCGAAGACTGTTGCGTGGTCCTATCACAGTGAAGTGAACTACCAGTAGAACTATAAGTTTCTTTCTATTTAAAGTTGGTTGGGAGAAAACGACGACTTATGGGAAAGTATTAGTTATATTTTCTCTATAATAACTGTATAATGAAGTTATGAACACCTGGCGCGGCAGGGTCATTTGAACCGCCATAGGTATTTCAACGCCCGGTTTCCGCATCTTAAGATAATATAGTGGCCCGGGCAATATGGCCGAATGCTTGATTGGCGAACTAAATCTCAACACAGGCTGCCACCTGATGAAAAAACAACTAAAGTTAATTAAATACATTTAAAATTCATTAAGTTCACGGTAACGACGATGCTGAGAAAGTCTATTCACGGTCAATAGGATCATGAAAACGCTCAACTGAGCTGACGCTCATTGGTTAAAATATATAACACTAGTAATGTTGATCCGTGCAAAATGTTTGCACAATACCATAAATATATGTGATCAATTACCGGATGGTAATATAATCTAGTATGTAATTCTCGTGTCACGGTGTTTGTAATTGAACTCGTCCGTAACGGCTCGACCGATTTTCGTGAAATTTTGTGTGCATATCGGCCAGGGTGAAGAATCGGACAACATCTATTTTTCATCCAACTAAATGTTAAGGGTGGTCCACCCCAATAATTCTTTTCTACTCTACAAATAATTTATATGGTAAACAACGTTTGTCGGGTCAGGTAGTCTAATATATAAAATTCTCGTGTCACGGTGTTTGTAATTGAACTCCTCCGAAACTGCTTGACTGATTTTCGTGAAATTTTGTGTGCATATCGGCCAGGGTGGAGAATCGGATAGCATCTATTTTACATCCCCCTAAATGTTAAGGGTGGTCCACCCAAAATATTTTTGTCTACCCTACAAATTCCTTAGAATTATACGGCAAGACGTTGTACAAAAATGTATGAATCAATGAATTTTTAAGTACAACGGTAAATTTCAGTCTATTTCGCTATCTTTCACTTAAACAAAATTTCAATAGATGTCGTTATCACGTATTCTTTATAAGTTTATATGCGTATATTTTAATGAATACCTTAACTTTATAATTGTCTATATTTCGTCAATAGCGGCAAACTTAAGCTTTAAAATGATGTTTGAATCATTAAATTTGTTGAAGAATTATGGAACTTATGGCGGGCTGCCAAAAAATTGGGAAATAAATGTTAAGTGTGATATTTCGTATGTTAATTTTAGTCATTAAGCAATAAGACCATAAATCACAGAAACTTATGGTACTCATGAATGCGTGAATGCAAGTTCAGTCATAACATTCAATCAATCTCAACATAAAAATATGTCTTACAGTTTCAACAGTATCACATTTTTTTACCTTTACTTATCGTCGTTTGCTTACATATTTTTCCGACTAAGCTAGACATAAGCTGAATGAAGTCAACAGATAGCTAATACGGTCAACACTTACTAAAAAATTGTCGCTACGAAAACGCTAAGCAACTAACAGAATCGGAACAGAAGAAATATATTTGGTGAAAAGATCAGTGAAAAAAATGCGGTTCGAAATCGATCAACACACTGTTATAAACGTTGAAATAAAATGGAGTTGGTCGTTGACGAAAACGCAGTACGAAAACAATATCTATATACGATGTACAGGAGGAATAACACGGATATAGAAATAAAAATAGTACCAACTTAATGTAATTTATAAAATCGGTAAAATACAAAAATAGAGTACCGATGAAAAGAACCCAAGACGTCCCGGAGGTCTTAAAACTAATTTAACTGAATGCATCATTTATGAGACCTAAAATACAAGTTGTTTCTCACCTTCGACATGTCGGAAGACGAAATCGTGATTCGCTGCTGTAGCTGTCGTATACGGAACTCCTAAATCTGTAAGACAAACGTTAATGTTATGAAGTAATTTTTGCAATAAGTAGTGTGCTCGTGGACGATAAATATAATGAGTCATTTGTTGGAGTGATAGAGTACTGTTTTCTTCATTTTACGCGAATATTATCAATATATATTCATGGTCACGGGACAGTCTGTCCCGTGACCATGAACGCTGGAAAGGGTTCGAAACATCGGGAGTTCAAATCAAAATAAAAAACGCGACAAAATCCGTAAACTAGATTCATTTAATGATATAGTACTAGTAAATATCGATTCCTCTCTGATTGTACTCGAGACATATCAACGGTGTAGGGTTGGTTTTAGTACGTATTGATCCGATAAAATTTTTGTATCATAAATTCTGTTTTTGAAAGATCTAAAATGAGATAAATCCAAACCTACGTAAATATGCGGTTATGAGTTTGTGTCAAAATCACAACCAACAAATATAAAAATCCAATTTCTTACCCTACTCCACTCGAGCTGTATCGAGAAATACTTTCTGAAGGGCACGGATCTATTTCTGTACAGTCAGGCCTGAATGGATCCAATTTTTGTAAGAAAAATGCAGCCAACTGAAAAAATAAATTCTGTTTATGGTTATATTAACAACAGATTTCCAGTCGTTGCTTTTTATTGAACTAACAAAATAGGACGTAACAATTTTGTCAAAGCTTTACGTTATAGCTGAAATATCGTGTACAGCACTAATCAATAAGAATATATGAAACTCACTCTTTTAATAATAATTCTGTTACAGTAAATGTTTTTATTATGTGAGGTTATTTTTATGTTAGGTTTTGACACTAGGTTTCACTCAATACGTCTCTGGACTGAGTAGGTAGGTAGGTTTATTATGATAAAGTGCAAACGCGTATCAAGTATTTAGGAATATTGAATTGATCCCCTCGTAAACGCAAACTAATATGTCACTGAAACCCATCCCATTTGATACTCTGTTCTCGTTGCCTTGCAATACGCGATCGGAGAATCGTTCGACGGCCGTATGTGTGAGTGATATGGATACCAATGCTGAATGACAATCCTCCTTACAACTCAGATTAACATCGTTTATTTAATGATTTGAACCGGTAATACTCATACTCATACAGAATTCGTCTGTTGAATGAGGTAACCGAGGCCCAATTTATAAAAAAGGTACAGCAACCCCACGAGTTCTGCAGTTGTCCACGGACTACGGTTATCGCTTAACATTAGGTGAGCCGCCAGCTTCTCGCATAAATAAAAATAAACAAGTTCATTTGCCACTTTTTCGCATAAACAAATAAATGCAAACACAAGCAAAGAAACCCAGACGGGGTTGAAAGCGTTGGCATAATTGTGTTACCACTTCTCCTACATCCTCGGAGCAGTAGAACCGCTGCGCGTGCTTGTGGGCGTAGTAGCGGCGCGAATATCCGGTGCAAGTTCCCGCCCCGTACACGTACGGGTCATTCGTCTCAAACCCCGTGCCCACTACAAGACCGCCGTCGTACACCAGACCGCACTCCGTTATAGCTAGGGACCGACCGAGACCTTGTATTTTGGAAGGGGTCGAGTAGAAAGTCCAAACGACCACTACGATCTAGAAAGGTCTATCCTAGTCTTCCTTCGTAACATTGCCTTCTTACTGTAGGATAACAACAACAATATCATGTGCTGTGAGAGCGTTTCACATAGATACGTGTAATTTCACATGGACAAACACTCACGGCTCACTCAAGAGCCGTGATAGTACAGTGACCGGGCGCTCGCCTTTAATTTAATATACTCGAGCAACCTGAGTTCGATCCCCGGTGCCGGCACCAATGAAGTTTTTAACTTTAAGTGCTGACTTATCACGTGCTCCGCGGTGAAGGAAAACATCGTGAGGAAATATACATATTTTCGAAATAATAAAAAAATATATTTCGAAGATATGTGAAGTCCGCCAATCCGCAGTGGGGCCGCGTGGTGGACTATGCCCTGATATCCTCTGTATAGAGGAGGCCTTTGCTCAGCAGTGGGACATTTACAGGCTGTTACTTTACTTTTTTTTACTTTAAACACTCAGAAGTCAATACCCTGGCAACAGCGCCACGGTATCGACCGACACCTTACAACGGGGATTCCGCCTGCACAAGTCTTAATAGCTATGTCATATTTCTCCAAAAAGAAAACTACAATATTTATTGAAAATTATGAGAAAACTTTCCAAAAAAATACCAATACCGTAATTTAACAAGTTTAAACTGTTGGGGAGATATAAGAAACTTAATATTGTATAAACTTTTATTTTATTTTAAAGTCCTTAGAATGGGACATTTTTTGTTATACATGAATCACCTTTTCTATAGCTGAGCTCCTTCAAAGTCTATATAGATAATTTATAGTTTGTGTTATGTGCCAGTATTTTTAAATAAATAAAAATCGCACTACGATTAATCAAATCCAATTTTCATTCTAAATTTCGGATTCGTTGTCACACATATAAAGCAAAGTGAAAGCAAAAAAAGTATAAAATATTCATATATATCGAATACATATATGTAATATGCATATTCTGTTCCTAAAATTTTATCTAACAACGCTCACCTTTAAAAGTCTGCAAGTCGATAGCTTTGATCCCGTAGTAGAAAAATGCGAAGCACGGGAAACTGATCGCTTGATTTTGGGTCATGAAATGCAGAGTTTCCACCCTTGAGCCAAATGTTTTCCAGCCGTGGAAATAACATCGTCTGTACACCTGTATCCCGAGTTCCTCCAAGCCTGATTGAACTCTTTCGTCGACCTAAATTGATCAGCATGAAAAGAATCAATCATCAATTCATTGAATAGTTTATTCGGTTCTTCAGAACGAATGCTTTCTAGTGCTATACAAAATATTATAGGTTCTCAAATTTATAACAATCTGATCTGTCTACGTTTTCGCTTTCAGTTCCAAGACTGTGTAAAGCCTCGTCGGTGTCTTCATAGAGCCCAAGGAAATGCTTAACGTTCCCAGCATAACTTATAACTTTATTATTTGGAACAACATTTAATACTATTCTAAATGTAAATAAGTAAGGTGTTGGTTTAAGATCTATTTTCGGCAGTAGGAATATACGCAAAGACTAATTATCCGGCGTGACGTACGTGTAGAAAACACTATCTCGTATCTAACTGTGCTAGATTTGCCATGACAAACTCGTAACATGCAGAATTTTAGACTGTTCAATCATGTCAGAAGACAAAAGAGAGGCATTACGAAAAATCACACCCACACTAGTGCATTTTGCAACTTACAGTCTCATTATTGAAACAATTGACCCTCATGGCCGCGGGATCTTCGGGTGGGAATGGTTCCACGAAAGCCAACATGCTAGGTTCGATTCCGAGCTCGAGCAAAGCTGCAATGCAGGAATACGCGTCTAAACACTCCCCGTAAACGACTATTCTGTTGTTTTCATGTAGGCAGTCTGCAAAATCTTCTGGAAATATAAGAGTAAAGTGACATGTTAATGAAGTCGTTAAAATCACTGACGTATCAGTGGAGACATAGTACGATAAAAAATGAAAAAGTTACTTCTACTTGATCATCCGGCCAGTATCAATCACACTCGAAACAAAATTATGTCATATATTTTGGCTCGGTAAACACAATAATAAGAGTGCTAGGAAAGAAAGACATACAAAATCACAAGGAACCTGCATATTTTCGAAATAATAACAAAAAATAATAATTCGAAGATAGTGGGGTTGCGTGGTAGACTGTCTACCGCATGCTAATACCCTCAGTCTGCTGTCAGAGGAGAACTTTGTGAGGAGTACTTTCACCAGTGGGAGATATACTTAGTTACTTAACTAGTACAATCGCAGTACAGCATCATCCGTGTCACGAAAAGACCACCAATCGCATTTTACGAGGATTTTGGAAGTTAAGTATGTTTTATTTAGATGTATTTAACGTATTCTCGGTGTTATAAGTATACATATTATTATATACTACAACAGACGCTTAAATTATTTTGCATCAGTATAAAAGAGATGTAGATCCCGAAAACTTGATTTTAATTAAAATTTGTAGAAAAAATTTAAAATTCCTTGCCGCTGCGGATTTCCAACCCGTTTTCTGGAGCCCCTTTAAGCTAAACGGCCGATTGCCACACGGACGAAAATCTCAACGTATTTCATCTACAACGAATCGGACTACGTACTTGAGTCGGAAATCATCCATAGCAACTTCCTTAAGCAGGTGTTTGCGTCGAAGAGCGAGTTGATGAGCATCACGTTCTCCGGGAGGTGAGGCGGGGGCGGCACGCGGTCCGGCTGGTATCGGGGGTCGTCCATCGGCAGTCTGCCGCAGGATTTTTTCTGTTCTCTAAAGTACAAAATGCAGTTACTTTAGTTCTTGCGGACTCAAAAATACATGCATAAAAACATTCTTAGTGCTAAAAAATCAAATAAAGTCCAAAATATCTATTCTGAAACTTGTTTCGGTCGAACTTAAAATATTTTTTTAAAGTTTTTCGGCAATAATCCGCCCATTGACATCTGCAAAGTCCGCTGTTAAAGGTTGAGAGTTGGGACCAGACGAAATTCCACAATAAGTATGAAGGAAAAAAAATAGAAAATTTGCGCCTTTCTTTGACGAGTAACATTAGATATGTTCAGTGACTACCGCCGCCAATCAATCTACAATACCTGTGCGATTGCAGATGTGTTGAGAAACTTAAATTAAACCCCGGTTACCTCAGTCACCAGACGAAACGCGAAAGTACAATACTTCCATTCACACAGATCTTCCGTGTTAATGGAAGTATTACTCCTCTCCGAACGAACTGGTAAATTTATGAAACAGTAAAAGCTAATGCGTGCCTTTACGTTAGAACTGTATTCTCAGGGCATGTGCAAAGTAAAGCGGAGCTACAGCAAAAATCATATAAACCGAAATAAAAACTAATGAAAGATTAGAAGATACATAATACAGCGATTACTTTGACACCCTGTCGCGTTCATACAGTTCCTTCAAATAATCAGGATGTTGAAACTGCCGACCGCAAGTGAGCACCAGATCATCGTAATACTTCAGACCACCGCCTTTCAAGTAGATGCATTTCTTTTTCCTTAAAAAGAAACGATATACCCGATTAATATTTACACTTCAGCAATTTCAAGCACTCAACAAGTGCAGACATCGGGTACACTAGCAGTTTCGCCTAAATTCAGTAAAGATACAGGGCGATTAGTCTAAAGAAAAAAAGATCATTGGTACTGATAATGTTGTAATGTACAAGAGTTTGTACAATATTCACGTTAAAGATAGACAGAACATTGAAATGCTAGAGGCCTAAGCAATGCCAGAAAAAGAAGCTACAGGCCAAAAGGGCAAAGAGGAAAACCCGTTGGATACCTACAGACCTGCAGCAGCAAACTTGAAGATATACAAAAAATAAACATTTTTTTTTACTAACTTATCTCGCACTATATTCATTTTATAATTGATCTTCAGGAGTTCCCTACGTATCGGAGCCCATGATCCAATACTAATGAATTCAATGTGGGACCACATGGGAAGCACCAGCTTTCAAGTAAAACAAGAACCATCAAAATCGGTTCACTCACTCAAAAGTTCTGAGGTGACAAACAAAAAAATACAGTCGTATTGAGAACCTCCTCCTTTTGAAGTCGGTTAACAAAAGGTCAAAAATTATCGGATGCAGACGAGGATAGCAGTGGACACACCTATCGATGCGGACCATAACGCCCGTTATGACGTCCACGTAGAAGTAGTAGGGCACGCTCTTCAGATAGCGGTCGGTGTAGCGGCCGTCGTGCGGCACGCACGTGTCGGCCGCGTGCAAGCACTCGGACACCGTCGGCAGCCCGTGCACCGACATCAGCGTCAGGTTGGTGAAAGTGAGGTACGAACAAGTCGGCCTGCAAAGTTAATCGATGTTTTTTTTTTTAACATTGCCCTCACTTTAGGATTACATTATCCTGTGTTGCAAGGACGTTTTCCATAGATAAATTTTACGTGGACAAACAACCAGATGCGAAACAACTATCTGCGGGTCACACAAATAGTTGTCCCGTGTGGGAATCGAACCCACGACACCTGACGCCGAAGCCAATAACCTTGACGACTGCGCCACGGAGTCAACAAATTTTTTGACTACTGATCTGATTGACTTTGATACTATGTTAGTATGTTACTATATTATTATGAACCGTTAACAATTTACCTAAAGTAAATTACTGAGGTTGCCTGGAAGAAACACAGCTCTCATTTGTAACGTCATATACAGGGTGATTTTATAGACGACGGACATATTAACAGAGCATATGCAGAATTTATATATTTATATCAGAGATTATTTTTAATTTCATGGACACCTTAAGGAATTCCTGTCTTACACTCTCAATACAATAACCTATTCACGAGCACTTTTCTCTGAACGCATAATTACTAAACCGCTTATCAATAAGGTAACCACTATTAAGGGGATAAAAAAAACAATGTATTTTTCTGGTTATCTCTTGTCAAAATAAAATATTTTATTTTGAATCATAGAATGCTCAATATGTCAAAGTATGTACTTCGTCTAAAAAAATCACCCTGTATACATATGGTGAATTCCGCTGTGAGCTCCATCCCCGCAGCGTTGCCATCGCGAAAATTCAACGTCAATAAAGTAATGTTCACCCCATCAATAAGGTCTCCAAAAAGGCAAGTCCCGTGCGACTTGCTCCCACCACCACAATGCTTCTGTTGATATAAATCTTCGGCAAACTTGTCATCGCTCTGTTCACGGTCCATAGGGCGTAGGGCGAACTGAAACATTTTTAAATCAATCTTTTAGAAATAAATTCGACTTTTTCGGGCCATTGTGTGAAATTTAACGAATTTTCAATATTTCCCCGTTTTACCCTTAGATCAGTATTTTTTTAAGAAGATGGCTGGTGATTTGGCGATTCACTTAGTGTTGATAACTATAACCCGTGGACATTTCCAACACGCGTAGGGTTGCGGATTTTTTTCACATCTTTTAACAAAGTAAGCCCCGTAAGTTACCTCACTCAACAGGCGTAACGCAGAAGTATAACACTTCTACTTCACGCCGGTATTTTGTTAGGTCCGTGTTACATCCCCGTACGGACCTGCCAAAGACTGTTGCGTGGCTCTACCACACCACAGTTCATTCTCATATTTGATCGTGGCCCTTCATGTTTAACTTAATTTTAAATATGTAACATATAATTAAAATTAAGAAAAAATAATAAAAATATGCTAAATAGAATCTGTTTTATATCAGATACGCAAACGTAAGTAAATGAAAACAAAAATTCCTTAAAAAAAATATGCAATGTGATAACCAACCACTTTTCAAAGTAATGTTTACTGTTAAAAAGCAAGCTGTAATAAAATTAAACAAGAAGATTAAGACCATGGTGATATTGTCACAATATCAGCTATTGACGTTCTACCTACAGTAATACCTTTCTTTGTGCTTATCGTTGTCTTTCGCACCGCTGCAAGGTACATGTGGATATGGAGCAACGGGCACCATGTGACTTGCCAATGACATCAGATTTCTGCCGGGGCTCTAAAATTAAGTTGGAAACTAAATGTATCTTAAAGATATAACAACTACATCATTTGGAAGCTGTCTTCAAAATTAAATCGTAACATTTATCGTGCCATTTACATTGTCAAAACATAATGTTATATTTATTATGTCAGTTGCTATGACATCTGAATATTTAAATAAAATTATATGAAATATAAGTATATCTTACAAAGCAATCGTGAGATATATTTTAAAAAATATCACATTTAATACTCTTTGTCGGTACAGGAGATAAATCTCGAAATAATTAATGAAATAGTTGATGTTGTTTATTTTCATATGACATTATTCAAGGCTAGTTTCGCACAACCGTGGCATTTTAAACTGCCTCCATATTGAGAAATTATTATTTATTGAATTACCATTGTCACCATTGTGAAAGCATATAGCATTACATTAGTTGCTTTGACGTCTGAAATTCTGAATGAATGAAATACACAATAGTAATGGCCGTAAAACAAGCCTTACCAAAGAAAAGTATTTGAAGAAACATAATTTGATATTTACTCTGTCGGATCTCACTACCAAACAACACATAAAACACTTTAAAGAGAAAATTAAGATATTAATTCTCTTTTCTATAAATCTACAATAATATAGATATCATTCTTTAACAATAAAACGCACTTCTTCTTAGTATGTCGACGGCAAACTTAAAGAAAGATAATAAAAAAAAACTACTCTAAAGATTATAGAAACCAGTCATAATTTCTTACCGCCTCCCCCTTGGCGAAAGTTCGACACCTCCAAAACATTTGCGTGAATCGACTTTTTCGCAGGACCTCTCGCATGTACCATCGGCTGTGGGGCTCAAGAGCTGGCGATAATACGCCAACCAACACCTGGCGAAAATTCAGTATTAAATCAGTATCGACTTCTTCAACACTTATAGCCAGTTTTTACATTTCTAATTCGGTTCATTGAGTGCAGACTTATCTCATACTAGCTTTTCGCCCGCGGCTTCACTCGCGTTATGCCCTTAAATAAATACCTTTCTTTAACCTTTCAACCATTTACAACACTTTATCCAATTAAAAATATCAAAAAATATCCTATGTCCTTTCTCAGGCTCTAGACTATCTGTGTACCTAATTTCATTTAATTCGGTTCAGTAACTTTGGCGTAAAAGCGAGACAGACAGACAGAATTACTTTCGCATTTATAATATTAGTATGAACGACGAAGTTTTGTGCCCAATCACCGCAATACTATTTTAATTTTGTTAAATATTAATAGTGACAATCATAAATTAATGAACGATTCAAAACATGACTGCAATTTCGGTTGTATGCAAGTTGCTGAAGGATTTTTCTTATAAATGCGTGGATCGGGCTACCTAAAGGAAAAACCAACCTATCATAGTTTTAAATATCCTTACTTAAGCTCCTCGCATTATACCTTTGAATATTTTCTATCCAAAAACCTTAAATAATCTTTTAACACTTTTCAACCGTTTCAATGTTCGTCACAATGTTTCGTTTTTGTTTTTCAACATTCTCACTGAGTTACCGTGTTCCATATATACTACTTATAGATTTGATATTTGGTAATAAAAGCTGAGATATTAAGTTTGACATAATAAGATTTGATATAATAAAAATTATTGTATTTGATAAAAGATATTTTTTTAACTTATAATACCAATTAAGTTAGAATACGCACATTGCCGTCGGTCCCAGGATTACTCGGTTCCAGTTCTAAGTCGTATAGAATCCGCACTGAAGTTGGATCTTCGATAGGCCTAGAAAAAGGGGATAAGTATAAATGTCGTTATATAAGTATATGTTTATATATATATAATCGACACATGGGCAGCCCGCTTCCAGGACACTAAGCTAAAATAAAATGTTCACAAGGATCAAATTTAAAATTATTTACACTCCTTTAAATTGTCTTAAAACTTTTTTAAGACTCCAAATCCACGATGAAATGTTATGTTTAATTCAAAGAGGTTAATATTTAACAAAATGTATAACATAAAATGACTACTAATGACCACATCACTACTAATATATTAAAAGTAACAAATTTTAAATTAACTGATCCCAAATATGTACAAAAAATAATACACAATAATAAAGATTTTCTACGATAATAATTTAAAGCGAGAAGTACAGTTAATAAAAGAAACTATTTATGAAAATAGCAACAAAATAAGAGAATAACGTTTATGTAAATAAAATAAAGTTTATTACGTAATGACGACAACACCCACGGGCTGATTGCGACTCAAAAGTACGTATGATTCCAACGTTTGGGAAATGAGGCTCGACTCAATTAATTCGACCAGCTCATTTTTCCGGGGTGCGTGCTCCAATACATCAATCATGTATGGTATGTCATACTCCTCGGTGTGTCGGACGCCAACCTCCCTGAATTGTAACAGTATATGTAATATTCCCTAAGAAGAACAAAATTGGTACAAGCAAAGAATGACACACCGCCAATACAAAACGAATCGAAGGTAAAACTAGAATAATGGAGACCATCAATTAATCTCCATAATTTAAAGCCCAATTTCTTATTTAATTAATATATTAAACACTGTTTAACTAACCCTTTAACGGAGTTGATGTGAGCTACGAATAGAGCTTCATTGACAAAACGACCTCGATAATTGTAGGCCGTTACTAACTGCAATATTAGACAAGATTAGGATGTTATAATATTATTATTATATATGCTTTATTGAACACCATAAACATATAAAAGATATGTTACAAAAAAAACTTATAAGGTAGTAACAATAAGGCGGTCTTATCGCTAAAAAGCAATCTCTTCTCTAAAAAGCGATATGTGTCATCCGTCCAACAAACAAACTTTATAAAACTTTTCACCCTGGAAAACACAAGCCAATACTTTAGTTAACAAATATACACAATTATTCACTACTAACTTTTCGCCCGCGGCTTAGCTCGCGTTGAAGCCCTTATCTTTTATAATCTTCTTATCTTAATAATAAATCTTTTTTTTATGTTTATTATCAGTTCAATTATTATTGTATTTTTTGGTGGAAAGAGATTTCAGTCACTTTGAATACGTCACACTCTTGGTAAGTGCGGCTCTATGATTGATATCAACTGCCATAATAGACTGCATAGTTTGCAGTAGGCAGTGCGATAAATTCATGCAGTAGCATCTGGCCTTGGGAACAATTATTAAAATAAACGTGGCAAGTTAAATGATCATGTTTGTAATAAATTGAATAGTAAAGGATACCGTAAAGTGTTCGAGAAGCGGAAATGAAGGTTCGCTGGAGGGTAAACATATGATGCAATAGTCCCGCCCTGGAAACGTTTCGAAAGCTGCTTCCAACAAATGAAAACCAAACCTGTGAAACGTTAAATTTTCGTTATATGTTTTAAGAATTAACATATTATGACTGTACTAATCAAACAGCGATTGGTTATCAATACGTTTATGCCAACTTAACATTTTGAACATCTGCAAGCCATGGCGCCCTTAATGGAGAACCATATGATCAACGCAATTTGAAACGATAAGCAATTTAGCCCTAGATACATAACGTGAGTCAAAACGACTCGCGATTGAAATATATATATCTTTATCTTTCTAAATAATTGACGGTTTGCGATGTTTTTTCAAATCAACGGTGTTGCTCCTAGAGAGCTGAAAGGTGAACGCGTCTCGCAGATAAGTGTCAGAATGACCTCACCTTATGTTATTAGTAAGAGTTTTAACTTAAATTCTATTTGTTACAGTTTATGTAATTTAGTCCTCGGTTATACGATTTCTACTAAATGATTTTTTTCTACTACATGAAAGAACGAAGGAAGGATTTGATATTTTGGAGCTATTAGAGGCGGAAGACGATGCGGAATCAATTGATGTATGCAGTGATATATGTTAATTCTTTTTTTTACAGTGGTCGGTCACTTTACTGGAAAATTTCTTTATATGTATGAATGTCTTCTTGTTCTTTATAATTTTAGAGTACCTCTCATCGTAATCTTGGTGTATTGCATATATTTCAATGAGGAAAGCGTTTGGTCGTCCTGAATATCGCGTTGGCTCCGGCGTCTTGTGCGTTTGTGACGACACGGGTGCTGCAGGAAAACTGTATTGATATAGATGTATTACTTTCCATACAATCCAACACACCTATGAATCCAATTCCTAAACAGTTGTCGGCAATCTAATCGGCACATTGTAGTGGTAGCGGCTATGGGCGATAAGGACTTCGACTCTGCTTGCCTTGGGTTGCATTACCGCACAAGAAAAGTATTTATGTTATCTACGAGTCCTTAAACACAATTGACCATTTGAATGAAAAACGCGAGTGTCTCAAAGACTAGTATAGCTACTCTACCACTTATCGTCAGTCGAGCAAATTCCAATTGATAATAAAAAGATGACAAAAAGACTGCCAAGAACTATGGCAGAGAAAATATGAGACACAATAGGCTGCTCACATTTACAATGAGGTCTCATCAATTTATCACCGAAATATCTCTACTATAGGAAATAATTGCTTCATGTGATGAATTTATGTTCTTTATGTGATTGAGTAATTCAGCTTCTGCGATAAATAAAAAAAAAACTTCTATAAATGATAACAACATCTGGCTCTATGGGAAAATTTATAAATGAAAAACCATCTTTTTTAATAAAGAATCCTACGGCCTTTGAAATCCTATTTACCGTATTTATGACTTTACCGTACTATCTTGAAACCACATTTAAACATTTAAAAAGAAAACATTAAAATACTCACGTGATTTCTTCAGTTTACCCTTTTTCAAATTTATTTCGTCGGTAAATGATTCTTTATGTTTTACATCTAATATCTTAGAAACACTATCCCCCAGCCTAGACGAAAAAAAATTTAATTAAAACAATAATGTTACACCGAAACAGGATAATCGAAACTAAACTGCAATCTAATTTTTCTGCTGCCCTTTTAGTTTAAAGCTAGGCGTAACTGAGAATGAAACATTCTAAAATTTAGTAAATTCTTTTCTAAACCTAATTTAGTGTTCTTAAATCTGTCTCGGTAAGATATTTTAAGAAAATGAAAATGTCTTTCGGATATTATCCTGTTTTAATTCATTTTCGTTAGTTTTAGACTACTCTTAACCAGCATCCACGTATTGGGATAGACTGAAATGTTCGAATAAAATCTATTTAAGTCTGGATACACGACTTTGAACCAGGCTACAGTTTCAAATATTTGTCTGAAAAAAACTTTCAGCATGCATTCAGAGCCAAAATATCGGCAAATCAATTAAATCTTCATACTTCATGTATTATTCCACAAAACGAGTTTTAATGCAACTTTTTATATGTCACTTTTGTTTACAAATTCAATATAAAAAATTCAACTCGATAGAAGATTTTATGAAAAGCTTCAACTTATGAGTGGTATTCACTTTAATTGTGGGTGAGATAAAATTGGCTCTGTTTCGTATATGCAAGACAAACGCCCAACACGAGTTAATAGTTTCTGATAATTTAGGATGAAACTGGACAAAACCAGAACCTAAATTATGGCCGCGCTTTAGAAAAAATAAGGAATTAATTTCAAGATGCGGTTTTAAGAAACCTACTAACCCTAACTTATGGTTTGATATTTCTTCGTATGAGATCAAACGAGGCAATCTTAATAAATGTGTATCGATGTTAACAATATCAAATTCTAATTCCTCCTCGTCATCCTCCAAAATATTCATTATGTCCAACTGTGCCTTCGTGCTTAAGTGAGAGATTTGCGAGGAGAGCTCTTGTTCTTGTGCTTTGCGTTCAAAACTGCTGTACCTTTCATGACCAGTCTATACCCGGGAAATTAAAACTCATTTAATTAATCAATGAATTATTACTCAATTCGGCGGCTGTTATTACGTTTTTAGCGCGGCCCATGTTCATCTGCAACATGGTAGCGATCGCAGGAGCTTTGCTAATCTTAAAAACAGTCTGGGGCACACACTGCCCATATCTCATTGAGAAAGCTTAACGTATAAGACTACCCAACAGTCTTCACTGTCTCACGAATAGGCAGGTCCGTCAGGGGGTGTTACACTTCTGCGTTCTTTCTGGTGAGCGAGTTATCCGGAGCACACTTTATCACAAGGTGGCAACGCATCTGCAACCCTACGGGCGTTATCACTTAGCATCAGGTGAACGGCCAGTTTGCTTGCCACCTTCTCACATAAAAACTAATTCGATTTCAAGCTGTTCTTTATAATAATAATAATAATAATCTTTATTTAAATATCAAAGTTTTAGGTTACAAAAATTACAAGCACATTTGTGATAAGTAACATATTGAAATTGAAACACTATGATCTTTTGTGACGGCCGATGAGCCTGCCCACTCAAGCAACAGCAAAAGCTGTTGTATGGCTCTACCGTAGCGAGATCACTTCTAAAAAAGCCTTAGAGCCGGTTTAAAATCTAATAAATTGAAAAAATTTAATATCACATGCGAAAACTGTGAAAATTTAGGATTTTGCATAGCAATGACTTTCTTGTACGATTGATGCTGCATTGATAGGTATGCTCAACCAGTGACGCACCACAGCTTCGATGAACGTCTCCAACCTCGCGATTGAAATTTTTTGAATTTATGAAAAATAAAAGGAGAAGTAAGGCACATTACTTATTTTCCAAGACAAATCTACTTCCATTTGCTTCCTCTTCATTTTACAGACGATAAGGAAAAATATCTCTATATTTTTCAACTCACACTATTACTTTGCACAACTCCACTCGGATTTTGTTTTGCTTCATTATCCGCGTCAGTGCTTCCATAGCTTTGATTGTAATCGGAAATGAGAACATTATTCTGAAGCCCTGTAAGACTAAGTAAGAAAAACATAATAAAATAATGTCAAGTTTAAATTTACCAACAAAATTCGTTCGAGTATCTTTTTTGTATTGACAGTAGAAGTAAGGAAAAATACCCAAGTTTTATTCCACTATAAACTCGGCTTTATTTATTAAAACCGATCTGTTCAAACTCAATAGATCGACAAAACAAAGGCCCGGAAATTTCTAACTCGCTTTTTTTTTATTCAAAGCTGGCCAGCGCTTGACTCCCATCCCACCTGATGGTAAGTGGCGATGCAGCCGTTGACAGTAAGCGCGCTAGCTCAGTAAAACCTATTCACTCTTGCCACGAAGACGCGTACGTTGTAATCTGACGGAAAGACGGATGCTGGCAGGTTGTTCCATTCCTTAGCTCCTTAATGTACACATTTGATAAATGAAGAAGCGAATCGCTTTGTCATTGTGCGTGAAACGGCAACAGCATAACGTTGGAGCCCCGCCAAACACCTAGTTTTCACATTCTCCAAAATGCATCCTGTACAAAACCGAGAGGCAGGCTTCTCTGCGCCTACGCTCGAGGCTAGAGTGAGGTTGGTTTTAACTAAGTTATGGTCACCAATAAGCCTTTCGCACGCCTCTCCATTAAGTCCAAGGAAGCCAGATGGCATTTTGCAGCCCCAGCCCAGATAAGGCAACAGCACTCCACAGACGATCGGACTTGAGCATTGTATATAGTAAGAAGCTCTCCCGGCGTGAAGTACCTCGCAGGTGCTTGGAGAACTTAAATCAAGTCATCTCAACGAAATCAACTAGTTAGAATCATTATAAGCCATTATCTTGTAACCTCAACCTAAAGATTTAATTTGTTTTCGTTACTCAAAGGGTATATAACTCATCAATTACCAGCCTTATAAAGCAAAGCCCAGCCCTAAGTTATCATGTTACTCTCCACGCCTTAACTGCAGCCATTGACAAACCTGATTGTCGATTCAGCGTCCTTAGTACGTTTGATATTTGAATGGTCGTCTAAATGCTTGAGACCTGCGAAAGGTGAGAGTTCGAAGCTCTCCTCCAAGGCTTCGTAGTTGATCTGTGTGTTTAGACACATCAACCCCACGGCAACTTCTTTATGCTGATGCGCAAACAAATTTAAACAAGAATAAAAATTTAAAAACAGTTAAATAATATAGCGAATCTCTACCGCTGACTGTCAGACATCACGTTAATAGAGTTTTAGAACCATAAAATATTGCAGTGCAAAATAAATAAGGGAAAGTCATACCCCCAGACAATCTTAAACATAGTAAACATACCAAAGCAGAATGAGCCATCTTCACGATTTTCACTATCGACACGAAATTAAATATTATATATTATAAAATAAATTAGTGTAGTATTTTACTACACAATTAAATATAATATAAAAAAAAACAAAAACAACATCTTATGTGTAATTTTTAATCATGGGTACATAAGCCTCAAATATAAGCCCCCAGTAATAGGATACTATTGCATCTTAAAAATACAAATACAATAATCGAATTCCGTCATCATTCTTGCTCTTGACTAGTCCAGGTACAAGACCAGAGGCTATTTTATGCATATATTAATACTTTTTTTCCAATTCATCTATATTGATCTTAATGCAAGTAGTGCAACATATCGACATGGCATTTGTACACATTCATTTTCACAACTATTCTACTTTTCAATAATGCTAAAAATATATGGAAGTAAAAACAGAAATGGAGGCCTACGCAGCCGAACAAGCTCGTTCGGCTGCATTGGCCTTGTATATTAAAAAGGCATCACAAGTTCACCTCGCAAACCAGTATCACCCGTTCAGACTCTGGGTGGCGTGATATCAATTCGCTTATATAAAATTCTCCGTACAACTCCCGCATTCGCTGCGAACGCCTCTCGATTATCGGTAACAAATCGTCATTGTCCTCTTCTCTATCGAATAAAGAAATTAATCCTCGAAATGGGTCTGTATTCAAAAATTAAACATTTTCGGCAATTCAAACATGTTATGCTTACACGGCCCTCCGTATGCGTAGCCTAAAACATACTTCACTCCTGTCCGCCACTTGCAGTATGGGCAGACGGTCCCCAGATACACCGCGCTCCATAACCTGCATTCGTCTAAAGGAGCCTTCAGTTCGAGGTTGTCCTGGCATTAGAACTGCCAATGGGAATATTAACTTCATATTAATTTATCCCTTCATTTGTGAACAGCTGCGTCAGGTTAGTGTGATTTAATTATAAACACGATATTGCTATTGATAATGATACATATTTTCTGATATCTTGTTTTTACCCGAACACAACACATTATTACACAAAACTGTTTTAAGGATTTTACCGCACTTTAGAAGTTTGAGTCACGTGATCAAAACGTTAAGAATTGAACCCAAAATCATGCATCTCATCATTGAAACCCACTGCTGCATGCATCGACCAAAGTACCACGCCCTCACAAGGTACAATAGAAGTTTATATATTATGCGTTTTGTGCGGTGAGCTTTTGAAGGTTGACGACATCACATGTAATATCGGTCTGCTATATCATCAACGTCAAATAAAACACTTGCCAGCTATATCGTCAGTCAATATGCAAGCAGGAATAAAATAATAATTCAGTTTATTAATATGTTATAACTAGCTGCTGCCCGCGACTTCGTCCGCGTAGAATAGGTTGAAGGCGTAACATTCAGACAGAAAGACAGATATACATAAAATCTAATATATAAAATTCTCGTGTCACAGTTGTCGTTGCCATACTCCTCCGAAACGGCTTGACCGATTTTGATGAAATTTTTTGTGCTTATCCGGTATCTATGAGAATCGGCCAACATCTATTTTTCATCCCCCTAAATGTTGGGGGTAGTCCACCCCTAAATTTTTTTTTTTATTTTTTAGACAAAATTTAATTTCAATTTTTTTATGATACATACAACCCTAAATTTTCACCCCTCTACGCAGACGTAGTCGCGGGCAGCAGCTAGTATGTATATAAATTATGGCCTATGACTTCTTCTGATGTATAAGCTATATTATTGTAAGGTTTCATTAAAATCCATTCAGTAGTATTTGCGTGAAAGAGTAACAAACATCCATACATACAAACTTTCGGGTTTATAATATTAGTAGGGATTCTCACCACTGCTTTGCACTACAACTTTAACCATAGCGACGTGATGAATATGGGGGTCGTGCATAAACACAGATCTCAGCATGTTATCTACAAGTTCGCGGCCGTAAATCGGATTCCAGCAAAGTAAATGGACAAATAATGTATTCCTTGCTGTTAACTCCACGGCTCTGAAATACAGCGTCAACTTCGCTTTTAAAAACCAAGAGCTCATGTTCTACTGAACTAGTAACTAATTTGTTACATAAAACTAAGGTGTTGCGTACTGTAAAGGATGCACACTACATGGCGCCAAGCATTGCTAAAAGTGGAATAAAAAGACCGTAGAAAGATGTCAAGAATTTCGCGCCACATAGCTAAGTTGGTTTGGGCGCGAAACCGGAAGACGCAGGTTCGAATCCCGCAGCACCGAGATTTCTTTTATTTATCTACAAAAATTCACAATTTAAAACTAGTTTAACGGATTTTTTTTGTGTTAAACTCCCTAACTTTGACTTTTTAATTCCCTACGTTTTGAATCCTTTACAGGGACCATTAGTTAGTCCCATGTTAGTGACCATGGACGTCACTAAAACAGGATAATTAAAAACATTATTATTTATAAATTGAGATAAACTAGGTTCCAAGTTTATTTATTACAAATTAAAGGTAAGGTTCGTTAGGCCTATATTTTTATGTACTAAGAGGACCAACGTTGCTGGGCGATATCACTTATAACGAGATTTCTTTTCTCTAAAAATCCAAATGACTCCGTCTATTTTTACTTCGTAATTATTATTTCAGTAAAGTTTCTCTGTCGATTGCAATATCTGTATACGAAAAATGTTCAAGCGTCTGTTGTTAACAATTACTAAAATCTGTACCCCAGAAAAAATAGTTAAAATCCTAGTTAGGTATATATTGCTTCATTTATACATGCATCGTCATATGTGTTTTATGTACTTATAAAGAAATTCAAAACATACTTATATTTACTCCAAATATAATCCTCCCAAGTGGATTTATGAACCGACGGTATTAAGGGGAAATCCTGCAGTGCTAAAAATCCAACTATGTGCTCATTTTCATTTAGCTGACATATTGACAGAACCGATTTCTTTCTACAAGCATTGGTAAATTGTTCAATGTCGAAAGATATATAAAAGTGATACTTCACATAGGATTAAGAATAATTACATTAAATTAAGTATATCACTAGATTTGTAGATTCTAAAATTCTTAGACATCGATTCATTTACTAGTTCTAATATCGTGGCTGCATCTTCTGGTACCGCAAAACGCAAGGGCCCTAATTCGGAGACGTAGGCCATTCTCGAAGTCATATTCTCTGAAATTGCGTAAAAATATAGAAAAGCTCTTCAGCATTAAAAAATATATAATACATATTTTAGAACATATTTGTCATATTCACAATTGCTCTTCTTTAAAAAGTGACAACATTGACGATTCTAAAAAGTTTAATACTTCTAGAAATTCTAGTGAAGTTTTGATATAATTTTCTTGTTTATGTTTTCTAATCTTTTCAATATTTTAAACTTCCAAGGTGTTCTTAGGTAAGGAATATATTATTTTTCTGCAGATATGATATTAAGGAATAGGCTTGGCATACATGATTAACAAATATTCCGAAAAATATAATATATGTTTTTTATAATACCTACTTATACAGCGTGTCGTTACAACCACGACAATAAATACATACACATATAGGGGATAAGTTTTTAAAATTGTATTAAACATGTACATTCTTTAAGCATCAATATCTACGGAGTTATTAAATTTTCTAAAACAAACAATTTAGAACATCCTTACGTATAAAACTGTAACTTTAAATTCATTTGTAAAGGTCACAAAGCATATGAATGGGTTGAATGAATTTAATAGAGATAAAACATACTGTTAGAAGGAGAGATTTGTAATGCGACGCTGTGGCAACGAATGAAAAAGTCTCTGAATGTATGAATCAGTTACTAGTTGTAGTTGTATAGGTTGTTACAAATTTTGTTTCTTTTTTATTTAATTAGTTTGTTTAAAAAAAATTTTTTTTCAATTACTTATAGATTTTTTTAACGTTTACATATTTTTATGATTATTGTTTGCAAGTAGCGTTAGACGTGTGTTCATTTACTGTCGCGGTTGTAAAGAAACGCTGTATATTGGTCATTAATTGATGTCACGGAATAAAAAAACTGTATTCCATGATTTGATGTAATGGGCTGGGTACAACAATATTTTATACTATAGACTAGCGACCCGCCCCGGCTTCGCACGGGTGTAATGCTGAATGTTTGTTTTCGACATCGCATTAGAAACATCTAAAATTATCAGTGTTTCTTTACTATATTATGCATGAATTATACATACAAAACTTCCTCTTAAATCACTATAACAATTAAAGAAAACTGCATCAAAATCCGTTGCTTAGTTTTAAAGATCAAAGCATATATAGGAACAGCGGGACGACTTTGTTTTATACTATGTAATGATTATACGCATACAAAATCAGCGGTGGAAAACTGGAAAGCGATCCTATTTCCAAATTTCTCAAATGGGACGTTTTCGTGGCTTCACTCCGGGCGTGTTAAAAACATTTTGTCTATAGTATAAAAATCATTGACTGGGTGGATTACCACAAACTTCGATTCAGTATTAACTGATTTATCTCTTAGAGAAAAAAAAAACGAGTGCGCTTTAAACCACACGACTAAAATAAAACTTCTTTAGCTCCATCGATTGGTATGTATATACTATAAACTTTTTAGTGCTAGAGTTTTTGGAAGGCGATTATTTTTTTTTTTGTTAAAAAGCTTTTTTTCTTTTTTTTAGTGATTTAATTTCAGTACTTTTGTTTTATAAAATATGGGTAGATCGAGGAAACACGCAGATCTTATGAGAAAACGGATAAAAAGCAAATAAGGAAGAAAATCTCTAAGCATTTCGAATGAAGCCTGACCAACGCGAAAATAGATTGTTAAAAAAACTTATAAGTTACGTTGGTTAAATGACGAAAATCAAGAAAATTACAATTGTCTTAGTTTAATTTTCACTCGTTTCACTATACGTTAAGTTACTTACAAAGATTTGACAAGGGCTCAACTCGAATTGCTTTGCGAACGTGTTGCGATGTAGTTCCAATTCGAATTTATCCCACTGACAGATAAGAAGACTCTTACAGTGCACACATGATAGCTAAGAATGTTGTGATTGCGCAAACAATGCATATTTATGTGATAGCAATCGCGGTTGATTTGCTGTCTTTTTTTGAAGAGTTCTGTTGTCCATCTCCGTAGCTCAACATCTACTAGACTACTACTACAACTCAGATCTATATAAAATTTATAGGGGAACATTTTGGAATTAAACCCTTTTGAGCAAAAGTTTTGCAAATCCGTCTATATATGACGGAGTTATGACTGAACATACATAATCATAAATTCACCTCCTTCTTTTTGAAGTCGGTTAAAAATACAAATATTATATACATTATCTTTTTTTCAGGACATTATTATTGCAAAAATTACATTATTTAATATATCATTAATATATCAGTAAATGATAATTTACCTACATAAAATTACTGAAACCCATGACGTCATGCATTAAAGTATTTTTGTTCTATCTTTTATTCTGGGTTTCAGATTTCCTACGTACTTGCAAATATATATATATAATGCAAGATCTTTATGAAAGATTTTAATGTATAAATTACTGAATTTTCTTCATTGTATTTTTTGTTCATACTAAAATAATACTTTAACTTTCACCCTATGAAATAATGGGGAAAACTTTATAGTTTACAAGCAACAATAAAATAAATGTATAGATTATAAATACAAAAGATTTACAATGTTGAATTTGTAAATTCATTCATTGTAAGACAAATTGATTGTCGCTTCATACCTATGAACAACGAGCTGTTAAGAAAATAAAACACCAATTTTCGAAACTTAATTTATTAAATATACTTATAATGTAACCTGAATTTAGAATACACAGTACTAAATCATTTCGTAAAACCTGTCACACACGACGGAACTGATACAATTAAATATTGAGCCTAACTTAAGAAATAAAAAAACACTTCATTTTATCGATTGCTATGCTTAATATACAAATAACATAAATCCTAATAAAAATAATTTAATTCTGTAACAAATTCCTTCTAGTACTAATTACCATCAATAAATAGATGACTTCATTGTGTGAATTTCTTTGGAGCGATTAGGTCAACGTGTCTCACTTGAATACTATATTCAAGCCACATTTAACTTCACTATAAACCGCAATATAAAAAGAACTTGGCTACAAGAAATTGAAGTCTAAAGTTAAAAGCGTGGACCCAAGTGACTCCAACGATTCGTCTCGATTGTCAAATATTATGTTCAATGTAAAAGAAAACTTAACCGTAAATTTACATAAGGCTTTAAAATATTGCTTACAATTATAGCTAAGTTCCGACGCTATTTCAAACCAAATTATTGTGTGCCGTTCGAAAAAAAATAGGAGACAGATGTCAATTAAACACATCCTGAGAGTGACTAATTCTCAGTCAAAATAGTTATTACTTTAAATTGTAAGGCATAAAATCTTCATTTGGTCTGAAACAGCGCTTAGGCGGACGTAATATATGTTACCCGCAACATATGATACGCGGTGGATATATTTCGTAAAGTATAATTCAATGTATAGTCGATTTTCCTAGGCAATAATTTTTAGTTCTTGTTCAGCATTCTATACAAAAGTTAACGGCACAACTGAAATGATTACACCAAATAAGATTAAAGTAATGATGTGCATAGAATAAACCTGGAAACAAATTAATCTTACATTTTGGTTGCAGTTTTCCTCTTATATAATAATAAATAACAGAATTTAGTCCTTGGGTTTACAGAAGAATAAACTATATCATAACATTGAATACACAAGACAGAATATGTCCCCATAAAATGAGCAGTATAATGATGCATATGGCATGGCAAATCCCAACACATTTTTATTCAATATTAACATTACTGGGATTATCAAATATCACATTACCTGTAAAATGATTTGAACTAAAGAAAAAAAATCATTTACATGAACAAAACAACTGAACGACACAAGAATTAATAAATCCTCAAAGTGCAAGCTTTGGAAATAATCGCTTCTTTGATTAGCAAGTTAACACCCTCTTACCATTAAAATAATTGCGAGAATATTTACAACAAAAGATAGAAAGGGTCATACTGGGAATATCTCTTTCATCGGTAACATAATAAAATCAGTTATGACCCTTCAAATCACCCTTCCGTGATGTGTTAATTATAAAACTAGTAGTATCAATGATTATGCTGTAAAAGACTCAAATATATAAAATTCCATTAGCTCTCTAAACTAGATGAGAATTACCCACTAAAGTTAATCTAAATAGTTATTACTATTAAATGTTTAATTCTTTCACACAATTCTTAATTTTTCTAAAATTTGAGATGTCTTTTAGGTGTACAAAAATATCGTCAATATATTCAATTCTCTCCCTAATTCATTGCTTACATACAATTATAAATTATGTTAAAAAATTAATTGGTGAGGGTTTTGCTTAGAATGAATAATCACTGATTTTATATGTTAATATTATTTATTATTTCACTATTTTTTGTAGTCATAATGCATAAGATACTGTTTTCCCATTTATTTCATAAAACTAGATGCAAATGGACAAGTTAATTATATATTATAATTGTAGGCTTCTAATTATTATTCTCTTTTATTATTAGGCTATAAAACTAAGTTTCTAGAACATTGCCTAGCCAAACATCCTGAGAAATATTCTAAGAGTACCTATAATAAAGTTATATTAGTTGTTAACATGCGAGTATATGTGAACTATTCTTAAGGCAAGTGGGATAAATATACCGCTAACATGAAAGTGAATGGTCAATTGATATATATATTTAAATAGAGATCAATATAATGCCACATGACTATTTAAAAACATGAGTTTTTAAAAAAAATAAAACCCCTGGCGTATTTTTGATGTCTCATTAACTAACCAAAGTGACATTAGGTGATACTCTGACAATATCTGATTAAAGTCTGATTTTTTCTGACAATATCTATCATACCTTCAATCTACAAGTGTTCCAAAATAATGTAAATTGTAATCAAAATATTATTGTGGAACCTGTAAGGTTAATGAATTTGCAAAAAAGCATGAGAAATCTACAATACCAAAAAAAAGTGATGATATGGAGTGAGACACTGTTCACATGAAAGTTAGAAAAAATCACATTTTAGGTTAAGAAGGTACAATGATTAAAAATCACTTTTCAGAGAAATATCATGTAAACAGATGCAAATTTATTTACAATATGTTGTCCTTGTGAACTGGTAATGTTAATTCTACAAGCATGCTTTACATATTTTTACATTGATCAAAAGCTTTTACTGTGTATACTGACACTTTTCTCATTAGAAAACTAGACTTTTCCTAATTCTTGCTTCAATAACAGCCACTCTCTGAGAGGTCTATTGGTAGTTAACTGGCATTAAATTCGTTTATTTGCGAGGATACGTTCTCAAAATATTGTTAACAAAACACCACATAAAACACATAAATGAATTTAATGCTAATTAACACGTGTGACCGTAATTTTATTTAAACTTATATTAGAAGTTGCGACAGCTTATCACACATTAAAAAAAAACATTTTAGCTATTGTTTCCAGACCAACATTTTGGATAATTTTTGGGAAATGTAGTATAATTGGTAATAAAAAGAAGAATACGTCATTCATAAGTCAATATCAAATTATTTTATTTCAAAGACTTAAGACTAACATGGTAAATAATGGAATGGTCTTCAATTAAAAGTAGTAGACTAAATCATTCCTCAGTGATCATCTTTTTCACAACTTTCAAATTTATACTTATAGGAGTACAATAATATAATGATATTACTTTTCATGTATTTTTTCCATTATATGAAAAGTAATATTATTTCCTTCATCAGATAGCTACTTAAAAACCACTTTCTGAACTAATATAATACAAATTGTATTAATTATGATAGAAGCGGTATGACATTGATGTTGAATAAAAGATGTTGACCTTACAAACAATGTAATATTTAAATAATTATGAATTATACAAGATATATATTTGTCATGCTACTTATAGCTTAAAAATTTTAAAATATTAATTTGAATAGATGTGCATATTATATCATTGAAAGTGTTATGTTTTAACTCGAATCCTGTGTGGTTTTGATGATTTACATCACTTAGCTGGCTTATGCTTTGGAGGTGTAGTTGGAGGTCCACCTTGCTCTGCTGAAGCACCAATTGCAACTCCCTCGCTGTCTACCTCCGTCTATATATAAAACATAATGTATGGTAGCGTCAAGCTATTAGCAGTCTTCACTGCTGCACAAATGGGCAGGTCAATCCGAGTAAGAAACCCAACCTCACAGAATATAAATTTTAAAATGTTTTTAAATGTATTAATTTATTTTTTGTTTTTCCATTTATGTTTAAAAAGTTACATATATTTTCTAACTGAAATAGAATTATGTAGTTCAGTTAACATTGAACTGCAATATGCCTTGAAAATACTTTTATTCAGAACGAATATTATCTAACCGGCGCGCTTTTATAACGTTTCCTGATGTGAAGGTGAAAACACCTTCTATTCCATTTAGAATTCCAAATCCAAATTAAGATATAAAATAGATAAATAGTTTATTCTTCCGCGCGGCATCCGAATTTTCTTAAATATAGCTGTTATAATAATGCATCTGCATTTTATGAATCATATTCGTATCTACGAAATTTATATTACAAACATATTTAAAAGAAATATACTAATCATACCTTCTCATCTTTCCCAGTAGCCTGTGGTGAGCTGGCGCCATTATTGCCATTTGTGTTCGCTGATTCATTGTCAGCATTTTCAGTGCTTGTTGTACCTAATAAAAAAATCAGCTTAGACAAATCTTGGGATATTGTTATATTTAAGTAAACCTTATCAATTTGTTAGTACACTAAAGATAATTCTTAATATATTATATACAGCGTGTCGTTACCATCGCGACAATAAATGAACACACGTCTAACGCTACTTGCCAATAATCATAAAAAAATATTAACGTTAAACGAAATCCATAATTAAAAAAAAAATTTTTCAAACAAACTAATTAAGTAAAAAAGGAACAAAAGTTGTAACATCCTATACAACTCGAGCCACAGCGTCGCATTACAAGCTTCTCCTTCTAACGGTATGTTTTGTCTCTTTTAAATTCATTCAACCCATTCATATGCTTTGTGACCTTTACAAATGAACTTTACGTTACAGTTTTATGCGTAAGGGTGTTCTAAAATTGTTTGTTTTGGAAAATTTAATAACTGGGTTAATATTGATGTTTAATGAATGTTTAATACAATTTTAAAAAGTTATCCACTATATGTGTGTTCATTTATTGTCGCGGTGGTAACGACACGCTGTATACTAAAGATAATTCAATACTCTATTATAGAAGTTAGATAATATTATGAACCAGATGCATTTTTGTGATTTTTCTTTTATATTTAACTACATAACATAATTTTTGGAACATTAAAAATTACCAGATTGTATGTGATTGACATTTCCACGATCAGCCTCATGCTCGCGTAGCACAGCATCCAAATTATAACGGCGTCGGTACGATATGAAAAATGTACGCACATGCGCCTCCGTTTTCGTACCTAGCGTCTCCGCAATCGCTTGGAAATCTTTACCTGGATTTAGTACAACTCTATATTAGATAAACTATCGTATAGAATAAATTATTGAATTCAATAAACTGTAATACTTTAGATTAAAACAGGTTCATAAGCGAATAGTATGTAAAACGTACCATATTTTCGAACTGCTGTTACTGCCATAAGTAATTCATCATTGGTCCAACGGGAATTAATCTTTGCCGGCGGCTCACCAGGTCTGAGTTCTTCTACTCCCGCATCCCCTACTTTGCGTTTCATGGCACTTAACTGTTGTTTATTTTGTTGGACCTGAACGAAAACATCTATGAACGTCGCTGCGCTTCAAATTCTAGCAGAAGCAACTAAGGACAGCTGCGTAAAGAAACAACTAAAGGAAAACATCGCATCTGGATTATCCAAATTCTACATGAGGACTCTTTCAAACTATTACTGTATAGCGTTTCATTAAGCGAAAATATAAAAGGGGATGGTAGATGCTATGGAAATGTGTGCAGAATACATTTCGTTAACCGCATGAAATTTTCATAAGATAAAATGATTTTCTATTTTCTAATGTTAACCAAAAAATAAATAAACTCATTTACCACATTCTCACATTACATCACACAAACAACTAGTCCTATCCATGCTAGATCGACCAAGCGCTGGATCGTTAAACCCGATCGCGCACGGTGTCAACGTAAGGGTGAGAATGTGTCGCAACACTAAATAGAGACGCTTGTTGCTGGTTGCATCTTACTTGTCTCTTGAGCGATATGATCTCTCTGTCCATCGCTTTAAGCATTGCTTCGCCCTGATTGATATGGCCTGGCTGTGGGGGGTCTCCGGGTTGGGGGCCGGTTGCCATGGCGACGAGATCGTCGTGATTGATGTAAATGCCGCGCGGCAAGCGGTGCTTGTACCGCTGCTGTTTGGAGCCGGGCCCGCGTCGCCCCGACGGACCGCAGAGCGGCCTCATCGTCCCCGTACGTCTGTCACATTACCGCCATTGTTCAAACAATCGTTAGGCTTCCGTCCGATTACTACAAACCGGTCGGCGTTCGGTTTGAGTACATCTAATAAAGCCTTTATTCAGAAGAATTAAATGGGGAAGACCAAGTCACTACTGCTAATAGGGATATACGTTTTAAAAGGCATATGTAAAACTCGTTCGTGGCCTATAGCAGAATAGAGCTTTGTATGCCAGTTTTATACATTAGATTATTGAGGTACCGTCACTTCGCCTATTCGAATGTTAACTCTCCGAATTTCACATATTAAACATGCAATGATCGTAAGGGTACTCGAAATGAAATTGTTTTATTACGTTACCGACCTGGCGTGCACGAGGCATGCCTGGCACAACTTCTGCGAGTTGTGCACCGTTGTTTGTGTGCACAGTATGCCGCAAACAGTGCACCATTTCCCCGGACCCTCGCCGCCTCCCTCGCCCTAAACCCCAATTTAACATTTTACATTCTAACCTCGTACCAACAAAAACCTATGTACATCCCTACAAAGACAAACGACCCATCGTGACTCCTCACACACTTCGTTTAATAACCCATTTACATAGTAATAATGATATTCTGCACACATTAAGTCCACATCACAAATGTTTAGTTCTTAAGGGGGCCGTTAAAGGAAGCATGCGGGAACACTGATGTGATTTGGGAATGGGGGATAAGGAACAACATTTGTACATTTTATTTGGAATAACTTTGTTAGCTTCTGATGCAACATTGACTGAATATGCTATGATAACTATAGAAACATTCTGAAACATGAGAAAAAATTAGTACCGTCTGGTCTCATTCAGCACCTTACACAACATAAGATTCCTTTTTGTTTCAAAAACTAATTAAAGAAAAACATGATGTGAAGTAATTTATTTAAAATTTTTTCAATTTGCAATAATAAAAAATTAAAATAATTAATAAATTTGAAACAGAAGAGAATCTTGCTACACAATGATCTTAAAAACAGCCAGAAATAAAAAAACTGAACATGAAAAAAGGTATCAGTGGTATATAAAAATGCAGAGCAGTCAAAAGTATAATAAAAAGCAAGTCAACAAGCAGCAAAAAAAAAATAAAGTAATGTAATGGCATAATAAAGAATTACTTTTTGTTTTATCATACATAATTGCAACTGTAGTAAGTACCAATAAGTCTAAAAGATTACATGATAAAACAAAATAATGCATTCATTAGGTGGTACATGAAATGAGGGAGTAATATTCACATAAACACAACTAAACAAAATATGAGCATAATAACAAAGATGCATGGTTCCAATTATGCATTGAATTCAATTTTACTTGTAGTCTAACACTATGTGCAGTACATCAACTTTGCCTTTAATGATACAAAAGGGGATATAGACAATCAAATTCAGCTAAGACATCTGGTATACATCAATGGATGACAATAAACAATTAAATAGCAGAAAATTTTGCAGAAGAGGACTTAGTAAGACATTTAACATCAAATAGATTGTCATAGTATCAAGATCATACTTGTTGTGGGGAAGCTTTACACCCACCTCACCCTGCTGTCCGGTGCGAAGCGAGGAACCACCCGCTGCGAGGGACTTGCCTCCTCGGACAATACCTCGGTGGATAGTCCACTTCTGTCATATCCAACACAGCAAAGTGCATCAACATAGCATTGGGAAAAATTATAAATAGCTAATAGGTCAATCTCATCACATGTTATACTTTACATCTAGCTGAAGACACTGTCTTGTGTGTAGAGTTTAAATAGTTTGTAAAATCACTTGGGACAATCTAAAATAATGTTTGTTTAATGCAATTTTATTTGATTGCTATATTAACAAAATACTGATGTAATCTACTCTGCATTTCTATTTACGCACTATATGGTTTTATCTAATGTTGGACAATCCAGATACTAATAGCTCCATATTGAAATGACATTTATGTAACAAGACTTGAATCATGAAATCTTGTCCATATAATTGTGAAAATTATAATACAAAAAGAGCAAAACAATTTATCTATATGGTGTTTCTGATAAGTTACAGTTTGTACATACCTTTTCATCATTATCTGATTCTTTGTCTGATCCACCAGGTTCAGAGCCAGCTCCAGATTCCCTCTTCCCTGTACCTGAACTAGTAGCATTGCGACCCTCACCAACAACATCCATTAGTGAGGTACGAGCTCTTGTTTTTTTCCATGAATAATAATATTTCACTAATGAAGCAATTGATTTGTCAGGCAACTGTTGAAAGAGACAATAAAGCATAAAAATGTAATACTATGTTTTATTATAAACTTATTTGATTTGGTATGCACCATTTGCCTTATTCTGTGAAAGCTTTTCCCATGAAACTGGAAAGCTTGTTCAAACAGCACTTTATCCTCCACTGTCCATTCATCAGGAAAAGGTGTAAAATTAGCAAGATCCATGGATGCGCGATTTAGGTCATGCTTGTGCCAAAATAACATTCCTAATGCTTGTTCACCATTGTATCCATACTTCTCCTTAGCTGTTGTTATATATTCATCCACTAAAACAATACATACAACACTTTAATAAATTTGAACATTAGCTGCTAGTAAATCAGTACTTAAAGTAGTACTTACATTTTATGTCTGATATATCTGATGTAGGTGACCACACAAGTAATGCTCTATCTGAAATTTGTTCAGGTCTTCGTTGTTCTACCGGTTCTAATTCTGGACAAACTGCCTGATAATCTCGACCCACTCTTATCTTCTCAGCTGCAAATGGTACTACTGCTTGGTTTCGTGTTAAATGAGTTGATGATGAGAACGCAGCATGTAGGCAGATGATGGAAAGCATAAAAAATAAAGCATGATATGAGATTGCTCAAATTACGATCACCGCAACGCAAACAATGAATTACACACAGACGCAGTTTTAATGGTTTGCTAAGGGATGATTATTTATTACTCAAGATTTTATATACGATCCAGTTCTTTCATGCATAAGATTTATACGATAAATCCAAACTCCCATCTTAACAAATTACTTTGCCAAAACTAAAATTTTCGTACCATTTTCATCCTCTGAGCTGGAATCTGGGCTTCCATGGCCATTAGGGCTCGGCCCTCTTGATCGCTTCCCGTTTCGAACATCACTGCTTCTTTCAGCCAATACCATGATTACCAAATTTCACAATAAATGTCACAAATTTATCACGAATTACACACAGTTTATATAAACATTTATCCTTTGTTATGTGTAAGAAACAACAACACCTAAATAAAACTAAATGCGAAGCTTCGCACTTCAATTCAAACGTGATTCAAACCACCGCATCAATAATTTGACAAACCAGCGATAGAACGTAATAATTCATTAAAAGGCGTCTGTACCAGTGAAACCATTGGCATTCACTTTAGCCCACGCGTGGACCTTGTTTTATTATAATAGTTTTAAATAAAATATTAATTACGAATAACATAACACTCATTTAAGCTGTAATTATTTTATCAATTGTTAATAATTTTAAGGTGTTCTAAATAGTATTAACTTCAACCTCATTTAAAAAGATTTTTTTATTTGGCAACCTTTTGTTACAGGCTTTTTTAAATGAATTGAGATGTGAATCTTAGATTTCAAGTACAAATTAAAGTTTTCTATCAACAAATATTACATTTATTTGCCACAAAAAAGTTGTCTTGCATATTTTTAGCTGTAACTATCGTTACAAGAAGTAATAATAAACGTATAATTAAACGATATATTATTTACACTATTATTACATGTTTTAATAAAAGATGGCGTTCTTCGCATACTCAAAGCATCCAAATCACATTTCATAATCCTGCCGTTTATAGTATTTTTTTTAATTTTCATTAAAAGTATAATATCCACGATTTTAAAATATAAATATATTTCTTCTATATTACAAGGCAAAAAGAACTCAACTGTATTAAAGTAAGAAATATGTAATCCATGAGTTCTTTCTTTAATGTCTTAATTATGTCATTTGTTTTCATTATTTACTTGAAAAATATAAATATAATATAATATGAAAACCCTATTTTGTCCGTCATATAACTAACAAGTTTGTACAAGATTATTAATAGTCTAATCTAAACATTGTGTTCAAATTACCGACAGTGTGTATTTATTTCAAGTACCTACACCTTCAGGCCTTTGTTGTATCCTGGATAGATCACACTTGATAATTTATAAAAAAAAGAGTGTACCGTATGTATTTCATGTTTTTCTGTGTCAACGGGTTCAGGTACGGTTCTGCGTCGTCTGGGACAACGGAACGGATTTGAATCGAATTTAGAATTTAAAATTGAGATTGTAAATATCTGCACTCAGAGTGAAGCCACAAAAACGTCCCAACTGGGATGTAGTCAATGATATTTTATACGACAGATATGTTGTTAGGCGCGAAGTGAGTCCACAAAAACGTCGTAGTTAGGACGTCTTGTCTTTAGTTCTTGTCACGCAAGTAGACGCGTAAAAAGCAGTGTTAAAAATTTAGCGATAATAAAATGCCATTGCGCATATTAAAAAGATGTACCAACTACGATTTTAAAGTTAATGAAATACAAGGGATCTCATACCACATCTAAGTATGCAATATATCTTCGATTTATTACTGTATTTCAATTATTTTCCCTATATTTCAATATACAGCGTGCCGTTACCAACGCGACAATAAATGAACACACATATAGGGGATAACTTTTTAAAATTGTATCAAAAATTTACATTCTTTAAACATCAATATTTACAAAGTTATAAAATTTTGCAAAACAAACAATTTTAGAACATCCTTACGTATAAAGCTGTAACGTAAAGTTCATTTGTAAAGGTCACAAAGCCTAAGAATGGGTTGAATAAATTTAAAAGAGACAAAACATACTGTTAGAAGGAGAGGCTTGTAATGCGACGCTGTGGCAACGAATGAAAAAGTCTCTAAATGTAGGAATCGGTCAGTTGTAGTTGTATATGGATGTAGTTGTATATGGATGTTATAAATTTTATTTCTTTTTTTACTTAATTAGTTTTTTAATTATGATTTTTTTTAACGTTTATATTTTTTTATGATTATTGGCAAGTAACGTTAGACGTGTGTTCATTTATTGTCGCGATGGTAAAGACACGCTGTATAAAAACAAGGAAAGAGGCGGCAAATAAATTTAATACGGAAATGACAAAGACAGATGAACTACGGACATAAATTAGACAAGTACAGATATAAATGTAGGCAGTAAAGTCATCGTCACTCTACAGTTCAGTTTACCTTTTTTGTGTATGTTAAATAAAGTATTTAAATTAATTCCAAACTCAGTGGTTTTAAATAGGGGATACCAGCCTTTTTGAATAACCGTAAACATGGATGTTGAAATCAAGTATCATCCCCTTACAAATGTTATTTTTATATACCATTATGTACTTTACGCACACATCGTTTTTATTAGAGGTTTCTTAAAGAGAAATATTTTGTAGGTGTTGGTTGCTTCATAAGCGTGTGTTTATTATTATTTCTTTGTTAATGTGTACAGGTATTATTTAAAATTATACATTTTTTCAGCGCTGCAGGATGCAAATCTGGATCTTCTGGTTTCACGCGCAGGCGCTTTTTCAATTAAGTTTAGGGACCGTTAGTTATTGTTTTATTATTTTTTGTAGCTGTTAGCCCGGTGACAGCTTTGTCGGAGAAGGTCAACAGGAACACGACTTACGAACTCAGGAGAATAACCTAGCTGTATTTGTATTTGTATAACTGATATTACGCTTTCAGTCCTTAGACTGTTAAAGCTTCATCAGAGAACTAGTGGGCTAGTCAGAACCCACAGGTTTAAGGCCCTCCTCAGCGGGAAGGGCCGCGCATGTACTCATGCGTGCGTTAATTATGGCATGTCGCCTACGGGCGACTACGGTTCATCGAGGTTCGGTGCGGACCGTGTCCCCGATGGTCGTTGACTGTGCTTGGTTAGTCGGTGGCTGAGGGCGGTGAGAACCACTTTGGAACGTGGGTGTATCTAATGTACGCGTTGTGTTGGTTTCGCCGTGCTGAACGAACGGCGAAGGCGAGGACGAACTATGGTGTTTGTTTATGCACTAACTGAGTGTGTAGTGTTATTTCGCAGAACAACCTAGCTGGTGCACGGCGACAAGAGAGTTTAACCATCCTTTTGGCAAATCAAATGATATTTCACAACTTTTTTTTTCTTTTTATCCTTTGTTGTAAGGACAACTATTATACGTATATAGTATACAACTATTTGTGGTTCACACAAATATTTGTCCCGTGTGGGAATCGAATCCACGACCCCAACGCCGAAACCAATACCTTGGCTACTGCGCCACAGAGTCATCATAACACAACTGATTAGTTAATTTCTACGATGCAGTTTCTGAAATCATCGTAGAAAACTATCAGCTGTCAAATGGCTTTTCAAATGTAGTCTGAGTAGCCAAAAGAATGGTTAAATCTCTTTGAAATGATCATTAAGAAGATTATTCTGATGATATTTGAAAAGCCACTTGACAGCTGATTAGTTAATTTCTACGATTATCAGTGTTTCAGAAACCGGGTGGCAGAAAAATATTTAGGTTTGCAACAAGCATTGTTCGCTGCAAAAACTATTATTTATTAATATTATTTTCTTTAAATATACACATTTTATTAGTTTTAAATGATTACAATACTATTAAAGTAACTACTGAAAATTTTAATTTTAAAAAGTAATTATATAAAAGTTAAAGAGTATAAGGTAGGTATATAACATATCTTATGTTGTGTATAGATATATAATGCTGCCAGAAGAATTATTTCTCCTTAAATAAGGATAATACGTTTATTATTTTCTTATTTCTCTTATTTTCTTTTAATTTGAGAAGTTATTTAAAAAAAATGTAAAGTTAACAACTATCTATGTTAAAAATAATACGCATTTATTGAAAAGAAGCGTTATTTAATAATTAAATCATTTTATGAATACATAAATAGTAAATACTAAATTCTAGTTCTAATCTTTCATCTCTTAGTCCCAATTCTTAACTGTTCTTCTAAAGTGAAAAAAATTTAGAAATATCATTTAAAATTGTATACCGTAAAAACTTATTACTCTAGAAGGCGTCTTTTGTCCACAGCTTTAAAGATTGCCTTATCTAAAAATGTATACAGTTCAGCCTATAAACGACAACCTGTTTTTATAATAAGTTATAATTTAAATATAACCATATTAACATTGTGAAATATAATAGGTCTCTTGCTTTATTTTTAATTAATAAAACATCGTCACTAATAATATGTCAATTGTGGCTAAAAAGCAAAATGGAAGTTTTAAAAGTTCCGACAAAACATTTAGGCATGTTTTAGAACTGATTAAACATTTGACGTTTGTTAAACCTTTGCATGAAGTTTTTCAATATTATTTTCTTCTAATTGAAGAATGTTATCAAAATAGATAACGATTATGCAGCAACTTATTTATCTCTCACACAGACTGTTCAGTTAATTAGCTCGGCATAATAAAACTTTTGTTATTACACGGTACCATGCTGCAGTCGTAAAATAGCCGCGTTGTGTATTTTTTATTGTAAATTTTACTTAAAATATTATGAATGTTATGTAACGGGAACTCAGTGATATATCATCGGTGATATTTGTTAATGAAGATGAGGACGGTGGCATTAATAAGCGGCGGGAAGGACAGCTGCTACAACATGCTGCAGTGCGTCGGTGCCGGGCACACAATTGTAGCACTGGCCAACCTCCAACCGCAAAACAAAGGTTACTTTCGTCATCTTAACTAATTTAGACATTCATTAATTGATTGTTTAATTTTGATTAAAAATCATAAAGTGGGGACTTCTTAATATAGTATTAAGTACGTAAAAAAAATAAAAATAATTATGACTAGGGACTTCATAAAATATACATAATAGAAAGTATTTGGCTAGAAAAAGATTTTTATATAAGAAAGTACATTTTTTATATTTCAAATTTATTGCTACACATGTGAAAATTGATCAATTTTAATTTAAAAAAACAATTGAATTCAATTATCAACAACCCTTCCACAATGCTAAAAATGTGTGCTAAATTAATTTTATGTGTAAAAATTCATTATAAAAATATTTTATACTTAATTTATGGCTAAAAGTTATTAGGGCTTTGTTTTTGTTTTGGATTATAAAGTTTTTGTTACCAAGTAGGGTGAATTATGCTACATATGTGAATAATTTTATGTTTCTAGGTTTGTTGCACAGAAATTGGATAACATTAAACAAAATAATATTTACAGATGAGTTGGACAGTTATATGTACCAAACAGTTGGTCATCAGGGAATTGACTTATATGCTGAAGCAATGGAGTTACCATTGTACAGAGAGGTAATTTCTGGTGTGGCTGTTGACCAGGGAAGGAATTATAAACCCACAGAAAATGATGAAGTTGAGGACCTCTATAGGCTCCTTGCAAAAGTAAAGGTATGATAGATCTCTAAATTTATATATTAAGAAACCTTTTATCATGTTTTCTAGAGAAAAAAAATTTTAATGGTGTTTAAATAACTAATGAGTTACTTTAAAACATACTAAAAATATTTCCAACAATCATTTACTTTTGTTTTATGGAAATATATCAATATCATGATTTATAACATGAGTAGATGTTTCCTTAAGTTCTTGCAAAAGATTAACTTCATATACAGTTGTAATGCTTTTATAATAACTAATAAATTCTTTACACTTGTATCATTCACACATTTCTTTTTTTTCTCCCAATGACTTGACTCCGGTTTGCTGTAACTGTTTGCCTACCAATTATCTTCATTTTAAATTGTGTTTGCACTGAAATTTATGTGATTACTTAATTTTTTAGGATGATTTAGATATAGAAGCAGTGGCTTGTGGGGCTATATTATCTGATTACCAAAGAATAAGGGTAGAAAATGTGTAAGTAAAAATTAATACAATTTAATGCTAGATTTTGATTTATAATACATAAGTAGTTAGAAATATTACCATACCTTAGATATCATAGAACCATAACATATTTCATATTTATATGGTGGCTGAGATATGTAAATTTCAGAACGATATGACCTAGTATATTATAAAAAGTATTGGTAAGTTACCAAAATGTAAGAATGTATTTAGTAATACATCCAACAAGAATGGGGGAAAAAAAGTATTTGACACTTATATTAAATAAAACATTATATTTGTTTTTAGATGTCAAAGGCTTGGTTTAGTGTGTCTTGCATATTTATGGAGGAGGAACCAGAAGGAACTTCTACAGGAAATGATAGCTAGTGGTGTAGAAGCTATTATAATTAAGGTTCAATCTTATTTTATCATAAATCTCACAGCTCAATAAAACACTTAAAAAGTATTGTGTGAATTTTTTTATATAAAGCCATATATGTACCATGAATAATTAAAATGTGGCAATGATCTTCTTGGCCAACAGTTTTCACAAAACAAATTTCATAGTTTCGTAACCGAAACTTTACTGCTTGTTAGTGGTTTGTGTACAAATACTTTCTCCAAATGATTTTTATTATTCTTATTTGTTGAAAATTTTATACAGGTGGCAGCACTTGGCTTGGATCCCAAGGTACATCTTGGTATGAGCATACGCGATATCCAACCTCACCTACTAGTCATGCAGGAAAAGTATGGTCTTAATGTCTGCGGTGAGGGTGGGGAATACGAGACTTTCACATTAGACTGTCCACTGTTTAGGAAACGACTGGTGATGTGAGTAGATAATTTGAGTATAAACTTCTTTTTAGAGACTTTTATATTTTATTTTGTAAATATTAAAATCATTATGTAAAAACCGGCCATGTGCAACTCGGACTCGCGCATGATGGATCCCGTATCATCTAATATATAAAATTCTCGTGTCACGGTGTTTGTAATTGAACTCCTATGAAACGGCTCGACCGATTTTCGTGAAATTTTGTGTGCATATCGGCCAGGGTGGAGAATCTGACAATATCTATTTTTCATCCCCCTAAATGTTAAGTGTGGTCCACTCCTTAATTTTTTTCTTATTCTTTATATATATATATTATGTGATACAGCATACAAAAATACATACAACCCTAAATTTTCACCCCTCTACGCAGACGTAGTCGCGGGCAGCAGCTAGTAATCTATAAAAACGGCAAAAAATCATATGTATGGGAGCCCCACTTAAATTAGCTATTTTTATTAGCTCAAATATCAAATGTTTTCCTAATTTGAAAATCAATATTTATTCATGATAAAAATATTAAAGTTATTTTATCATATTTAATTTTATTTTGTATTTCATCATGTAAATTAATTTAATAAATGAAGTCCATCCATTATTTACACTAACACTGATATTATAAGGAGGTGAAACTTGTTTTATTACATATTAATGAACTTGATGTAGCAATGGCAGTCTATGTTGAATTATGTATTAGGAAGACCCTTCTTTCTTAAGTACATAGCAATAGATATTAAGTAGGGATATGAATTTATTTTACTGACTAACAATTATTTGACAGAGACGAGAAGGAACTAGTGATACACTCGGAGGACCCTGTTGCGTCCGTCGGCTATTTGAATCTGAAACTGCATTTGGAGGCGAAGGAGGACTTCAGCGAGCCACAACTGCCGCCAACCGTGAAGAGCTCACTTGACTTTGTCAACGATTTGAATGACACGGTGTTTAGCGACTTGAGCGACATAGAGCTCAGCGAGTCCGAGCTGGAGTCGATCGAGAAATTGGAGAAGGAGAAGAAGGAAGACGATATCAACCCACTGCTCACTTACTCACGGGAGGGTATCGACATATCAGCCAACCTCGAGGCGGCCGACGACCTGCACAACGACACCACAGACAATGTAGAGCTGGGCTACAACTACGACCACATGTGCAGCGAGAGCGCGAAACATCCGGTCATAGACCATAGATGCATATTTGGGAACAGCCACGGGTGGTATTTCATTGGCGGCATTGTTGGGGAGGGAAATGATACGGCGCTAGCGACGAAGGACGCTATGAAGAAACTCATTAGTAGGTAAACTTTTTGGAGTGTTTCCCTTTTCCATTGTTTACATGCACGCCGTACACTATTCTAATATGTAAAATTGTGAGTGTCTGAAACGAAAGGTGCACTGCCGCAACAACTTGTTACACCGTCTAGTGCGTACGGACTGGGGGGCTACGCCACATGTGATGCGCACTTCTGGCCTGGCGCTAGCGTTCTCTGCCGGCGAGTTTGCTTGCCTCGTATGGGGCCGCTCTATTCATGCAAAGCTCGTGGATACAGCTTTAAATGAAACCTGCCGAATTATAACCGGATGTTTGAAGCCAACCCCGGTCAAATTGCTGTATCCGCTAGCTGGAATAGCACCGTCGGCTGTAAGCAGAGCCGTTGCGAGCTCGCGAGAGAGGGCTAAGGGTGTAGAAGACATGCGGCACCCCTTACACGGGCACGAGCCTCCACCGCAAAGACTGAAAAGCCGAAAAAGTTTTTTAAAATACGTCGACCCCCTCACAACCGAGCTCTCTCAAGCGAGATGTAGATTGAGGCGTGCTGAAACGCTGATTCCGGACCCCTTTGTCCCGCTTTCCGAGAGTCTTCCGCCTGGGCACAGATTGCCATGGCCAATCTGGAAGTCTTTAAATAGACTTCGGACTCAGGTTGGCCGGAGCAAAGAAAATATGGTTAGGTGGGGACTCTCGGGGAGCCAAGACATAGATTGTGTGTGTGGAGCGGTGCAATCCATGGCTCATCTGGTGTCCTGTCCTGCCTGCCCTTCCACCTGTTCGCAGCAGGATTTGATGGACGCCACGAACTGTGCAGTCGAAGTGGCCAAGTTCTGGGCCGGAAAAATTTTATTTGTCATCGACACGCAAAGAAGAAGAAGATCATAAAATCAAAAACAGTCAAACTCTTTACTACAAATAAGAGTGAATAGTTATTATAAAAAAGTAGTCAGATTAACCACGTTGTCTTAACGTAACAGACAAAATTCCGGATGGTAAGGAAATATCCATAGCGAATATTAGTAGAACATTTTCAACCGTGTTATAAGATCACATATAAACATGCCCTTACTTTAGGATAACACAGGATAGGATATTTGAGGTAAATTTTACAATGTCAAACAAATAGTTGCCTCGTGTTGGAATTGAACCCGCGGTCCTCAACGCCGAAGCCAGCACCTTGACAACTGCGTCACGGAGTCACCATAATAATGTATGTTTGTATTTCAAACGTGTATCACTATAATCGCCAGTAGCTCTGATATCGGTATTAGTATCACTCATATAGTATTTACGTGACCATCCATTAACCACGTGGGGGCCACGTTCTTGTCACAAATGTATTTATCAATTTCAGTGCGTATTTCTCTAAGCTGATTATTAACCATATTATTTATTTACTGTTTGTTTGCTAATGTACTTTCACTAACTAAGTTACCTTAAAGATTTCTAAAAATAATTAGATTCGTAATTATTTTTGTAATAATTATAATATAATATTAAAAAAATCGATATGTCCTTGAATATGGTCATTATTAGCAAATTGTGGCTTTTGCTCAACTCAAATGCGACAAAAATAAATTCTGTTATAGATTCTTCTGTGCTTTGTTTTAACTGTGGCTCGAAGAGTTTAATATTAATGTTTGATTTGAGCTTTTGCATAATCCATACGAGGAGATTTTAGTGAAGGCCGTTGCGTAAAATTTTAAGAAACATTAAAACGCGATATTTAATTAAAAAAATATATAATTTGAGAAAGTGTAATGTGCAAAGGAAGTACACTGGAGGGCGCCGAACTTATCGAAAATTGCAATAAAACAACCACTTAACTTAGCGATCGGAGCGCCTGGCGCTATAAGAAAGGCGGAGGTTCGAATCCTGGCAAACGAAAAAGAGACAGAAAAGGGACAATTTGTCTACGCATTAAAAGTTTTAAATGGGAATCTTTTCGAGATCGGTGATAATTTTAGGTCTACTGGATTCCGAAGATCTGCAGCTGTCGAACGTGAGCTCCGTCAACATCTACATGCGCGACATGGGCGACTACGCCGCGCTCAACGCTGTGTACGTGGACACCTTCCGATTCCCTAATCCGCCCACGCGCGTCTGCATACAGTGCCCGCTGCCCAGCGACGTAGGCCTCATCATGGACGCCGTGAGTATAAACCGTATCGTCATCATTTCATCCTGCGAGAGTCATTGTCATTTCAGCGTCAACATGGACGCCCTGAGTATAAAACGCGTCATCATCATATCATCCTGCGAGAATCATTGTCATTTCAGCCTTATCATGGACGCCGTGAGTATAAACCGCATCTTCATCATTTCATCCTGCGAGAATCATTGTCATTTCAGCCTCATCATGGACGCCGTGAGTATAAACCGCGTCATCAGCATTTCATCCTGCGAGAGTCATTATCATTTCAGCGTCAACATGGAGGCCGTGAGTATAAACCGCATCGTCATCATATCATCCTGTGAGAACCATTATCATTTCAGCCTCATCATGGACGCCGTGAGTATAAACCGCGTCATCGTCATATCAACCTGCGAGAGTCTTTGTCGTTAACGTTTCAGCCTGTTTGAGTCCACTGCCTCCCCCCACTGACTGCCACGGAGAGTGATCCCCAGTCACCTGCAGTTATCGACTTCCTGCCCATTTGCACAGGTCGTCACACAATCCGAGGGGGGTGTACTATACTGCTGGCTCCGTGGCGCTGTTGTGATGCTATTGGCTTCGGCGCCGGCAGTCGTGGGTTCGATTCCCACACGAGACAACTATTTGTGTGACGCACAGATAATTGTTTGGGTTTTAGTGCACATGAAATTTATTGTCCGTACAACCCAGGCTAATGGTATCTTACAAGGGGTAAATGTTTTCGAAAGGAACAATACATTTAGATCTTCTAGGTTGCTGTGGGCGTTGGGACGCCGGGGCACAATAATACCAATGAAATTAATGACGGAGTTCAGAGACAAATTGGTTGCCAATATTCCATTATTGACGTGAATAACGGATTTTATCGTGTTTTGTGCTCGATTAGCGACGCTTCGAACATTTATTTTTTATTATGCTGCCCACAATCACGGCGCGGACTGTACTTGTGTTTCACTTAACAACATAATAAAATTGATGCACCAGATAAAGGTTCTTCTCTTCTATTATATGTATAATAAATATAACGCGACGTAGGTACTTTCCTGTCACTAGTACCACCGATATATAATGATTTTAGTTTGTTTTGTTTTGTTTATTCATAATAAGTAGCATTTTTTCGGTTTAAGGTAGATTACTTATTTGATTGCTAATTATAACAATCTCAACTGCAAAGGCAGTAGCTAAAGAGCTAGCGTTAATATTCCTTCCTATAATCTATCAGATAATTGTTGATTGAATTGATAATGTTCATACAATTGATTTTTTTGCTAGTTACTTCAGATTAGTCTTGCTTGTTACTTAATTTTAAACCTATTACGCTTTATCGAATCAATAAATTATAATTGGTTTTCGATTGGTTATCAATTTTTTTAAATAATTTAGATCAAGATTAGAATATAGAATATCACGAAATAAAATTTGATCATGTATTCATGTATCATGTATCATGCATATAGAATGTGATTTATCAGCATTAAATTCGTATATTAACGATGTCGAATTTTTAAATTTTGACATATGTACCCCGTTGAGAAATAATCCAATTAAGTATCAGTAAATAAAGTATCAATAACCGTCTCTCAGCCATTGCAATGAAATGAAGGTTTAAACGCGATCTTAAACGAAAGAAATGTAAAAGTATCTCATATATAACACTTGTAATGACCATGGACTCAATAAAATCTTTCGAAACGTCGAAACAAGTCAAAATGAAACGATACAGAATACGTTAAGTACATTTAGCAAAATGGACTGAGTGAGAATTGTAAACACATGAGAACTTGCACACACAGACTAAAGTTTTTATTAAAACAGGTCGCCCATAAACAAGAGGTCAACCACAACAGCGAGGCGGAGGGCTGCAATTGTAAGGAGCGGGTAACGATGCACGTGCAGGGCATATCGCACTGGGCACCGGCCAATATTGGACCTTACAGTCAAGCTGTTAAGGTTTGAAACGCATTTATTTCACCATTGGGTTCTTTATCACTAGTCATTGGGACATAGATAATATTTTAATTGTTATGTAAAAAATTTACAATTAGTGACAAATTCTTAAGTTGTCTAATTAATATGTCACTGAAACCTAATAATCAATCGTAAGGAAGAAGACACCAGTCATATAATAAATCGATTTTTTTAATTTTTGATTGAAGACAGTAAGTTAATGATTAGTTATTAGAAGCAAATTTTGTATTGCCAATTTATTTCTATAGCAATATCAGCCAATGACAGAGCCCGGAGGGGTTGAAAGTAACTTCACAATGCCTGCCCGTATGAATCGTCAATGCGACAGAGAGCGCAACATTATTATTACGCAACAGTATTAACAGTGGAGGACAGCGGAGACTTTGGGGAAGGGGAGCGTGTTGGTGTCCCTAAGAGAGGTGGTCGGGACCCTATCGAACGCAGGTCTTACGGGGAGGTGACAGTGGTGCGTCACGATGCGTCCCCGTTTGAACCATCAGTGCGACAGCGAGCGCAACAGTCGGCATCCTGCTTCCGCGTATCATTATCCCGCCGACAGTGGAGAGCATGGGAGACTGGGGGAGGGGAGCGTGTTAGGGTCTCTAAGTGAGATTATTGAACGCAGATCTTACGGCATGGGAGACTGGGGGAGGGGAGCGTGTTGGTGTCTCTAAGTGAGATTATCGAACGCAGATCTTACGGAGTGATGACAATGGTGCGTCACGACCGTTTGGTTTGACCCATCAGTGCGACAGAGAGCAGAGCGCAACATTCGGCATCCCGCTTTCGCGTATTACTATCCCGCCTACAGTGGAGGGCAGATGAGACTTTGGGGGAGCGGAGCGTGTTCGGGTCTCTAAGAGAGGTTATCGAACGCAGATCTTACGGAGTGGTGACAATGGTGCGTCACGATACCTCCCCGTATGACCCACCCAGTGCGAAAGAGAGCAGAGAGCGCAACAGTCGGCGTCCTGCTTCCACGTTACCTGCACTGGGGTCCCTTTCTTGCGCAGGTCGGCGAGGTGGTGAGCACCAGCGGGCAGATCGCGCTGGTGCCCGGCTCGATGCGGCTGGCGGGGAGCGGCGCGAGGGGGCAGTGCGCGCTCGCACTGAGGCACATTACGCGCGTACTGCGCGCCGCACACCCCCGCGCGCACATTCGCAGCGTAGTTCAGGTGTGTCTCCTTTCTCTTAGTTCTCTGGCAGTTCGTGACGTATATTCTTTTGTATTTGGACACGCACAAACTAGTGTACTGTTGACTTATACCTGCATATTATCTCGCTGGTTCGCCTTCTTATAAAATCAGTAAACCTAAGTAATTGACGTATTTCATGGCTCTCTCAACTTAAATTCAACTCTATTAGCAGTAACTACACTGGTCGTTTGCTTTTTTATTCGTAAACTAACTGCCTGCGACTATCTCTGCGTAGAATAGGCTGTAGGCGTAACATTCAGACATATAGCCTATGTCTTATTCTAATGTATAAGCTATATTGTTGTAAAGTTTCATTAAAATCGTGAAAGATTAACAAACATCCATCCATACATACAAACTTTCGCCTTTATAATATTAGTAAGGACGGATTTCTAGAAAAGTCGTATTTGCTTGTTTTTTTTTTATGGAAAGAAGAAATAATTAGTTTGTCATGAACGCTACATGTGGCAGGTGCAACACAAACTTCAGTTAATCTGTCATTATGATGAAATATGAATATAATGTATTGAACAGGGCGAAGCGTCCGTCCTTTTTGCCGCCCAGTTCCCTATCACACTACATGAAATTTATAGGTTTAAGCATATTTATATAGGGCTTTTTCGCAATATCGAACATCTTTAATAGAGTGTGTGCTACGTGACGCAAATATCGGCGGCGCGTGAAGCCCGGCGGCAGCTCGAGCGGCGGACGGCGGGCGCCATTGTGCAGTGCGCCGTAGTGCAGGCGCTGCCCAGAGGCGCCGCAGTGGAATGGCACGCGTGGGCGCACACCGACAACAACCGCTTCGACTGTACGTACCTTCGCGAATAAACGGTGTTCATACGAGTGCCGACTGCGTGCGACTGTACACATCAACGCAGTGCACGAGGTGCTTCGACTATACGTATCGTCGCGCACATTCACAGTACATACACGAGTTTTAGCTGTGTTTGACTGTACACATGATCGTACAGCTCTCGAGGCTGGTATGCCAGCAACCAGCGCTTCGACTGTATGTACCTTCACACACACTCTCAGTACCTGTTCATACCAGTTCGTACTAACTACGTCAACAGCGTACGCATCAACGCACACACTCGAGGTGGGTGTGTCGGCAACAAGAGATTCGACTGTACACGAGTACATTTGACTGTACAGTGTCATATCAATGCACATACTCGAGGTGTGTCTGCCGGAAATAAGCGCTTTGACTGTACTTACCATCGCGCACACTTGTAGTATTCACAAGAGCACCACCTGCGCTTAACTGTACAGTGTATTCGTCAACGAGGGAGAATTATGCCAGTATCAACAAGCGCTTTGACTGTACGTATCATCGTGTTCAGTCATGTCATGGTGCACACGCAAAACACAGTCATGTCATGGTGCGAAATACTAAACACATAAAACGTACTTTATACTATACATACTGATGCACACACGCAAATTGCATACCCCAAAACAAACGCTTTGATTAAAAATCTTCGCGCATTATGATTACCACACAAATACCAACTGATTTTGACTGTATAATAAAATAGTGTAAGCACACCTGTCTACCGCCTCTAACTATAAGAATCTTAGTTATAGTCCATCGTATAGCCAGGCTCAGGCTTACCGCTAATCCCTTCGCCAACAAATCAACTCAAAAGTATGAAATAAAACAAAGCGCGACTATACGCAACTTTACTCCAACGTTGAGGAGTACAGTCGCGTACTACTAAGGGAAAAAGAGGCGAAATCGAGAGAGCATTAATCAGAGTCAGAGTAAAACAAAATCAATGGCTTTGACTGTTCTTATCCACACAAAAACTGTCAGACATAACGACGACGGACAACATGAACTCTTAATTAGTGTTTCCGTATCTGTTTGCCAAAAGATGCCGTTCGTTATACAGAATCCATCATCGCTGTCTCGAAATTAACAAAAAAATTTATTTTAATATCTACATGAGTGTGTTTTGACTGGGTCTTAATTTTAAACATGTACAAAAATAAACTCATGTAAAATTTTATTTAGTTCAAAACAAATCTAATTTCTATTGGTACGATATTTTTTTTAACTAAAAAGTGTCCTAGCAGGCTAAAAATAATCTACTGTTCTAATGATATAGACGTCGATTCTACGTTTTGAAACGTGTCTTTCGTGACTACCGTCTTTCCTATTACTTACGTGTAAAAATCACTTCACAAAAACGTTCATGCCAAGTCGAGTCAAGTCAAGACAAATATCTTTTTTCAATATAGAAGCATTACACTTACTTATTGATAGTCAAAAATTGCTACCACCTGTTCGGAAGGAAAGCCAGCCAAGTGCATGACGAGTCTCATAATTGGGATAGGACGTTGAAAGCTAAAGGATAGCATAGTAAAAATAAGTAAAGTAACAGCTTATATACCACGCAATACTGTTGCACGAATGGGCAGCCTTGTCCGGGTAAGTACCACGACCTCACAGAAGACCGGCGTAAAGTAGAAGTGTTATAGTTCTGCGTTTCGCCTGGTGAGTGAGGTAGCCGGGGCCCACTTTATATAAGATGGCAACGCATTTGTAACCCTAAGGTTGTTGCAAATGTCCAAGGGCGGCGGCTATCACATAACATCAGGTGAACCGCCAGCTTGCCAGTTTCTCACATAAAAAAATATGTCTCACTGCTGGCCCCCTTTATACAGAGGGCTTTAGAGCGTAGTCCACTACGCGACCCCACTGCGGATAAGCAGAATTCACAAATATCTTCGACAATTTTTTTTGTCATTATTGGAAAATATGCAGGTTTCGATAAAGCACGTGATAAATGGGAAAATATGCAGGTTTCCTCACGATGTTTTCCATCACCGCTAAGCACGTGATAAATGGGCACGTGAAATTAAACTAGATCTAAATTTGAACTAAATTATTAAAAAGGCGAGCGCCCGATCTATAACGGCTGTTAAATTTAACCAAATAATGTAATATAATAATTTCATAAAAGAAAAGTGGGAGACCGTCTTCGATTATAACATTCTTACGTCTGGTTTCTGAAACACTGATCATCGTAGAAGTTAACTAATCAGCTGTCAAATGGATATTTAAATATCATATGAGTTGCCAAAAGGATGTTTAAACTCTTTGAATTGATAAGAATGATCTTCTTAATGATCGGAATGATTAATTGAAAGAGTTTAACCATCCATATGGCAACTCAAATGAAAATCCATTTGCTGCTGACAGCTGATTAGTTAAGTCATCTACGATGATCAGTGTTTCAGAAACCGGGCGTTAGCTGTTTACTTTCACTGCGCGTTCTTGAAAGCGATTACGTAATTACATACATACTTGAATATCAACACCGAACGCCTCGAATTACAGACGAATGTCTGCCACTTGGATACTATTTACAATGCGATTATACGTATTTTCTAACGACGTTATGCGATTTCTGTTTCTTAAGTTGAATAAGCTATGTTAAATAAAACTGTTTATCTCGTTTAATTTGCTAGTGCATACTTATGATATATGCTTATTACTTATGTTTGCGTACAAGACATCATTAAGGAATAAATATTTTAAAATAAGGATTTTAAAATGCATTATTTTTCCGTAAAAATTTAAATTATCAATAATATATCTAATAATAATAATGACGTCGAAAAACTGTTAAATGCGACATAAATGTACAAAGATTATGTTTAATAACATTTAAAATTCGCCAATATAGAATTCTTATTAATGCATTTTACATATTTAAATTAATTATTCTTTGAAACGGTAGCACTAGTTGTGACTGTCTCAAACCGAACACTCGACTGTTCCATAAAAATCTCGAATGTACTAGAGTATAAATAAATATAAAGTAAATAAACAAATTAAAAGACGAGAACTGTTTCATACGGTCTATAAATTTTTCTTTTGTTATCTTCTCGATTCGTTTTCTGTCAATTTATTTATACAAAAACACGTACAATCGGATAGTTAATATGGAACCGTTTATTTTAACACGCTGCAATAAATCTAGTTTCTTCAGCTCTTGTTTACAGCGTTCTTATTTATAGTATTGACAGGTATTTGGCTCGAAACAACTTTTCGAATGAGAACACATGAGAACACATTGCTGATAATCTTAGTTGGTATTCAGCGGATTAATTATTATCAATGTTGGTTCGATAATAGCATCCCAGGCAACTCAAATCAAAGATTGAAGAAAATTTACGATAACAGACAGAATACGAATTTTTGATACTATTTTAAAAAGTTATCCTCTATATATGTGTTCATTTATTGTCGCGTTGGTAACGACACGCTGTATATATGAATGTATATAATTTAATATATGATTTGTATCCAATTATAATATTATTTTCATATATATTCTCTCTAATTAAAATTTTATTATTCTTGCATCTTTTGCTGCACCTACCATAAACTCTCACCACATCCTGGGTTGACTGGTAGAGAATGCCTTTGGGCATTAAGTCCGCCCTTTGTTACCTTGTTTTACTGAAGGTTAGCAACAAAGATTAAATAAAATAAAAGAAATACGAGACTTATAAAATGAGACGAGAATAAAAACGCGATAAACTCCGTAAACTAGTTTCATTTAATATGTATAATATTCGCGTAAAATCGAGAAAACAGAATACGAGATTTTTATTAATACTATACATATTTTTAATTTCGCTCATCGTAGAACAACGTTTTGTTAATGAAAGGATTTGGAAAAATAAAAAAAAAAAACAAAAAAGAAACGTAACTTTGTTACTTAAGTCATAAAGAAATTTCGTGGCAATTTTCCCAGTTTTGAGTCATTTACTGTTGGTGATTTTCGTTTAATATAAGCGTTGGAAGTATTATTACTAACTTAGAATAGTAATTAATACGATTAATTAATACAAATAAGTGTGGTTAAGTAGTGAAAGCGTTACTTCACACAAATTCTCACTTTACCTCATGATGTTAATTAAATAATGAACAGTCATTCGCCCGAGCAAAATAAGAGAGCACTTTTACTTGCAATTATTTCAAATCTTATCATAATGTCAGCCCGGAAACAAGTTGTTGGTTTACGCAAAATGATGATAGGCCGTTATTGATGTTATATAATTCTTTATCTATGTCTTACATAATTTATCTTTATTGTTTTACACGATTCACCGCCATATTTTATTTTCAACCGACTTCAAAAAGGGATTTTATTGTTTTGTTTTGTTACAATTTCGTTATTTATGAACAGATTTTAGAAATTAGATTTTATAAACCGAACCCGATAATTTTATTCTTAATTTGCGCACCTTGGAATCCGGAGACAGTAGGGGAACTCATCAAAATCAGATTGAAAAATAGATATCATATACCGTATATCATAATCTCTCACTATATAATTGATAGTGAGAGATTTTTATTAAAAATAAACAAAATTGGTTTTGTTTCTTTAATAAAAATGTATCAATCACTACACTAAAGCAGCACCAGCACACATTTCGCATTTGCTCAGTACACATAATAGATATACGGTGTCTCAAATTAAATCTGAATTGAACCCAAGAATAGTTTCTTGTTTTAGCGAATAAAAGCAAAAAAATTCAAACTAAATAACAGTTACAAAATTCTAATCTTCTTAGGTTGCATAGGAACGCAGTTACAAGAGTAAAGGTACAAAATGTTGAGAAATGGTAATTTTTTGACAATTTTGAATAGCCTCTTCTTCTTTTTCGTAAGTTTAACTGGCGTTACACTGCAATGAATTAGCTTCAGGTTATTATTAAATAGTTTTGCATCGAGTAGATTTGATTAAACATCGAATCTTCCAGAGTGGCGTCAGCTACCGATAAGCAGTCGCTACATAAGTAAACATTAGACGCTGCGACCGATAGGGTTTTTTTAAAATGAAATAAGGTTAATGTATGGGTAAATGCAGTACACATTAGAACAATGCAAGACTATGAATTAAGTATTTGAAAAATATGTATGTGAAATTTATGTTTGTAAAATGTCCTTACAACACAGGATAATGTTATCCTAAAGTAAGGGCAATGTTTAAAAAAAATAATAATAATGCCTTGTCAGTCCTCTGTGAGAATGTGGTACTTTCCCGGTCCAACCATGCAACAGAGATGCCGCGATTGATCGCGGTAAAGTGATTTTTACAGCCCCCAGACCTGAGGAAGACTGTACCGTTTCAGACGAGGAGACCGGTTGCAACGTTGGCGAATACAAGGTGGCCATTACGAGGAGGTGGAACTACGAGAACACTGTCGCAGCGTGCGTTTGTTACGTGGCTACTGGTAATGAATTTTCGTCTCCAGTCATCCTAATGTTACCTAAGTTTAAAGTTTGTACGTATACATGTACCTAAGAACTGCACTGTATGTTTTAAATATCATTTTATAAGAAGTTATAGAATTCTTTAAAAAAAAAAGGTAATAATATTAAATATTAATATTATTAGAAAAATAGAACTTAGAATATTTCAAAGCATCCATTGGTTTAAGCATACAGCGCATTCGAAAAGTAATCATTATAACAAATTTATAGATTTTTTTTTATTAATTTGATTTTTTTACAATGGTAAATGTTATTTAAAACTTAGAAGTGTTTAACGGTAAACGACATCATAAGGACATATACATGTCTACAAAATAATTAAAAAAAATTCATACATATAAAATTGCAAGACCCATAGCAGGTCTTTGCCCAGCAGTGGAACACAAAAATCACCTATTGCCCTAACTTTTTTAATAAGTCGAAGGTTTTAACATTAACATTCCTCGTCAGGTTCATCTCCCTCAACCTGCCAACTTACGTTCCCGAATGAAGAGGCGTGCAACTCCCACAGAGCGCTCGCTTCGCAGATGACCACTTCGGAAATAGAAGAAGTCATTAAGTACGCCCTAAGGAAGTTAATAAACGATTGTCGAGAGCCGCAGCCAGCAGTTAAGTTGAGGATATTCTACCAGGTAAATAGACCCAACCAAATAACTATTTCATTTATTAAGATTCAACATTTCCTACTAGGGCATTATTAGCGATTATTCTTCTGAACCTTTTTCGTTGTCACTGAGGGGTCGTCAATAGTACATCGATTAACTACCCTGTCACTTCCTAATTTGGAAAAAGATCATCCCCATAATTATTTCTAGGGTGGTTTCAAATACTTCGCTCGAAGGGCGCGTGGAGCATGAGCCAGTTTTTTAGAACTCGGCGCTTCTACGTTTACGGCCTACCTTATCAAAATTAACATCCTAATTATCTTATTAAATTTTCAGTTTCTTGGTGTACGCAATTGTCATAATAACAACCCCACAACTTTTGTAAGGCGACAAAGATCACCAGACACAATTAGAACTAAAATAGGCCGCGTGAAACCTGGACATTCTTTCCTGTTACGCTCTTTTTGCTCGCTCAACTAGGACAACCAAACCCAATCAATTTCAAGGATTTCATCGCATTGGATTTGATTTTAAATTATATCCGGACCATATCGAATTCTTGTCGCAGTCACGTCCCAAACGGAAACCACTAACAATCCATAAAATTCAAATTCAAAATATCTTTACTCAAACAGACGCTTGCGCGTTTTTATGAAACGTCGAATTTTACAAAGTAATTGATACACAACTTTGTAAGCAAGTTACCACCCGGTTCGGAAGGCACTTTCTGTTTTAAAAACATTTTCGGTGTCCGCGTCGATTGCGCTTTCCTTACGATTCCCGCGCGTTTTTCGGCCGGTCGCGGTGGGCGATTGCGTGAAACGGAAAATATCTTGCATCCCGCTCAGGTGTGGAGCGCGCCCGCCATGGAGAAGGTGGTCGCGGCGAGTCGCGAGGCGGCGAGGCGTCTGAGGGCGCGCGTTGCGGTCACCGCCGCGCCGGTGGCCGCGCTGCACAACGCCTTCACCTTCCTGTCCATCAGCGGCCTGCGCCTCGACGAGTGACCGCCCAGGTACAGTCGCGGACGCACGCGTTCGGTCACGAGCTATTGTTGGCCCTCTGCGAGTACACTCGTCGACACCGGAGTCGCGGACGCACGCGCTAAGCATTCGGTCGCATGCTACTGTTGGCCCTCTACGAGTACACTCGTTAACAATCTAAGTCAGGTTGCCATGTTATTATAAGCCCGGGCACGTGCTGAGCATTCTCCGTGTTCAGTCACGTGCTATAGTTGGCCCACCGCGAGTACACTCGCCGACAACATTAGTTAGGTTGCCTCTTTTAATAAGGTTCGGTCAACTGATTCACTGCAGTCGGTACAAGCCATACTTATTGAAAGGTTATTTAAAGTAAATATTTTTATTAACAGTTATGAAGAATGACTACTAAAGGTAATGGGCACAGAATATTAGTGTCGTACTCCGCCACTTACACACTTGATGGTTAATGACGCATCTGCAACACCTCAGGTGTTGGAGATGTCAATGGGCGGTGGGAATAAGTTAGCATGAGGCGAACCGCAAGCTCGCTGGCCAACTTTTCACGTAAAAATGAGAAGCGACAAACAAACATGAAACAGTTAAAATTCAAAAAGCAGCAAAAAGGATCTGAAAATACTGATTTCAGACAGTTGATTTGTTGGAAACCTTTCTTCAGCAGTTTGTCGTTAGTAACACACCAGTACACTTTGTGTTCTAACGGTAATAAAAGTGTGCTCTTCTATTCCCAAAGCAGTAGTGTGTAAAGTATGACAACCCGCAGGTACACTCGCCAACGAGTTGCGCGGCGCCTTTTGTCTCGACCCCAGCGGCCTGCATTTAGCGGCCGCCAACAGGTACGCAGGTATACTGTAAATAGAACTATTCGTTTCCCTTTTTACCTTTAGAGACATGCCATGGGATTGCAGCTCGGTTCACTCGCTAATGCGTCATATTGTAACTTACCCCCTATGTTGATGATGAATAAAAGGATAGATAGTTATTACTATATTTTTATTTTAAAATACCAGTCTGCACTCAAAGTAGTAGATACAAGTGACGGAAAATATCGTACATACCGGATCTGGTGGACAACTTAAACAGGATGATAATCAATATATGTACTTATACAAAGAGTTAAATTGTGCCTTTCGCAAATAATTTGCCTAAAAATAATTTATTGCATCTTGAAATTCACGAATAATATATTACGCTAATTGAAATTTAAAATCATTTAATACACTGTGAGTGATTTAATTTTACAAGGAAAAGGTTTGTGTTAAATGAAAGTAGAAATTAAAAAATATGTGTAAGGGTGCACTATAAAAACGCATGTCGATAATTAATTCCTTGAACGAATATTGGTCAAGGGGAAAGTTCATTTGTTAAGGTGGAGTTTTCTGTATAATACGTCGTCGTTTTCGACGTCTTTACAGTGTTTTTTTTATATGAAATATTGACAATATTTTTTCTTTACAGATTTCCCCTACGAGATGTAACAACGCTTTACGCCAGTTTATAAAATATATAATATGCTGAATATTTTCAGTATTTATGAAAAATTTTGTTAACTATGCTACCGAGTTTACCGTATTTAAGTCAAATTATATAAATTATTTTTATTGCATATCGGTGTTTTATTTATGCTCTAAAATGTCTTGTGCAAAGAAAAACAAAAATCAAATTAAATTTACTTTATTTTTTACAAAATTGACCGAACAGTGCGAGATTTCTAGAACGTTTACACTTGCATTAAGTAGACATAGAGTTATCATTATTCCTCTTACAAGTAAGTCTTAATAATTCACCTGTGTCAATAATAAAGCAATACTAATTACGGTGTGAGACACACCCAAACCAGTTGTGTATATCGTAATATAAAAGTTATACATGATTTCAATTATTTTTTTTCATCCTGCAGGGACATCATTTATTCTTTACCTTAGAAATTGTCACTAAGTAAATTATTTACGATTAATAATAATGAAAGCATAATTATAAACTAAACATGATACATTACAAGTTATCAGCATTAGTTGATGTTACCGATCCTGCACTTATATACTTCTAATACAGTTTATAATACACAACATATTGGGACAATTGCACACAGCAGTGGTTGAAAGACAAATAGCGCGCAGAAGGTTCATAAGTACAGTGAATGCATATAATGCTAAACGAGCCTATGCATACCAAGGGAATATATTATTCATCGGGTTTCAATGTAATCTGAGATTTGAGTTTCACCCTGGAAATAAATACCGCCCAATTCGTCTACATTCCCATAAGTTTATAATATGTCCATAGTAGAATAAATCTCTTAGTAATGAAAATAAACATATACTCTCAGTTAAATAATTTATTTGATCCTCTATAATAATAAATCTATATAAATTGGGCTTATATAATTTCCAGGATGCGTGATAACGTTACGATATATAAGATGGATTTTATGTTTTGTACTTTGTGAATAAGACAAAACGCTAGTCTTCATTCTACTGCAAGTCTATATTTTAACATTCTACAAAAAAAAACCCTAACAATCTCAAAACCAGTCTGTAATTAGATTGCGTGAATAAATTATATTGTGCTATAATAAAGGTAAATAAAAATTTCTAGCGACTTGCTTCGGCCAAAGATTGCGTTTCGCCTTAAAATTATTAAATGTCAATCGGAGGACGAGCTGCTGAAATTCAATAATTCAATAAAAAAATAATAAACTAAGCAAGCGCAAAACATAACGATATAGTGTAGTGTATTGTAATAATCTGAATCATTATCGAGAAAAAAAAAAACTCTGCAAATAGAGAGAGGAAACACACTACTAAAATTGATTCATAAGCAAATTCATATAGGCATCACAGTATATTTAATAATCAGAGATAATATGGAGAATTTCAACAATATCCTCTAATAAACCGTCAAGTATGTATAATATAATGGGGTATATTGTATACAGTTGTATCCATATAAACGTATAACTAAAATAAATACCTTATTAAGGAAAATTAACAATAGTCTAAAATTAATCTACTCTCAAAAAAAAATGCGCTCTGTCTTCATTAGATCATTTTTGAAATGATAATAACCAATTTTTAAAACAAAATGATTGCATCACAAATGCATTAAAAGGCAGATTTATTTATAATATACAATTTATTTTCCACTTTTTTTCGAGAAATGTGCAGATAGAAGAACATACGACAAACATTACTCAATATAAAATCACTCACATACCAATAAACAACTATGTCAGCGTCGAAACCAAAATACATCTTTTAACGAAACAGCACGCTTTTCAATCTCTTATGTTTGACTCTCCTTAACATAAATAATTCACGGGGGACGCATACATGATTTTTTCAGCAAACAAAAAAAAAACTATTATTAATAAAAAGTAGTATGATTGCCCAGCTACCCAGAGTGAAGTTAGTATTAAATTACTGTACATTTTACGTGTTAGTGACCTGCGAACTACAGCTATCTAACCACTTTACGATGTTTTTATCTCCTTTTTAAAAATAAATCACCTACTTCCCACTAGGGATACACTTGTAACTTCGAAACGTCCTTAGCGCCATCGAACCAATCGCAAACGTACATAAATCGCACCGCACTGAAATAAGACAACTGCAGCGTAAAACCAGAGAGTATAACCTAGTATCTCTTCACTATCCGACAACTTACATGTACATAGCCTACTAGTTAATTGTTATATTAATCAGATTTATGCAACAGTTTACCTTACAACCGTATTACCGAAGCGGATAAGAGTTATATATATATATACTAATAACAGCTACATATATTACATAGTCACTATACAGTCACACGCGCAGTCTCGCGCTCTCGCTCGCGGCCGTACAAACGGGCGACGCGCACTGAACAATATGCACGTTCAAACGACGCACTGCGCGACGTGCGCTGGGTCGCCGCACACTGGACCGCACACTGGGGTGCACGTTCGAGGGACGCACAGTGGCGCGGCCGCGCGCTCTAGCGACGCACAGTGAAGCGGCTGCACGCTGGAGCGAAGGGCGAAGGGCGAGCGGGCGTCGCGCTCATTGGGCCGGCTCGTGGGGCTCGTGGGAGGCGTCGCCGACGTCGAGCGGGTCGTGGGTCTCCTCGGCGGCGTCCGAGGCGTCGGACGCGTCGTCCGGCCGGTGGGGGCGCTCGCACGCTTCGGCCGCGTCCTCGGTCGCCTCGTCGGCCACGTCGTTGGAGCTGTCCGACGGCTTGGGCGCCGCCTGCATGCGGCTCTGCATGTACTGGCGGTGCGCGTACTTGTTGAAGCGCCGCTTCGCCATGAACAGCGTGGCGATGGTGCGCGGCGCGAGGCGGACGGCGGCCGCGCGCGACGTGATCCCGCCGCGCCGGCAGTCGCCGCACGTGTAGTCCATCACGTTGAGGCTGGCCACCGTCGGCCTAACGCAATCTGCGGCGACAACGGTGCACCGTTAACGATATTCGAACGCGACTCGACGGACGGATGACTTTCAACTCTGCTTTGGCGTGACAATCTTTTTTTTTTTTTTTTTATGTATAGAGCTTCTTCGCGGAGCAATTGATCAGCATTGCGGCAACGGTTCTATTACTTTGATTGTTCAATTTTATTTAGATCACGCCTAAAAGAACCAAGTTGAAAATCACACACCCGAACGTCTAGAATGCGCACCTCGCACACACAAATCGGCAATTCTATTCGACTATTTGAGGGGATAGCCCTCGAAAGTTTCTATGTTTGCATTTGTAACAAATTCAGCTATCGTCTAAACGAGGCAGATTATATTATGTATACTGTGTATATATAACATGCGTTCACCCATACGTTTTGTCTAACACATCTAACACAAAACTGAAGCATCGGTACGATGTATTTCAAGACTGATATTTTAATTTATTTCATGGCGTTATATATTCCTGATTTTTATTTCTTTTTTTTTTTTGTGGATACCATATTGACAGGTGCAGGATTTATTATGGACAATGGCAGATAAAAAAACTACATAAACGCTGAAGCTTGCATTTTTACCTGTATACAGTATGTAGCAGCAATTACGCCATTAATATTAAATTTAGCGGAATTGGAAATAATCATGCGCATTGATGAAAAACGAATGAAAGCCAAAGCGTGGAATACGAGGATAGATTTAAAATAAGAAAAAACATATATCGTCGTATCTCACAAAAGCAATTATAAATAAGACTGGTCATAAAGTGACATTGAGAAGATTTAAATATGTAATCTCATTCCAAATAAAACGTCAACCGTTACACAAGGCTCGGATGTAAAAAAAATTAACATAAAAATAGACTAGGGAAGGAAACCTCTGCCCCGCAGTGGGACAAGGCAAACAATAAAAATAATTTAAAAAAAAAACATCACTCTAGAACCAGCCAGTGAGAACGGTATGTCGGTGGTGGGGTGGCGGGCGGGCGGGGGGGGGGAGAGAAGCGTATGTATGCGTTCTACTTGGCACCGTGCCGTGTGACGTACCTTGATGCAGTTGCCTATCGCAGAGTTTACATATGACGAGCTGCATAGTCCCCTTAGGCCCGATGAAGGAGCGCTCGCACAGCGGGCAGTAGCGACCGATGCGATACGCCCTACGTACGCACACACACATACGGACCGTACGCGCACAAGCACCGGAACACAGAAACACGCCATTAGTATCAACACGTGAACACGCCTCTCTGCTTCGGGTACGACGTTCGTTCATATCATCGTTTGCAGTCATTTTCTTTATTACCTCTCTTCGCTTCGGCTCGTGGGGACGTTAGTGTGCATTTTTTTTGGATGTTTTCAAATAATAAATAGATACTTATTGAAAATACATTGCGTATGCTATGTTAAAAGTTGTGTTAATAGCGTGTGTAGTATTTACTCTGAGGGATCTACTGATAAAACTACAATCTGGAAAGTCTCAAAATCTTTATTGTTGAATCAATTAAAGCTAATACTAGTTTATAAGAACGTCACAGAGTACAATAGATAAATATATATTAACAAATATACACACATAAATATAGAGTGTGGAGCCGGAAGGCAGGTAATAAAAAAAAAAAACAAGTTAGTGAATGCACTGATATTGATGTAATTCTATGCCCGTGTTAGTCGAGTGTTTTTACACAAATGAAAACGGAAGTTAGTGAGGGAGACAACGGTGGACGATGATCGACACCCATTGATGATATAACAGCGATTGAAGCAAACACTCTTCATTTGACGATTTCAATGAATTCAAACTCACGGGTCTGCGTCAATCGCTACTATTTGAAAATGTAATGAGATTGAATTACCAATAGTAAAAAAAGTAAAACAGTACAAGTGCCAAAGAAAAAAAGGGGAATTTTTTTTTTATTTTATTCATAAAAATCAACTGGCAACTTTACTGTTTTTCAAAGAAAACTTTCTGCCATAAATAAATTTTATGAGTAATATTTTTAGTAATAAGGCAGTCAGTCTTCCAAATTTAACTAGAAGTAACTTACGTTTGAAGGGATGTGTAGCATGCAACATTACATTATGGCCCAATTCTGCTAAATAACAACATGTAACCGCTACGGAATTTTGTGTGTTCAAATCGATATGCTAACCAATTGTCAAAAAAGAAAAACAGCCCACAATTAGCAGTTATTCCTTAGTAGAATTAGGCAGCTGTCATTTTGGTGCATATTAGAAAACGCTGCTCCGGATCAGTAGTAGAATACGATACGCAGGGGCCAAAATGCTACGACATAGGAGGTAGAAGCAAATGTCAAGAGTGAAAAGGCAAACGTCAAAATAGAATGGATCGGCGGCTGTTAGTCCACATTAAACACGCATGGTATGTCGTGGGTACATTAACTACTAGGACCAGGGGGATTTCGTCCACATAAACGATTTAAAACAGTCAAATACAGAAGATTTTGCTCTCGATTGTCAACATTTTTCAAGGGTATACCTTTTTTTTTAATTCAAAATAAAGAAAATTGAGTTTTATTTATTCTATATAATCATAATGTTATCGATGCATCGTTTGCAATGATTTGATTGGCCATTCTTTTATTCAACGTATTTATTTTATTTTCAACATGTAACCAAAATTCTTTGTAGATGTTACAATAAATATATTTATTTATTCAGCTCCACAACACCTTCGCAGTTACTCCTCTCAAGACTAGATACACAATTTTATGTAACTTTTATTTAAATTCGATTAGATTCATACACAATTCCAAGTGTAGTTTAATAATAAATAAGTTACACGCTAGAAATAAAATTACATTAAGTACTAATCAATAGTTGCTTTTCATCTTCGGGAATTAAAAAAGTTAAAGTAACAGTTTCAAACAAAATCGATAAATGTACACTATTTTACTAAGAAAGGATAATTATTTCTATTATTGAAATTTTAAAATCTTGTTACATTCTATGGCATTCTATATAAAAAAATATTGAAAACAAACATTTTATCATGTGAAAATTATGATAAGAACGAGAAATCAAAGTTGAGAAAGGAAAGTCAAAATTATACAAAGAGAAAATTTGATTTGGCTTCAAATGAATGGAGATTTTTTAATATTAAATCTTTGAAAGGCTAATCGTGTTAAATATTGCATAACTTCTTATATCTTTTTATACAAAAACACCTTATAAATATATATAGTCATATATAAAAACTTTTGTGGAGAATCTTATTACACAAAATTTTTTATAACAATATAAATAGGCGGTCACACATAGCATGCATTTGTATTTGCTCTCAAATCACGAATACATTTTTCTACAGAATATGAAATAATTAACTCTCTACGACTCTATGACTGCGCCACGCAGTTACCAAGCTGTTGGCTTGGTCGCAATGAATTCGATTCCCATGAGAGACAATTATGTCTGTGAACGAAATATAATAATTTGATCCCAATCTTGACGTTCGTTCCCAACGCCTGTTGACGTCACGACAGTCGACCAGTTGTAAAAAACCAGTCAATACCTCTGACAACCTATCCACATGTCATGTCGTGTTAGACAGAAGGAAGAAAAACCAAAGGCTCACCATTTCTTTACGTTTAACTTAAAAGATGCACACCCTTTTAACTGTTTACTTGCCAACATTTGGACTGTATTTATATTGAAATTACGTAGGTTTCTACTTTCTTTGTGATGTGTACAGTAGAAATAAACCAAACAGTATTGTTTTGATTAATTGATAATTTGATAAGATTTTACGATAAGTTATAACTGACATTGCTTAATTTTTTATGTTATCTTTTCTGTATGTGCAAATTGAAATAATGATGTTACAGCTGTTGCACGAATTGGCAAGCTCGCCAAGCAGAAGACTGGGGTGAATATTGATAATTTCGCAATTGGCCTGGAGACTGTATGCGACCAGTAGTGGCGATGTATTTATTTACCAATTATGTATTGTATTTAACCTAATATTTTAAACGCATTATTATACTACGACTTCAATGTTTATATATTTTTTTATTATTTTGAATTTTATATTATATATTTTTTTTTATTTTGAAGTAAAGTTTAATTTTGTAGAATAATAACGTTTGTTAGTTTAAGCAATTGGGCCAGTGTATACAGAATTTTACTTCACACTAAATTGACGAACCAATGTTCTTTTTTATAAGGTTTTAGGATCACATATCGATAATGAAAGGTTTACGAATATAATTGTAATTGAATTATTAAATTAAAGTTCATGAAATGAATATTTTTAACACCAGATGTGAAAAGCGAGATGTTATATGACTGTGGATTTGTAGCTTCTAACGAATGGACCGATTATGATGCGGTTTTTTTGTTTGAAAGATGTCGTGGTCGAGGTGGTTCTTAGATATTATTTGTTTTTTTTTGTCACTGGCTAATTACAATTTCGAGGGCTAACACCGACCACATTTCAACGTCCATACCACACATTCAGATTATAGAGGTCAAACCTACGCCGTCTGCGAGCGACAAATGCATAAACCCAGAAATTGTTTTTTTCTTATTCTTCATTAAAGCTGTCAAATTTTATCTATGCTTCAATATAGCTCTACACCGTCCTACACCAATCCGAGTGATTCTACATTAATTCAGATTATAGAGGTGAAGCCTACACCATCATCATTTCAGCTGGTTTGAGTCCGCTGCTGAACATAATCCTCCACAGACCACCACGAAGCACGACCCTTAACCACCTGCATCACTTACACAGGTCGGCACTATCCAGTGGGGGCTCGTCGCACACTGCGATGGCCAGTACGAGAGCCTGCGAGTTCTACGAGCTATATGGACGGCCCATCATCACCTCAGCTTACTAATCCTCTGAGCTATGTCGGACGCCATCGGAGATCGACAAATGCACGCGATCAGATTAAAGAGGTAAAGCCTATGCAATCAGAGAGAGAGAGCGAGAAAGAAATGTACTCGATCAAATTAAAGAGATAAAGCCTACGCCATCGGAGAGAGACAAATGCACGCGATCAGATTGAAGAGATAAAGCCTACGCCATCTAGAGAGACAAATGCACGCGATCAGATTAAAGAGATAAAACCTACGCCATCCGAAAGGGACAAATTCCTGCGAACGGATTAAATAGATGAACCGTAGGCCGTCCGAGAGCGAGAAAACAAATGCACGCGGACGCGACCGCCTCGCGCGGCGCGCGGGCGCGTACTGACCTGGCGCAGGGCGTGCACAGCGAGTGCGAGTAGACCTTGTGGCCGCCGGGGCCGCGGCGCGTCTGGTGGTGCCACTCGGGGGGCGCGCCGCCGCACGCGCTGGCGCCCGCCGGCCCGGCCGGGTCGTGCGCGCCGCACGACTTGCACACCGCGCACTCGGCGCAGTGCCAGCGCCCTACGGACCGCCGACGCGACGTGTTAGTAACATACAGGTATATTTCGGAGAGTCAAGTAGACCTTGTACGACATGATGTCGTTATTCGTATGAATCGGTGCGCACAACCGGCGCGGTCGATTGACAGACGTTAATAGTGGTTAATCACTTGTGTCGGACCGAACTACTCACTCGGGGAAATGATCGAACGTCATTCACATTCGCTAGTTCACTCTTTTGTACAACATACACGGCGCTAGTAGTCGAAGTTTACTAAGTGGTTACCATAGGAACCACTTATAGGAAGATGGAAAGTGAGCTGGCGGTCCACCTGAGGTTAAGTTGTAACCGCCGCCCATGGACACTTGCAACATCCTTTTAATAAAGTGGGACCGCGGACCTCGACTACCTCAATCACCGGATGAAGCGCAGAAGTATAACACTCCCAATTCACGCCGGTCTTCGGTCGCGGTGCTTACCCGGACGGAACTGCTTGTGTGAGCAATAGCTGTTGGGTGGCCCTACTAAAAGTTGACTGTAATATTATATACAAATCGAGGTGGATATGACACTAGCGCACCGAAACTTAGGCACTCAAACGACGGCAATTGGTGTTATTAGATTGCAATTCTATAGATTGATATCTCTTTGGGTATCATATGTTCTATATCATCTGTGACTTTCATTTAAATATGGTCATATAATGTAAAGCGGAAGAATTTTTAAACACCGCGCAGTATGGTTCTCTTTGTCTTTATATCCGAAACATTAAAATTTGTAATAAAAAATTTACGAAACTTTTTCGTCGCTGTGGGAATCAAACCTGTGTCTTCAGAATCAGACACTTTAACCACTAAGCTAAGCAACGTATTTTATCTACATAGTTCAAATTCCGCATTTTTTTTAAGCAACGCTTGGCGCATCAATTGTTATCACCTTTACAGTATATAAACATTTTCGTACATCCTTTCTAAAATTCAAGTGCAGAGATTAGCACTACAAAAATATGATTTAAAATTAGGGTTTAAGTTAAGCAATAATTAATCCTTGCTGTTAGTTAGGTGCGGTTGTAAAATCAAAGTGATTAAATTAAACAAAATTTAACGGGTATATCGAGTTTATTTTAAATATTATTTCCCGATTTTTAAAACGATTTTTTCTACAGCGCTGTTCATGGTAACGGGACAGGTCAGTCTGTCCCGTCAACCGTGACCATGAACGCTGTAAAGGGTTCGGAACGTCGGAAAATAACATTTAAAATAAACGCGATAAATCCGTAAAAATTGGTTCCCAATCAATAACGTGTGATCGCGTAAATGCAAGAAACGATCAAATCCTAGTGATGTAGGTATACAGCGTGTCTTTACAATTGCGACAATAAATGAACACACATATAGAGGATAACTTTTTAAAATTGTATTAAAGATTTACATTCTTTAAACATCAATATTTACCGAGTTATAAAATTTTCCAAAACAAAGAATTTTAGAACATCCTTACGTATAAAACTGTAATGTTAAGTTCATTTGTAAAGGTCACAAAGCATATGAACGGGTTGAATGAATTTAAAAGAGACAAAACATACTGTTAGAAGGAGAGACTTGTAATACGACGCTGTGGCAACGAATGAAAAGTCTCTGAATGTATGTATTAGTAATATATCAGTCAGTTGTAGTTGTATAGGTGTTACAAATTTTGTTTCTTTTTTACTCAATTAGTTTGTTTGAAAAATATTTTTCTTCAATTATGGACTTTTTTAGCGTTAATATTTTTTTATGATCTGCTTGCCAATAGCAGCGTTGGACGTGTTCATTTATTGTCGCGGTGGTAACGACACGCTGTACATCGTGCAAGGTTAGCTCAGCTCCGTGCAAAATTACCGCTCGGCACGTGCTGCAGGCCGACGCAGTAGATGTGGAAGCCGCGGTCGCAGAGGTCGCAGAAGAGCATCTTGTCGTCGTCCGCCGGCAGCCGGCAGGCGCAGCAGCTCTTGCACTCGGCGCACTGCCACGGGTACTCGCGGCACTTGCGGATCGTGTCCGGCCCGAGCTCCACGCACCCGGGGTGCACTGCGGACATAGAACACGGCCCGTTGACGCATAATACTATGCCGCGTGTCTCACACTGGGTACACTCGCGTTCCGGGGCGGTCCTCGCCGCACCCAGCCACCGACTAAGGCCCGGCCGTTGGTTACGTTTCGACTTATAGATGAGAGGCGTATACGCCCGGTTCATATATTGACAAAACGATGCGTTTTCCTTACGAGCCGTCGCATTACCTACGGAAAGGGAGTTAGCTAGCGTTCCTTTAATAAAAGTCAACAAGTCGTTATGAAAGATACGAAGCTATGTAACTAGCGGCTGTTCGTTGGATATAAGAACCGGGCATAAACAAACACAGTCAACGGCCATCGGGTTCACGGTCCGCACCGAACCTCGATTGGCCCGTAGGCGACATGCCATAATTGACGCACGCATGAGTACATGCGCGGCCCCACCAACTGAGGAGGGCCTCAAACCCGTGGGTTCTGGCTAGCCCACCGGTTCTGCGATCGATGAACTTTAATAGTCTAAGGAGAAACCGTAACATCAGTTATACAAAAAACAAAAAAAAGCCGGGTGTTGCGCGACTCGGTGTTTTATCTATAACATTGAAATAAAATAAAAACAATGAAAAAGGAATATAAAAAGTTAAGTACAATAAAATCAAAAATAAAGTATAACAATAAACAAAATTATTAACAAAAACTATAACATATCCTCGACACAATACGAGTAATATACCTATGAGATCTGATTTGACTGAGTGCAATTTTATATATAATAGACGCAGACAGCGATATGATCGGTTTTCCTCCGACTTTTGCAAATGAAGTAGAAACTTTTTGTATTTGGAGATACTTAGGTAAATCCTAAAAATCAATTATTAAATGAATACAGAGCGGGATATTTGAAGTCGGTTTTGTTTATCGTTAAGAAAATGGACTTGTTTTTTTAAGTTGTACATCTTTGGCGATTTTGGGAAAAATGATGAGTGATTTAATACGATGCGCAACACCGTGGCAATGAATAATATTTTTTTTTTAATTTACCCAGTTGTTGAGTTACCCATAGTACTTAATGCCTATATTTAACAAACAAAGTGTATGCACACAGGATACAATTTTCGATTATACTTCCTTTGTTACGCTAAAGGACCCGCACGTTTTTTGGATGTGATTATTGGCAAGCAAGCAGGTGGTTCACGTGATGTAAACGATACCGCAGCCTTACCTTTTGCTTTTACCTATCATAAACACAATATTTTGTATTATATCAATTTTTTGACTAAAAATGTCCAGGTATTTGAGGAAATATTGATCTTTTATTTTTGCTTATTAATTATTTCTCTCTTTAATACCACAGCTTTTGTGTATATTTATTATTTTTTACTTAAACCATTTTTCATAAATTTATATACATCAGAACACAATTATAGTAATAACACTGATATCGTTAAATGTGCGTAATGATATTTACCTTCCCTTCCTTTTTTTGAATTACGTTAATTTTAAAAACAATTTCAAATTTCAAATGCACTAATAGTCATCTTCACGAATATGTATCTATTACTAATAACTTTAGCCTAAAAATATCTATTAGTTATGTACTCGCTGCCTTTATAACTATCGATTAATATTTTCGCATTCAATCACAAAAATGGATTTCACAGTTCACACTCAAACTCCAATGAATCGTTGAACTGTACCAACACCCCAGAATCGTTGCAAACATACTGCCGTCGTTACTTAAATGTTTGTTATTTTAGATGTTCCGTTGGAGATTAATTATTTATCAAACTGTCTATCAGACAGTTTGTGGTGAGCCAGTGGCTGTCGATACATTTTACAAAATGGCAGTGTTCAGCTGTCGTAACGAGGTTTACTGAAACAGGCTATTTCGCTTTTCATTGCACATTGTTATTGAAGTTTATGACGTTATGACTCTAATATTGGTCACACTAACTGACAAATTGTTACAAAGTTTCTGAAGATAAGTTTTAACTCTCATATCAGAAGGGAGTTATCAAAAAACTATACTGCTAATTAGCTTATATTTTCTAGTTGTATTAAGATATGATTACAAAAAGTGCCCTTATAATAATACGTATACGGTTGTTGATTGTGAACGAAAAAAATATTAAGACAGTTGATATCTTTAAGTGCAAGTGTTTATAATCTAGTATCTCATGGCATGGTAAACTGGTATTAGAATGCTATGCGATATACTCACGCTTAGCGTTACAATTAGAGCAGACGAGGAACCTCTCGTGCGTGTATTTGCGATTCGCTTCGAGCCGCAGCTTGCAGACTCGACAAGTGTCCACCTCGCCTTCCTGCGTCTCTTCTTTCATCGTAACTTCTGGTTGGCTGCTTCGTTTCGTCTTCGTCAGTTTTTTACGCTGTAACATTTCGTAATTGATAACTTATTGTTTGTTACTTTGTTAAATCTAGAATATTATTGAAATATCGAATTTTCTATAGTTATAGTTCCTTTTTTTTAAACATATATTTCCTTTTTCATATTGAATTCCAGGCAGTTTTTTTCACAATACAACTTATAAAAGTTCTTATACTAAAAATATATGTTTTAACGCTTTTGTATGACGACAATCGTATTTGTTTTATTCCTCGTTTTAAGTCCTGTTTCTAAACGATCCCAGTCATGATCACAATAGAAAAATCTTAGCTGTTGCATTTATAAATGCCAATATTAGAAATTATTAGTAAATATTACGATTTCGGACGCTTTAAAACACAATATGGAAAACAAACACAGAACATAATTATAATTTACCAGCTGCAGCCCGCGACTACGTCTGCGTAGAATAAATAGGCTGAAGGCGTAACATTCAGACAGAAAGACAGATATACGTAAAAACATGTCCTATTCTGATGTATACGCTATATTATTGTAAAGTTTCATTAAAATCCAATCAGTAGTATTTGCGTGAAAGATTAAGAAACATCCATACATACAAACTTTCGCGTTTATAATATTAGTAAGGATACAAATATAATTATAATAACATTTCGTAATATGGTTTCACAATGTTTGTTACATTATTGATGGAAGAATAAATCACTATAATATGAGTGTATTAAGGACTATACATATTGATAGAGATACCTTGGCCGGATGAGTGTCAGCGTCAGATTCCGCTGACGAGGAGCGTTCTGCCCAGTCCGGTTCCGATTCGGAGCTGGACTCGGCGGAGGCCACAGCCGGAGGTGCGGCCAGCGCCGTGTTCAGAGGGAAATATCTATACGGAGAAAAAGAATTTAGGAATAACAACAAATACAGTTCAAGCTTTCGCTTGTGAAAGCTTTATGTAAAAGTCAAGGCGTCATAGCCGCTGCCAATTTTACACTATTAATTCGAATTAATTCTTGTCTTTTAGGAAAAACAAACATATATATTAATACTTGACCCTAGTTCTCTTTGTATAAGCTTCAATAAAAAAAATTACGTTTTGTTATATGTCTGCATTACTAAAGGCATGCAATGTTACATTTCATAATTAACTTTTACAGAATACGTTTCTACATTCTGATTGAAAGTTTTCAGTTTCCTAACCACAATTAGGAGAAATAAATACTATATGTACAGCCGAACTACTACGATATACTATTGCAATAGTTGAGACTCTTCACTTTGAGAAGGTGGCAACCAAGCGGTCGAACTGACGTTAATTAATTAATCGTGTGGGTTGGAGATACGTTACCGATCTATAAAATCGTGTTCCGGTAACAGAACTTAACCAGAAACCCAAAAGTATAACGCTTCTTGGCAATATTCCGTGGCTGAGTGTGCCCATTCATGCAACATCTCAATCTACCGTGTGGAGCTGACACATATTGTACATACTGTCCTTGTTATTTCAAATGTTCCTTTGTCTATCTAGTTCCTTTATAAACCTATTATCATACCTTCAATCTTCTACAGTATAACATTCACTTCTACTTTTCAACAGACTTCAAAAAAGACGGACATTCTTAATCCAGTTATTTTTTTTTTAGTTCGATTTTGAAAATTCTTTTCGCATTGTTTTTTTTTTAAATCAGACATTTCCTTAAAATCAAAACGTGAAGTTCTCACCGCCGCTCATGGACATTTGTAACACCCGTAGGGTTCCAGATGCGTTATCGCCTTTTAATAAAGTAGGCGCCGGCTACGTCACTCACCAGCCGAAACGCAGAAGTATATCACTTCCACTTTACGCAGTTCTGTGAGCTCACCGTACTTACCTGGACGGACCTGCCCATTCGAACACTATTGCGTGGCACAGCAGTCTTCCCTTCGAAAAAATTACCCTCTACTGTAGGATAGTATTATCCCGTGCTGTTTTACATACATGAGCTTCACGTGGACAGACACCCAGACCCGAGACAATTATCCGCGGCCAAGCGGTTCTCTCGCGTGGGAATCGAACCAGCTCACCTGAGCTGGTCGGAGCTGTAGACGCGGTAGCAGTGCTGGTACTGGCCGGGCAGCAGCGCCAGCGGGTAGAAGCCGTGCGGGGGGCGCACGCGGGGCGGGGGCGGCGCGGGCGGGGGCGCGCGCCGTCGCAGCAGCGTCAGCGACTGCAGGTCGGCGCACGCGGGCCGCCGCAGCGCGTTCAGCCGCGCGTTCCACTCGCTCGCCGACGCGATCGCCGCCGCCGCCATGTCCTGGACGCGTCGACACATTACAACCTTTGCACAAAGCCACTTCGTATGTCGTGTCAATACTTGGCGAACTATGTAGCTTTTAAATACTACTTTACTTTAGGATAACATTTTCCTGTGTTGTAAGGACGTTTTACAAACATAAATTTCACGTGGACAAACACCCAGATGCGAAACAACTATCTGCGGGTCGCACAAATAGTTGTTCCGTGTGGGAATCGAACCCACGACCCCCGATGCCGAAGCCAATACCTTGGCAACTGCGCCACGGGTTCATCAAGCTGGCGGTCAGTCTGATGTTAAGAGATTACCGCCGCCGATGGTCAAAAGCCGTGCTAGCTCAGTGTCCCGGGCGCCCGATTTCACGTAATAAGTTCAGACTTATCACTTGCTCGGCAGTGACAGAAAACAAAACATCGTGAGAAATCTGCATATTTTCGAAATAACATTTACAAAAAAAACTCATTTCAAAGATACGTCGAACCGTGAAGTCTGCCAATCCGCAGTGGTCATTTATTTGGGTTCCTCTGTATAGGGGAGGCATTTTTTCTGTATAGGGGAGGCATAGATCTTCTGTAAGGCCTAGTCTAGGGTCTCAGAGCGGTTAGTACCAACAACTGAGGTATTCGCCATCTAGTTATCACACTCACCAGAGGAAAAAGAAAAGTCAGGCGAGCTGCAGCTCATGTGGAAGTTGTTGTTGCTCTACCATGATAAAAAAGTATACAGCGTGTCGTTACCATCGCGACAATAAATGAACACACGTCTAACGCTACTTACCAATAATCAAAAAAAAAGTATTAACGTTAAACAAAATCCATAATTAAAAAAAAATATTTTTCAAACAAACTAATTAAGTAAAAAATAAATAAAATTTGTAACATCCTATACAACTCGCGCCACAGCGTCGCATTACAAGCCTCTCCTTCTAACAGTATGTTTTGTCTCTTTTAAATTCATTAAACCCATTGATATGCTTTGTGACCTTTACAAATGAACTTTACGTTACAGTTTTATACGTAAGGCTGTTCTAAAATTCTTTGTTTTGGAAAATTTAATAACTCGGTAAATATTGATGTTTAAAGAATGTAAAAGTTTAATACAATTTTTAAAAGTTATCCTCTATATGTGTGTTCATTTATTGTCGCGATGGTAACGACACGCTGTATAACAGGAGGAGGCAGGGTAGTACCTGTCGTTCACACCACAGTCTAAATAAATAGCTTTCATTGTTGGTTTATATTTCGAATATTATGGTTATTTGGTTTTGTTTCGTTTTGGTGATAATTTTTTTTTAATTTACGAGTTCTATGGACAAATAGAAATAATAAGATTTATATCGAAATTTATGACCACGAAGTCCTTTAAAATTTTTCAAAACTTAAAAACAATCTGTAAAAACTTTACATTAATATGAATAAAAAAAAAAAGAGTAATAATTAAATGATAAATTAAGATTTTCGTGGTGTATGCGCTAAGACACTTCTGAGCACATAAATATTAGGTGGAAATAATTCAATTTGTTACTTCTTTTGCTGCTTGAAATTAATAAAAAAATTAGGGGAATAATAGGAACTAACATCAAGAGTACATTTTCAACTAGCAATAAAATTATGTACCCTGAAAAACTATGATAAATGTTGAAAAAATTACCTGTCTAGTTTTCTCTGGGTCAACTTTCGGTGGTTCAACTTTATGCTCTACTGGTTTTTGTTCAGGCTTAACTTCCACCTTTTCCGCCTTCACTTCGGTTTTTATTTCTTCTACTACCGGCTCTTCTTGCGGTTCAGTCAGTTGCTTACGACATTGATGTGATCGGTACTCTTCGTATTTGTGGGGATAATCCGAAAGCATAATGTCTAGGACTTCACTTGCATCTACTGCCGTAATGCCTAAAAGAAATTTTAATAGTAAAGTAGTTCTTTTATATGTATTAGCAGTATAATAGATTTATAAGTTTGAGTTTCCTCATAACATCATATACTACTTATTCAGTATAAGGACAACTATTTTTTACCTTTTCAAAATATAAATATCTATTCCCTAATGTTAATTTCATGATGGTGTCCATTATTCTATGTCCTTAGGACGTTTTTTAGTACTGACTTCACAAACTCTCAAATCCGGAACAATTAATTACGTCTGTAGGTAAATAAATACTTGTCCTGTGCAAGAACCAAATATGTATTGAAAATGATCATAATACTCACCAAGATCACAAAGGGCTTCTGTGACAAGTCCCTTACTTAAAACATAGTCCCTTTCCTCACCACTTATTGTCCGTCTTTTCAATTCCGGATACCGACGTTTAAAGCTCTTAATACCAAGAAACATAGCAACTTGTTCTTGAATCATCATAACCTGTAAGTTTTAATATTTCCCCTTACACTTTTGGCCATAAATGATACTTTTGTATCATATTAGTTGATATGATAGCTGATATTATATTACTTACTACTTAATATTTTGTTATTCATAACAAACAATAAATAAAGTTTATACTATATGCATAAAAACCTCATAAACCAAACAGAGTTAAATAAAATAACTTGTTTCTTCCAACTGCTTTCAAGCAAAGGGAATTTACATGTTATAAAAATTTTAAACAAGCATGCACTATTTCAACTATTAATTGAAGCAAACTAACAAAGGTTTGGGTTAACTATTTGACACTCCTGAATCTAGATTCTAAAAAAAGATCGATGCATGGGCAAATAATATGAATAACATACATTTTATTGCCATACACATATACAGGGAGGCTTTTCTAAGTGTATCCATTTTTTTTATTAAATTCTAGACATAAATAATGTTGTATAAAAAATGATAAATATTTAAAATCACTCGTTTTTAATTAATTACATTCATATGAACTTATCTCAAAAAGTGCGTGATTTATGGGCAACTCGTTCATTTTACGCGCGATCATTCATAACTAACACGCACACAAGTTCGTTTCAAAAGTATACTAAAATATTGTCAACAAGGGATTTTAGGGAATAGATCGGCAATTTTTTGAAAAAAAAAATAAGTTTGTTTTCATTTCAATAAACGATTATACTACCGAGTCTGAACCTCCTGTGTGAATTTGGGCACCTTTAAAAAAGTCTCCCTGTAATTTCTTATAAATTATAGTGTAATATTTTTAAGATGTTCATGAATATTATTTACCTGGTGTTCTGTATCTGGCTTTTCAGGTGGTGGCCACATATACTCCTTAACATCTGAAGCCATCCATACTTTTTTACTGGAAATATTAAAATATTTTAATAAGTTTAAAAAAAATATATAACTGTGGGGCCACCCAATGGTGTTCACTGTTTCGCGAATGGCCAGGTCCGTCCAGGTAAGTACCACGACCTCACAGAATACCAGCGTAAAGTAGAAGTGTTATACTTCTGCATTTCGTCTGATGAGTGAGGTAGCCTGAGCCCACTTTATTTAAAGATGGCAATGCTTCTGCAACCCTACAGGTGTTGCAAATGTCCATAGGCGGCGTTTATCACTTAACACGTTAGTTAGTAGCTCATTTGACACTTTGACACATAAAAAAACCCCTGACAATGCTATGAAATTTTTTTGGAAACGCATTTTGGCGCAGTTGCAAAAATAGGAGTTGAACTATATGTCGTTTATATAAATTTTTTAAGTAGATACGATGAAACATACATACAAATCAAACACATTTTTGATTTCACTGCAGTCAGGTGAAAAGATATAAGACTCATCTGTTATTCTATATAGTTGTATATATATATATATATATTACAGCGTGTCGTTACCAACGCGACAATAAATGAATACACATATAGAGGATAACTTTTTAAAATTTGAATGAATTTAAAAGAGACAAAACATACTGTTAGAAGGAGGGGCTTGTAATGCGACGTTGTGGCGCGAGTTGTATAGCATGTTACAAATTTTGTTTCTTTTTTACTTAATTAGTTTGTTTGAAAAATATTTTCTTTCAATTATGGATTTTGTTTAACGTTAATATTTTTTTATGATTATTGGCAAGTAGCGTTAGACGTGTGTTCATTTATTGTCACGATGGTAACGACACGCTGTATATGCATAGGAGTTGAACTATATGTCGTTTATATAAATTGTGTAAGTAGATACGATGAAACGTACATACAAATCAAACACATAACCCAACTTTTTTGATTTCACTGCAGTCAGGTGAAAAGATAAAAGACTCATCTGTTATTCTATATGGATAAAAATGATATTACCTATCAAATAAATCAGCAAACTTTGATTTTTTCGTTTTGCTGCTCTCATTTGTTGAGCTCTTTACAGAACTTTGTGAATCTTCATCAAGTAAATGTGATGGCCTGAAAGTTCAGAAATTTATAGTAGTATTTTTAACACTATAACATGAAAAAAATAAATGTATATTTGAGTAACAATACAAAAATCTCACTTAGCAGGTGTGGCATTGTCGTCCATCATACATGTCTCTTCTTCAAATAGGTGTACTGTTGTTGTAGCTGGCCCACAAACACGGCCATAAATGCCCATGGTTTCCTGAATACAATGAAAAAAATTAATGAAACATAGTAGTATAATGTTTATCAAATATTGATAGATATAAGTAATAATATTTAATTTTTAAGACAACTGTTGAATATATTACTGCTTATACCATTATCACTTTATGTGGCATTGTGTGGCCACAAATTTGGGTACTGCAATATTATCTTTATATAAATAGTTCTTTTATACATATGTATGTCACTGTACTCCTAAACGGCTGGACTGATTTCAATGAAATTTTTTGTGTCCTCAAGTTGATTTCGAGAATGGTTTATATTAACTATTGGGGACACTACAACTTTTTTTTATAAGTTGGCGGATTTAAGTCGTGTGCACAAGACAACGTCTGTCGGGTCCACTAGTAAAAATATATTATATTATAATAAATAGAGATAGTATGTATACCTTCATGTACATTGCTCCTCGGCCGCCGCCACGACCTCGACCCCTGCCTCGGGGACTTCTTCCGGCACCGCGACCCCGGCCCCCTCTGCTTCCACGACCGCCTCGCGATCTTCTACCCCTTCCTTCTCCAACCTCTGGAGTCTTTAAAAATGAATCCTCCAAATTAGGTAGAGTACTATCAAGCACAACTTTCAGCTCTGCAGCATCACTGAAAATCTTCAATTCTCCTACTGATGAATTCCGTCTTCTACTGCTTAGCGGTGTTGAGCAGGGCATGTTATCCAACGCCTCCGTCATCCTGGGGAGTTTTATTCTGGAACTTGTGGGATCTATAGCTTCACCAACTTTTTGATCCTCGAAGAATTTGTTAGCTGCACTCATCATTGTTTGTGTCACTGGATTAGAAGTATCAAGCCGTTTCGCCCCACGCCCACGTCCTCTCCCTCTCGGTTTCGTCAATATCGTAGGTCTATCCCTGTAATTAAGAATTTTTAGTGCAAAAGAGAATAAACATATTTTATTAAAGATTAACTTTAATAAAATTTGAGAATATTCTTCATGTTACATCAAATCAAAACGGTAAACAATAAATTACCTTGACAAACGTAACGATCTTTGAGGCCGTTCTTCAAGTGCAGGTGTGGGTAAGATAACTTTAGCGCCTTCAGATAGTGGAATTTTTCTTGGACGACCACGCTTTTTTGGTTGCGGTGTGGACACCATAAGTGGTGGTGTAGGTTTAGAAGGAATGTTAAAATTCTCAATATGCACAGCAGGGGGTGCCTTCAAACTTTCCACTTCCAGGGGGTCTCGGGATATTTCTTCAGCAGGTATATTAAAATCATGTGATTCAGAGTTTTCTTGAAAAATCATTTCAGGGTGATTTTTACCCACTGGTGTAATTTCTATTCGCTCACAACTACCTGTTGAAGTGCTGGATTCAATTTCATGAGTTAAATTTGGATTATTATCATGGCAAACATCATTAAAGGGTTTAACTTGTATTTGATTAGCTTGCAAGTTAGACAGAATGTTATGTAACTTTGAATTGCCATTCTTTGAACAATTTTCACTATTTAATACAGTATGGTTAATCAGTTTTCCTTCTTGTTTATTTTCGAGGCATTTTTTTGTCGGAGACAGTTCAGTTTTAGATATCATAGGTGTTATAGATAAAGATTTATTAGATAAAAGCTGTCCCAACTTCAACCTTTTAGTTTCAAGAACAGAAAGTTCTGATTCTTTATTCTGAGTTGGACTAGTAACAACAGGAGAGGGTCTTTTCACTAAACCTTTCTTGGACGTAGGAGACTTGTCTGTATTTTCAACAATCCTAGAACTTCGTAGCCTTTTACCTAATTGTATGGTTGGATTCATATTACCAGCTGTTTTTCTTCTACTATTTAATATAGACTTTTTAATGTTTTCATTATCATTTATTTCATCTTGAGCATTTTCTGTTTCATACAATTGCTGTTCTGGTCTTTTTATTTCCTCAGTTATAATTTTAGCAGAAGGTCCATGATCAGTCTTATTAATTTTCAGTATTATTCGTGGTGAGTCCTGCCCTGAACTTTGGTTTGTAATTTTCTCTGGAACATTAATTTCTAAAGGTTTTGTTACATTTTCTTGAACTTCTTTAGATAGTCCCTGCATGACATGATTTCTAAATGCTGTTTCAATTACACCATCATTAGAAATTACTGGTATGTTGCTGACAACTTCTGTTTTAAGGCAAGTTTCAAAATTTGTTTTTCCAGTGCCACTGTTCAATACATTTACTTCCTTGTTATCATAGACTGGGGTCTTTGTCAATAAATTGGGAGATGAACAATTACTTGCAACAGGTTTATTTTCATCTTTTTTTATACTCAACCCATCATTCTTAGTTTCAAGAAGTTTTTTCAATAAAGTACAATTTTGTGTTGATGGCGAAAGCTGATGCTTAGAACTTATAGCAGTTTGTACACATTCTGATGATGAATAAGAAGTATTTAAACTATTGCCACCATTATCCTCTACTCTAACTGTCGATTTTGTTGTCTCAGGTAATTGCATTAAATTTAATTTATTTGGTTTTTGATGGTCTAACTTATGGATACTAGAAATACTATCAGTTTTATGTGCAATTGTATCTTTAATGTTGATGTTTTCTTTCGGTATGGTGAAATCACAAGGTGCTGCAGAAGATATAACAATCTCTAGGTCATTTACTTTCTGATTATCATCAACAACACAGTTTTGTTTAGGTATACCTAGTGATGTTATGTATGTATCTTCCTGCTCTTTAACACTTACAGTACTGGATATATTTTCAACAATTGTATCTGGTTCTTTGCTATCAGTAAATTTTATATTAGAATTATCTCTTGCAATACTTTTTGTTATAGGCTTTATATTTCTTTTAGATATTACAGGTACATTGTCATCAATACTATTTACATGCTCACCATTATTATCTGAATTAATCATGATTCTCTCGTTACTGCATGTGTCTACAGTTTTCATATTAAATTTCATAAGTAATGGTGGATTTTTCAGAGTCACATCTTCAATTTCATCATCATTTTTAAATGCATCCTCTGGCTTCAAAACTGGCTTAATATTTAATTTCGTTACAACGGGTGTGAAAGAATTTTTGTGATCTGCACTTCGTAGGCTTTCTTTTTTTGGTGATAAAGTAGAAACATTATCTTCTGGTTTCAATATAGGTTTAATATTAATTTTTGTTACAGTAGGTATACTTCCTTCATTTGATATGCCGGGTTTAGAATCATCAATATCTGTTGGTCTCAATATTGGTTTAATATTCAATTTCGTAACAACCGGTATGTGATCTGTATTATCATCACTTGAATTTCCAGTTTCTGAAGATTGATTTTCAGAATTCTCGTCTTTTAAAACATCATCATCTAGAGGCTTAATTATACGCTTAATATTAAGTTTAGTAACAACAGGTATACTTTTTTCATCTATGTCATCTTTTGAATCACAGTCTTTTTCTTCTGACGATTTACACTCTGGGTTTTTTAACGGCTTAATATTTAATTTTGTAATTTTAGGTAAATCTTCTCTGTTAGAATCTATATCTATATCTTTAGGTTTAATTAAAGGCTTAATATTTAATTTTGAAACTACAGGAACTGAATCATCCAAAATTTCTGTTATTTCACTGCTTTCTATAGGTTTAATTATTGGTTTTATATTCAGCTTTGTTACTTTAGGTATTTGATCATAGTTTTCATTTACTCCACCAGATTTTTTCGTGGTTTCTGTTTTCAATACAGATTTTATTGTGATTTTGGGTACATGAGCACAATCCTTCCCCTCTATGCTAGATGAAAAAGTATCCGTGGATATTTTTAGTTTAGGTATTTGTTGATTCTCTGTGTATTCACTAGTGCTTTCTTTATTAATAGAATCAGGTAGCTTTAGAGGTTTTATTGTAAGTTTAGGACTAAGAGGCTGGCCATCAGACTTAGCCACTGTTTTTATTGTTAGTTTAGGTACCTTCTCAGTTTGCTTGTCTTCAGGTTGACTAACAACTAGTTTATGATTTGCAGGACAGTCTTGTTCTTCATTTTCATTTTGCTGAATACCTTTGATTGTAAGTTTTGGAATATTTTTTTCAGTATAGAACTGTCCCTCCGTGTCAGTACCAATTTTACCAAGTTTAATAGTAACTTTTGGCACAACATCTGTTGGTCCTTGATCAGACGTTGATGCTTGATCAGATGTACTGGTACTTTCATCATTTTCAGAATATTCTGATTCAGATATTTCACTGCTGCTAGATTTTCGATGTATATCATTAATTTTCTCTGGTCTTTTAGGAATTGGTTTTATATTTAATTTAGTAACACTGGGTATTTGTTCCAGGCTGTCAAATTTATTGCCTTCATTTTCTTCTACAGGTACTCTTATTGGTTTTATGGTTACTTTTGGTACAGGGGATCTACTTTCCTCAGACTGTTTATTGCCTAGTTTAATAGTTAGTTTTGGTACCTGTTTTGTGGAGTCAGACTCTTCATAGGAAATACTGCTACAGCTGTTGTCACTTTTCGCTTCAGAATGTTTTGTGCTTGATTCTGCATGTGATTCCATTTCATTTGTAGCAGAAATACTAGGCTTGATAGGAGGACTTTTTTTCAGATCCTTGTCCTTTGAACTATTTTCACTTGAATGTATGTCACTTGAACATTGGCTTGGTTGCTCTAATTCAATTTTTGCTGTTTCATTTGAAGCAGATAAATTTGATACACTAGGCGTGATTGTGGCAGTATCAAGATTTATGTTATTGCTCACACCCACAACTTCATTATCTAAGTTCGACTTTGATGTACTTATTAAATTTGTAGATGCCGAATAAGATTCAGTAGAAAGGGTTTCAGAGGTTGATTGACACTGATCTTTTTCAAAAGATGACTGTTGATTGAGTAAATCATCTCTATAGCTAACTTGTGGGATAACTTTTTGTCTAATAAGTTTAATTTTTTTAACAGGACTCATGGATGTTTCTGCTTTGCAGATACTAACTTCACTTACATTTCTAATCTCATGTGGCTTAACATAACCATGTACAGGTGCCACTGCATCTGACGAACTGGACACATCTTTGACAACACTCTCACTACTTGACTGTTCATGAACTAAAATTTTAATACTTTGTAAATCTACTGTTGATGAAACAGTAGAGTCAGGTCGGCGATCACTAGGCGCCGGCCTTACTAGGCGTCGCCTTAATGGCGATCTTGTTACATTTTCTGGAACGGGTACTCTATCTTCACTTAAACTACTGTCACTTGATGTACATTCCGCACTCGCTACAATATTGTCTTGATTATCACTTGATGTTACACATTTCACTGTCCGTTCACATGATTGAACTGCATTCCTATCAGAAATACTTTGGTCTGTTTGCACTACACTGCTGGAAGGAATATTAGGTTGTGGGCTACTCTGTGGCACCACTGAACTTAATTTTGCTGGTTGTTGAGAACTTGTAGATTCATAAATCTTATTTGGAAGCATATGACAGCTTTCTTCTAACACATTAATTGGTTTTATTGATTCATTTTTCTTGGGTGTGCTTTGTGCACTGGCCTCAATATCCTCTGAACATAAATCGTCCTTCGATTTCACAGTTACATCAGGTTCTGTTATTAGAGCTTGCTTGGCTTCTTGTTTCCCACTAGATGTTTGAATTTGATCGTCTACGCGGTCAACAGACACACATCGCGATACGTTCTTTACATTTTGAAGTGTTAGCGGAAGTCTCTTTGGAGCCCCAGGTCCATCTACAATCTCGTCAATCATGTCAAGGATTGCTTCTGTGCTAGTGTTGACGTCTTGCGTCGATGGCGAAGGAACGCTATCGCCATCAAAATTTTCCTCCGACATCGCGGGGGTTTCGCAAGATGCTCGTGCTTCAGATGATTCTTGCTGGAAAGTACCAGTTGCACAAACGTCCTCAGCTTGTCCGACGTCTTTTTCCCGCGCCGATGGGCGGCGGGAAGCGTTTGTTGCGGTGCCCGCATCATCTTCTGAACTCTCCATTATCTACTCTTTTGCGACGCTGTCATATCTGAAATATAAAACGCCCGCTGGGTGATATTTACGTTACGAACGAGTAACCTGTCGACGTGCGAGCTTGACAAACCACAGGCACCATTCTAATTCACCACAATGCTACAATAATTTGTTCACAGAGTCCATGGTGTTGATTATTGTACCTACACATGTATTTTATTTTCATATTCACGACGTTTACGTGTCGCCTGAGTACGCACGGGGTCTCGAAAACTAATCATTCAACAGCGTAAACCGGCAAACAAAAAGCTTGTATACGCCATTTTTAAAACCAAAGACATGGCAGGTTTGGCTGTACGAGCCAATAAAAAATATCTTATACAGACAATTCGGCCATTGTCGTGTTGGTAAACTGCAAGAAGCCCATAGATCGCTCCACTTGAGCTTTTTAGCTAGTAAAAGAGTAATAAATATGCCTTTCGACATGTGGTAAAACGAGTAAGATAATAGCTCTCAAACATGAAAATTATTCTTTCATATGGCAACAATGCTGTTTTCATTACAAATGTTAGCAGAAATTTAACAAATTCTTAATTTGCTAAAATATCTGTATTTTAAAAACCGAGATTTAACAGAAAGAAAAACATTCTATGATATGGTTAATTTTGAGCTAACCGGTGGTAACCATTTGTTCATGGTTAACTCCGAGTTAACGTGATTTCTTTACTTAATATTTCTCTATTTTTAGAGAAATTTCAAATGAATTATCTAACAATAAAATGAATTATACATTGAAAAAATTAATTATATTCTGATATCGATTAAATTTAATGAAACAAAATCAGTATTATGTTTTTGTTTATGTAATAAACATAAAAATTTGGAATAAAACAAAATTGGAAACTTTTGTACCTTTATAGTCAAAATCTTCGATAATGTATTTCAAATAAGAGTATCGTACATCACTCCTAGTACATAATTAATTTACATGGATCTTTATGTCGGTAACAGATTACATTAATTAAAAAAAAAATTATAAGATTTGAAACGAACACATTTACAGCGGTGGAATATACCAGTAAATTTTGTTTTGGTGTGAGCTTACAGATATCAATTACAATTTAAGCTATTAAAAGTGTTAACGTTAATCTTAATACTTACACAAATAGGTACTTAAACAAAAAATACTTCTTTTATTATATTCATATCAAATTAATAAAATTGACATTGTTTAATAATACCCGTTATATGTAAAATTTTTCGTTATGGTTTTATTATTAATTTCTTGTGTTTAAAAGTTCTTATCCTTATATTTACTTTTATTATACATTCGACAACAACATTTTTAAGTTCGTTTTAAATATAACCAATTTCATTAATTATCAACTAAAATTAAGAGATTTATGGTATATTGATATAGATATAGATATCAAGTATTTATGGATAAGAATATGTATCTAGATATTTTTAAGTTGAAAACAGTCCACTTACATCTTGAATGTAATATTAGAATGGCGTAAAGTAACAGAAGAGTATGACCTTAATGGTAAATTGTTGCTGTAGCGTATTGAATGCTATAGCAAGTTTCGCTTCTTTCTTTGAAATGTAGAACTTATAGTTCTATCATATTTTATATCTGTACTTTCTATAGATTGACATACATTTATAATCTATAAATTGTCTCGATTTAAGTAATATGAATAGAGATGTTGGTAGCAATGTCGAAAGTCAAGAAATATATCGATATTTATAAAAATATGAATATCGGCAATATAAATATCAATATTAGCATATGAATCGTATCAGAAAATAACTAATAAAAAGTAAAAGTAAAAGTTTGTTAAAAACCGTAAAGAAATGTTTAAAATGAAGTTAACAATGGGACAAAAATAAATCAGCATATACTTTTCCTAAAAGACAGGCCTAGCAGCAGGATTTAGTAATAGTTGTTTGATTGACATGAAAATGCTGAACGACAATTAAAAAAAGTTACTTATGTGGTTAATATAATAATGGTTAATAAATAAATACAAGGATAGTGTTTTTTATGACGTCAAATATTTTTTTTTATGAAAACTTGATATTACATTTTGTTATTGAGAATTTGATTACAAAATTAAACTTTGTTTACTTTATTTACATATTAAATTAAAGTAAATTTAGTTGATGTCATTAATATTTTGCATGCTATTTATAAATTATCTTAATATGTAGTTCAATATAAATTATTTGTATAACAAATTTTATATTATTATTATATGACATGGATAGTTTAGAGTACGATCCTTGAAATTGTAGTATACCATAATTATAGTACAAAGTACACTGTATCCGCGACTAAACTAGTCATAGACAACAGTTTCTGTTTCCGATCATTTTTATGTTCTACGGCTTCCAATAAGTTAATATTCAGCTAAATTAAATTTGAATAAAAATATCGTTATTGATACGATTTCGACATTCAATTTTTTATATCGGTATATCGATCAAAAATATCGATATACTTAAAAAATATCGATATATCGATATTTTATCTGTATCCCTAATCTGTTCGTTCCAAAACATTTTGCTTTTGACTAAGCTAAACAAAAGAAAAAAAAAAATAAAAGTATTTTTTTTAGTGAGCTAGACACTCACATACAGATATAAATACAATATACCTACTTATCTAAATACATTTTTCTGTATAGAAAAATAACATAATGACGACTATTCGTCCATTTACATGTGAAGATATGTTATATTTTAACAACGTGTTAGTGGAGTTTTAGGTGTATTCTATTTGTTCATTTATTTATTTATAGTATTAAATATAACTCCTTTCATTTTCAGAAACTTAGATCCCCTCACGGAGACGTACGGTTTGTCTTTTTACACCCAATATCTCGCTCATTGGCCGGAATATTTTCAAGTTGCAGAATCGCCTAGCGGTGAAATCATGGGATACAGTAATTACCATTTTTATTTTCTAACTATTCTATGAACTCCAATACCCTTGATATAATAGGCCTTTATTATATCTAAAGTTTATGACAATTTGAAAAACTTGTAGGAAATAGTTTCTGGAGTAAATAAACGAATTTTGTACTGTGAAGTTCTGGGAAATTACATGAAGTTCTGGTAACATCTGGCAGGCTACTAATTCAATATAAAAACATAAAATAAATTTAAATGACAGAGTAAAATCATTAAATAATTAATGGAATATAAGAAATATTGAAAAAATATTTCATTCTCATTCATATTAATTCATTTCTTAAATTTGACCCTTCCATGTGCTTCGCCAGAACACTCGCTATGTCACCCCTGAGAACCTCCGACGCGAGGTTCTGGCTCTGTCTTTTAAGTTCACTCTAGTGGTAGGGACCACAAGACCACATGGAGTTGGGGTGCTCTGTCATCTGTGTTGGATTTTTGTGATTTTACTTAATAGTTCTCTCATTCAATTTGTTTGCTATATTGATGTAGTAGTCTGCTAAAATTTTACCAAAATAAAAAGTATAATGAGCTGCTTTTTATATTTTTAATGTGTTTTATCTACTTTGATACTTCTTTAGGTTAAAAGGAAAATGTAATGCTTATTAAAATTAAATAGGAAATTTATAAATAAAATTAAATCAGATTCTCATCTGTTGTAGTACATGTCTTTGATATCAGTAATATTGTACACTGAAATGTTATACAAGATGTTATAATTTATATAAAATATACAGTGAACCCGCACTGTATAATTTATACAGCGTGTCTTTACAATCACGACAATAAATGAACACACATATAGGGGATAACTTTTTAGAATTGTGTTAAACTTTTACATTCTTTAAACATCATTTTTTACAGAGTTATTAAATTTTCTAAAACAAAGAATTTTAGAACACCCTTACGTATAAAACTGTAACGTAAAGTTCATTTGTAAAGGTCACAAAGCATATGAATGGGTTGAATGAATTTAAAAGAGACAAAACATACTGTTAGAAGGAGAGGCTTGTAATGCGACGCTGTGGCGCGAGCTGTATAGGATGTTACAAATTTTGTTTCTTTTTTACTTAATTAGTTTGTTTGAAAAATATATTTTTTTATTATGGATTTTGTTTAACGTTAATATTTTTTTATGATTATTAGCAAGTAGCGTTGGACGTGCGACGGTACGACATGCTGTATAAATTATATGGCACTTATAGGAATGGATTGATTTTAATTAAATAAATTTGTCCAATTTGTTTCAGTTATGGGAAAAGCTGAAGGGCATGGAGAAAATTGGCATGGCCATGTGACAGCTTTAACTGTAAGTCCAGATTATAGAAGGTTGGGTTTAGCTGCTACATTAATGAATATTCTTGAAGAAGTCTCTGAAAAGTTAGTAGTTTAAAATATGTTTTTAAATGAATGAATTTAATGAAACAAAACTATTTTAATTACTGATTTTTATTTTCAGAAAAAAGGCTTACTTTGTTGACCTGTTTGTAAGAGTGAGTAATAAGGTTGCAATCAATATGTACAAAAACTTAGGATACATTGTTTACCGAACAGTGTTAGAATATTATTCTGGAGACCCTGATGAAGATGCTTATGGTAATTGTAATAAATTTCCTTATTTTTAAACATAAAAAATTTCATTTATGTTTAAATTATGTTTCGGCTCAATTGGTACAGATGATAAGCTGTTGGATTCAGCGCCAGGGGACATTTTCTTGTCCTACAACACAAGAATTTGTGTGACTTACTAACAATTATTGTTCTGAATCTGTATGATCTTTCACAATAAGGATTGACATCTGCCAGGTTCATCATAATCTAACAAATACCAGTAACAACATGAGTGACATTGGACTTCAGGCATCCACCAAAGCAGCACAGCACGATTAAATTCATTCCGCTTCGTGCTCTCGTACGGAACGGACCTCTCTCTTAGACGCAGGGCTCATGCCACCCGAAATAGACGCTACTCGCAACTTCGGTTGCAATTTAAATCTTTGTGCAAGCAGTGCAGTAGTTTAGTGTTAGTGTAGTGTTGTACTCGTAGGTTCCTGTTCTGTAAGTAGAATTCTATACACACTTCTCGCCTCAGAGGCGGCATTGTTTTATTTAATAACTGTGTGCTTGTTGCGATAGGCGACAGCTATGTACCCACCCTTTTTTTTTTTGGTATCGGGGGGGGGGGGGGGGGGGTAAATCTTCGAAAGATACCCTGTCACTATATGACTGGGTAATGTGGGGTTCTTACCCACTAAAACCCCCACGGTGACCGCCTTCCGTACATTTAGAGGGACTCCGGGATCTCCCATGGAACGCACCGGTTTCCCTCGGTACTACGCCTGAGCACGCCTCGGAGAAGGATAAACCTTTTCCGATTCCCTCATCCTCTTGAAGCAGCCTTTTACTACAGGCAGGGGATACCATAGCCCTCATAGATAGCGCACCTAAAGCGCAGGCGAATTAGTTGTTAGTTTTAGGCACACACCTCCCCGCCGCAAGGTGGGGAGGCCTATTTAGTAACTTACATGCCGGCGGGGCGCAAGCCCCAAAGGCTCAAGCGCTCGAAATGGGTTCCCTCCTCGAGGAATTCCTTCGCCAACGATGTCCCGAAGTGTGGGCAAACTTTCTCGCGTTCGCGAAAGAACAATGTTTAGTCGTCGAGTGCGAGGCCGCCTCAACTAACAGTCCCACCGCGTCGCCCGCCAAAAAGGCGGCCGCGGCTGCCCAATCTGTACCCGAATTCGCCGCCGAGCGAAAGATTAAGCCACCGCCTCCGATAATAATACAAGAGAAGGCAAAGTGGCATCAAGTATGGTTCAAGACGATACCTATGCAAATCGAGCGATAGCAAGTCTCCGAGAAACGTTCACTTCAGCAGTAGCAGATTCGGAACGGACGGTGAAAATGTCGGCCAACCGGCGGTTTAACTTTCCGCCCGACCTGCGACTGTTAATTAGACAGAAAAATGCAGCCAAACGCGCTTTCGACCGATACCGATCGGAATCGAACCAAACCCTACTTCGACGCCTTCACCATCCGGGCCTTCCTGTCGAACCGCTCTTTTTGATATCGAGTTGAAGGCGCCCACAAGCCACAGCCTCACGGCCGGCGTTACCACAAGGCTCCTGCCTCTCACCTTTGCTCTTTACGCTCTACACGAGCGATATACCTAAATACCCCCATGTCAATCTCGCGCTTTTCGCTATCATCCGCGAAAAGCGCGAGATTGACGGAGCTCTTTTATTCAGACCGCATCCTTAGTCAACTATCCACTCGACTCCAAAGCGCCGCCGACCGCCTCGGCGATTGGTTCCGCAAATGGAGAATAGAACTAAATCCCGAAGAGTGTGGCGATTCACTTCACACGAAGTACTTACCCGTCACATCTTTATAATGGCCCTCGCCAATGCAGAAAGTTGGGGCAAATATAGGCCCTTTATGGCCAACCGCTCCCCTGGGAGAAAAAGGTAAAATACTTAGGAGTTACTTTCGACTCGCGTATGTCATTTACTACGCACATTAATAACGTTCGCAATAGAGCCGCGTCCGTCTCGGGCCAGCTACACAATTTAACTAACGCTAAAAGTAAAATGTCCTTAAGGCACAAATTATTATTATATAAGACCTGCGTACGACCTGTTATGTCCTACGCATGCATGACCTTCGCCCACACGGGTGCGTGCAGTACTCGCTTGTACAAGTTGCAAATAGTACAGAATAAGTTCATCCGCCGCGCAACCGGTGCGCAGTGGTATCAACGCAACGTCGACCTGCAGAGAGATTGCAGACTCCCGACGATTCGCGAATATTTTAAAGACCTGACCAAACGGTTCTTCTATAGAGCCGAACATCATCCCAACTCTCTGGTGGTAAGCGCAGCAAATTACAAACGCGAACGTGAACAAGCGTCGCCCGCGAAACGTCTTCATCGACCCGATCGAGGAAGGGAACTCAGATTCGTCGGACCCACCGGGGGGGGTCCCGCCAGATAACACTACACCCACAGTTAGTGCAACAACAAACACACTAGTTCGCCCTCTCCTCCGAGCACGGCGAGACCAACACAATGCGTACACAAGGTACACCCGCGTTCCGGGGCGGTTCTGACCGCTCCCAGCCACCGATTACTTAATTGCACAGTCGACGGACATCGGGGTTTCGGTCCGAACCGCGACCTCGATGGCCTTTAGATGGCACACCATAGTTAAACGCACGCATGAGCACATACGTGGCCCTACCCACAGCGGAGGGCTCAAGCCCGTGGGTTGCGGCTAGCCCACCGGTTCTGCGTCAAATGAAGCTTTAATAGTCTTGGGGTGAAAGCAAAAACATCAGTTAATACACAAGATACAACATGATTGACATGTTTATCTGATATCTTATATAGGTATATATATATATATATATATATATATATATATATATATATAGAACACCCTTACATATAAAACTGTAACGTAAAGTTCATTTGTAAAGGTCACAAAGCATATGAATGGGATGAATGAATTTAAAAGAGACAAAACATACTGTTAGATCGAAAGGCTTGTTATGCGACGCTGTGGCGCGAGTTGTATAGGATGTTACAAATTTTGTTTCTTTTTTACTTAATTAGTTCGTTTGAAAAATATTTTTTTTTAATTATGGATTTTGTTTAACGTTAATATTTTTTTTTATGATTATTGGCAAGTAGCGTTAGACGTGTGTTCATTTATTGTCGCGGTGGTAACGACACGCTGTATATATATATATATAAAAGATTTGTTTTGATTTTGATTTCTTAACTAAAATAATGTGTTTAAAAAACTAAATACTTTTCAGATATGAGAAAGGCTTGTTCAAGAGATATTAATAAAAAATCAGTGATACCATTATCACATCCTGTACGTCCAGAAGATGTTGATTAAAAGGAACAAATATGAATAAAGAGGCAAGAAAGTTTCTTTACTGTATATAAAGAAAAGTATATAGTGCATTGATGGATACATAATAGCTACTTAATAAATAATACATTATCTTGCAATGTATGATGTACTTGTGTGAACACATCATGTCAAACCAATACCAGTAGAAACTTGCAAAAATATCAATAAACCTGCATATTGATTGTTAGTGTTTTTTTCTATGTAAGTTAAAGCCAGTGAGACCTTGTCCTGTCACTTAAATAACTCTTAATACTACACTTTGAACATTGTAAAAAAAGGAATCATTATGATGTTGCCCAAAGTAATAAAAAAAATAAGTGTCATTTATGAATATCCAATGTATCAACATTGTGTTTTTCCATTTATACATTTTTTCCAATGCCTACATATTTTTGATAATTGTTAGAGTGGCATCGGATTGTCATTGACGCGAGCGGTATTGGTTAGGCCGTTCCCAGACATGCAAATGTTTAGAAAAATATTTACCAAATATTTTTTATACGCTCCAACAAAATCCATGAGCTCCCCACACTTAGATTGAAACCCCGATAGGATAATCACCCGAGACCGCCGTCACGGAGATCTCCCACCCACGTCACACATCCAAATAGTCGTCCGAGACTGTTTCGGTCCAATCGTGGTAGCGAATGATTGCTTCGAACTGCCAGAAAACCTAAGGCGACTATTGCGGCAGAAAAACTCAGCCACTCGTGCTTTCAATCGATATCACCTCCAATGAGAGGTCAAAAAGCGCATGCAGGAACTAAGGAAGAAGAGTTTAGCCTTCGAATCAACTTGCGATATTTAATGCACTCCTCGACAGCTGCACCTTTCATTGTATTTTAACGGATGTTTCAACCTGTATAGGAGCATCGACAAATATTTATTGTCTGCTCGCTTTGATATGAATACATTCACCTGAAAGGCCCCTCAATTAGTGATCTGCTAGACGGACGTCCTTCAAAAGTGACATAATATTATGTTGATGATGCACTGATGTTATCTTCATTTCTTCTATTGATATTATAAAGATAACATCAGTGCTATGCGCATGATAGAGGAAGATAAGAGAGCGATGTACCGGCAGATTCTGACAAACTTAGGGATTGGTATGAGTCTCTAATGGTCGTGTATTCTTTTTTCACCCGATTTAAAAAAAGGAGGGGTTCTCATTTCGACTGTATTTTCTTTACGTTTGTTACCTCAGAACTTTCAACTGAGTGAATCGATTTTGATGATTCTTTTAGCTGGTGCTTCCCATTGGGTCCCATATTTAATAATAAGATAACCGATTTTCTACTAACCGACTTCAACTATCTCGCTCTGTATTCATTTTATAATTGATTTTCAGGAGTTCCCTAAGCATCTCCGAAGCCCAAGATCCACTTCCAATGAAATTATTCCCACATGGGAAGGTCCAGCTTTCAAATAAAAAAATAATTATCAAAATCGGTTCACTCAGTCGAAAGTTCTGAGGTGAAACATAAATAAATAAAACCGTTTAAAAACTTTTAAGTTAAACGTTTTTAAACGGTTTATTTTTAGGTTTTATTTTATGTTTTTTTTTTGTGCACTGAAAACTACAATATTGTATTATCATCTAAATTAAATGTGTGTACCAAATTTCAGATCAATCTGACAACGGGAAGGTGCTTAAATTTCAATTTCTAATTTTGACCCAAATAAACAAACAAATTCCGTACGGGTCGAGCTAAATAAAACCGTTTAAAAAAACAGTCGAATTGAGAACCTCCTACTTTTGAAGTCCGTTAAAAATTGACTTGTACTTGTACAAAAAACGAATTCACGACCATTTATGCGTCAGGAAGCTTTGTACCACATAGATACCCGATACTTTGACCGAAGACGAGAAACGACTTCGCATGGATAGGTGTGGCGAAATGTTAGAAAAGTTCAACGGAGGTTACTCTCATACTCTATTGACGTCACGAGTGATGAAAGGAAGCTACGAAAAAGAAACTAAAAAAAACTGCTCAGGGGGTGTTTCCTTTTGAGGATCAGCCAACTATAGTAAGGAAAGGAAGTCAAGAAAAAATATCTTTGATCGGAAAGGTCATTTCGCGACAATTGTGCTGGAAGTTGGAAGGACAGTTACTGCAATCTGGTATGTTAACTGTTGTTTGCCTGTTGTTATGGAAAATGTTTGACTGCAGCGTCTTGGAAGAAGGATCCGTTTTTTAGTTTAATTTTGACTATGACTGGTTCGAGATGATGAGTCATCGGCCATATAGTCCCGACCTAGCGCCCTTTGACATTCTTTTATTCCCAAGAAACAAAGATAAGTTTATTGGTTTTCGCTTTACGAGCCTTGTAGTGCGTTCGAAAACGCCATGTAAGAGTCCCCTAAGAAATATAGGTGAATCGATTGGCGAGCCTCGTAAAATCGGTACAAAGTAATTTCATCCGATTTGCATCAACACTTGCGAATCTCACCTAAGCATTGTAAAATCAGTTTGTCTAGGTCTCAATAGTGATATGAAACGATAGATTTTAATATATTAGACGCATACCTAGCCATCGCTGTTTAGTGTTTACGGAATCTTTTGTAATCAAGCGCCGCTGGATATTGCTAGACAAAGTGAGGCAGTTATTAATATGCAAAATAATAAAATTATTTACAATGTATAAAAGTAAAGTAACAGCCTACACATGTCCCACTGCTGGGAAAAGGCCTCCTCTATACAGTATAGAGGAGGCCTTTTCCCAGCAGTGGGACATGTGTAGGCTGTTACTTTACTTTCTGCTGTTACTTTACGTCAGGTCTTTTTTTACTTTTATACGTCACGTCTTTGACTATGCCCTGATACCCTCTGGGGTATCAGGGCATAGTCCAACACGCGGCCCCACTGCGGATTGGCGGACTTCACATGTCTTCGAAAAATATTTTTTTTTGTTATTATTTCCAAAATATGCAGGTTTCCTGACGATGTTTTCCTTCACCGCGGAGCACGTGATAAGTCAGCACTTAAAGTTAAAAACTTCATTGGTGCCGGCACCGGGGATCGAACTCAGGTTGCCCGAGTATATTGAATTAAAGGCGAATGTCCGGACACTGAGCTATCACGGCTTTACAATGTATAAGACGATATTTTTTTTGATCTGTCTTTTTAAAAATAAATATACAAAAGACGCTTTATTCCTTTTATTATTAATGTAGTTTTTTTAACATTTCGTATAATCAAAATAAAATTGATGCACCCAAAATCATTTATTGACGGTATTTTATTATTTAAAAATAAATGTGTACATTCATGAATTTCCTTCATCACTTTTCTATACTGTATTCGTTAAAGACGATTCATCACTTGATGGGCTGTTATTGCCATCATCTGGTGGTTCAGTTTCAACTTCCTTCTGTTTGCGCCAGTTTTTCGCAGCTGCAAGCAGTTTTAGGTTGGGTCTCACCATTTCATCTTCAGGGAATATGTAATCGAACACTTCTTCCCATCCTTCTTCCACTCCAGTTTCACTTACTATCTTTTGTCTCTTCTTAACTCTTCTTGGCATTTTGGATAACACTTTTTCAAGTTTTATGTCATTTCCAATTTCTACCTCGAATTCTTTCCAGGCTTCTAGAAGGAGAACCCGAGCTTCCTTTTCCCCAGCACTTCTGAGGCTATCGTTTGCCCGCTCATAAATTTTTCTTGCTAGTTCAACATTTATATTATCAGGATTTTCAGCATTCAACTCAAATTTTGCATATGATAACCATACTTTTACATGGACAGTTCTGTCCAACAGTCTTTCATAGAGCTGCCTAGCCTTCTCGGTTTCTCCTTGTGAAACTTCAAAGTCAATGTAACTTTTCCAAAGTAGTTCTGGCATGTCTAATCGTGGTTGAGAGACTGCTATTTCATATATAGCTCTAGCTCTATCAATATCTCCAAGTAATGTTTCTAACTCCGCAAACTTCATCCATGTTATGCAATTTTCTGGACCATATTCCAGAAATTTTTGATACAATATTCTGCATCTATCAAACTCTCTTAATTGAATTTCCAAATCAATGTATCCCCTGTATAATTTATCGCGTGGGCATATGCCTAATGCCATTCCCAGGGTTTTTCTAGCTTGTTTCAAATTTTTACATCTAACTTCTAAATGAGCGTACATAAGCCAAATCTTGGAAAATGTGAATATTTTGTGAGGTATTAACTCTAAGCAGGTTCTGTAAACCTGTCTTGTTCGTTCTATATCCTCAGCTTCTAACTCCTCATACAAAGCATAATTGATCCACAGATAAATGTAACGCCGCCAAAACTGTTTGTCTTTTGACGGTGGAACATTTGCTATTGCCCTTTCATAGGTATCACGAATATCATCAACATTACCTTCGTTTTCAACTAATCTGATATAGTCAAACCATGCATCATAGTTTGTTGGGTTTTCTATGACTTCTTGTTCATACATATACTTTCTTTTATTTACAATGACATCCTCAATTCCAGATCTATCTCCATATTTCTTCTCATGAATTGTATATGCCTTATAAAGTTCTTTGTTTTTATCTTTAGGGATATGATCAAGAGCATACTTATAAATGACTCTTGCTCTGTCATGCTCCTTTTGGTTTTCTTCAAACTTTGCAAAAGCAATAAACAATCTTTCATCAAGCTCTTCATCACCAAAGAACTCAACTGCCCTCTCATAAACTTTTCTAGCACTATTTATGAAACCATGATTTTCTTCAAATCTTGCATATTTAATCCAGTGTTTCACATCAGGATGCACCATTACAAATCTCTCATAGATTTGTCTTGCTCTATCTAATTCTTTGTATCGTAATTCAAAATTGATATATGTTTGCCATGCTTGTTCATCAGGTTGCCACTCCATCCAGCGCTCAAACACCTAAAAATAATTAAGTAAACTATTTTCTTTGAAATTATATGGGGCTTTAAAATTTGTAGAAAAAGTACGAAAAGATCGTCGCCGCTGTGGGAATCGAACCCACGTCTTGAACGCCGAATTAGGCCGCGAATGCTGTAGGTTAGATTCCCACAGCAGCGACAATCTTTTCGTACTTTTTCTACAAATTTTAATGTTAAATCTTAAGTGCAGAGATTAGCACTATAAAAAAACTTGAAATTTTATATGGGATATACCAAATACCTAATACATACTTGTCTAGCTCCAGCCACATTTTCTAACATTTCTTCCATGTAGGTATACTTATACCAAAACTGAGAAACTCTGGGTAGTATTGTAACAGCTCGGTCCCATAAATTTCGGGAATGGTTAACTTGTCTATTACGCATCTCCATTTCAGTGTACTTTAGCCTAGAAAGTAAAATTAAAACAATAAAAGTTTATAACAACTATGCCAATTGCTATAAATTATTTTTAATTTTTATTATTATTGAATGATGGCTCAATTCAAGGTTATTATAAAAATAATAAAATGGCCTTAGTTGCTAAAGAAAAATAGATTTTGTACTTGTAAGGCATCAACCTAAAGATACCAGTTTAGGATTGGGATGGGTATCTTTATAAAAACAAATAACGGTGTAGGAGTCAGTACATTTTTTTTAATTAAACTATTTTATGCATTTTTATCTAATTAAATGTAAACTTGGATTTAATAATGCATAGTGTTCACATAAATATAAAAGATATTTTTAGTGTAAAAGGTTGAAATCTATTTAGCTATTTCTTTTCCCTACTTTTTTAAAGCAAGTTAAATCATACTGTATATTGCAAGTCTCTTATCATAAGCCACTCTTTAAAAACAATATTATATATTGAAAGGTCATGGCTGTAGACTTAATAATAATAAAATAAGTGATATGATATTCTGATGCCACTCCTTTTTTGTGAGGTTTATAGACAACACAAATAAGTATGATTACCACCAATACTTCACAATAGCATACTTGTCCATGTAGAGTAGTGACTTGGTTTAGTAAAGGAAAGCATTAAATGATAATTATGAATAATTTCTTACTAACCAAAGGGTAACATTTCTATGGTCCACATCCAAAGCTCTTTCATATATTGAACGAGCTCTTTGTATCTGCTTCTGAGACTCTTCCCATTGGGCATATTTTAACCAGTTTCCTATGACCTAAAATTAATTATGTTTTATTATAACAATTTTAATAGACACATTGTTAATCATCATTATGTTCTGAATAATTTCTCTTTATAAATGCCTTTTACATTTCACCAATATATTTTATTTTTTAACATTACGAGACAAGGTATAAACCTGATAAAATAATTTGGTGGCACATTTCTCAAGATTTATTTTCCTATTCAAGAATGAGAAATTTTACAGAATAACTATTATATACCAGTTCCCATATAAGAAATTGTTTTTGTTAACATTTGATTAACAAGGTCCAATTCATCCAGTTATCAGATTAATAAAAATCAGGTAAATACTATATTTAGCATTTTCATGTTATCCTATCACATACATAATAGTGATTTAATTTTGTGTGAGAAGATGCCAAGCGAGCCGGAAGTCACCTGATGTAAAGTGATAACCCATAAACATTTGTAAGGATGACATAGGGATGCAGATGCATTGCCACCTTTTGATAAAATGGGCTACCTCACTCGCCAGACGAAACATAGAAGTATAACACTTCACGGTCTTCTATGAGCTTGTGGTAATTATCCAGACAGACCTGTCCATTTATGTAACAGAAAACTGCCTTTACCAAGTGTACATAAGCGTTAATGTACCGCATTTTATGTTTGTGTGTAAGCACTTACTTGTCTATTTTTACGAATATTGTCCTCAAATGCTTTTCGTTTGCGATGCTGGTAATCTCTTAACTCTTCTGGATCGGATATCTTCTGTTTTGGTGGCGGCGGTAAAATCTCCAAATCTCTTTCTTTTGCTTCTCTAAGCAGTTGTTCAGCTGTAATTTGTATTTCTGCAGGAGCTTTGTTTTTTACCTATAAAATTTAAGCATGAAGTGTAAAATAGGTTTATTGTTAAAAGGTGAAATTAAGTAAATGATTTTCATTACCTTAGCCACTTTTGGCATTTTGGTTGTTTTTCCATCCATTTTCTTTGCCTGTTAATATAGGTTCTTTCAGGGAGATATAATCAATTTAAAAGTAAACAAAACACAGTATTTAGTAAATTTTCGTCTGACAGGTGGGTTCACAGCTCGTGAGAGTATTAGTGTTCTGTGGTTTATAGATCACAGACATAGATAAGACTAGCGATGTGCGACTCGAGTTATTTGACTTGAGTAACTCGAGTCAAACCTTAAACGAGTCAACTCGAGTTCAGTTTTAAGCAACTCGAATCAACTCGGTCGTCCGAACGCAAGCCGAACCTTATACGCGGCGGCCTCACGAGTTGTTCCGAGTTACACACGCGGCTCGCGCGCGCGGTTCGTTAGGCGTTGCAACTCGCATCAACTCGCATCAACTCGAGTTGAGTGAAATGTAAAGTTACGTTTCATGCGCGCGCGCCGTTCGTAAGGTGTTGCATCAACTCGAATAGAACTCGGTTTGAGTCGGGCTCGTTCGGCTGGGATCGGAAACGGAATTGCGCAAATGAAAAACCGCTTTAAAAGTTTATTTTGTTTTTTGGTTGACATTTTGTTATTTGATTTTATTAGTTGGCCGTTGGCGATCCGCGTGCGAACTGACATTTTTGATTTGTTAGTGATCTGTTTTGTTTTGTTTGTAACGACGTCAAATAACAGAAGTGTGGCGTGGGAATTCTTTGCTATAAAAACAGAAACTTTTTTTAACTTTATTTTCGATAAGCAATCGACTATGTACAATTACATTTTATAAGTACGACTTTGAGGCGATAGATGGCGGTATTTTTTTGTCGTATTTTCTTAAACACGATGTTGAGATCTGCGCTGGAATAATATACACCTTTGATGATTGATATTCGAAATAAAATGCACACTAGTGCCAATTGATTGTAAATTTTGGCTTTGAAATCCCAATCGTCGGACACTGTTCGAGGTCGAGGTGTATAGAAATAGGAGAGGATTAGTTCTGACCACAAACGAAGTTGCGAATCGACTCGAGTAGCCACATAACATCACGATTCAACGATGCGAGTCAACTCGAGTTTCGATTCAAGTCAGTAGCCAAATCAACTCGAGTAACTCGAGTCAAAAAAAATCCAACTCGTCACATCACTGGATAAGACATATATACTGAAATATATACTGACCTATATAATGACATATATCTAATGATCACAGAGTACTTTGTATTATGGGTGGTGGGTTGAGCTGTAACCTTGCCCGGTACAGATAACTAAAACCTTACTCCCGACTAGGGCCAACTTGAATTGGGACGAAAAAAAAATAAACTTCGCACAGAGACAATTTTGTTGTTGTGTTAGAAATGTTTACATGTCTACACCATAGATTATAACTAAAAAAAAAAAATGTGTGCGTGTACTAGCGTACACTCGTAAGACGTGAAACTTTTTTATGACGTTATTTTTCAAAAAATAATTTACTATATGCAACTTTACAGAAATTGCTTAAATAAAGTTAAATTAGATAAAGTTTAATAAAAGGCTTTTATTATCATAGACATAAATACAAAATCTACAATTATTTCATTTTAGCTTTGTCTAATATTTAGTTTCTTATTTGTAATACATAGGTGGCGTTAGTAATAAATTAAAACACACTATGGTTTGACCGTTGTAATTAGTATGAGGGTCCGCAAAAATTGTTGATTAAAAAACTTACAACGTGAACCTTGTTTATTTCAATTAACCTCACGGAACCAAAATACAACCGCTTTGAATTTGTACATGGTCCTTCGTTGCCGAACTTGCGGACGTTGGATCGACGTCGCAACCGCAAGTTTAAGGAGCCGATCGAGGTTTCGAAGAGCATCATCGGTCAGCTTTCAGATTGTGTCTTCGGTGGAAGGCGCAGTCAGGTCACGGTGGGCGGTGCCTGCCTTTGGAGAAGAGGAAGTCGACACAGTGTCGTGCCCTGAAGTATTAGAGCTAGCACTGTCATCACTACAAAGATTATTATTGAATTTCATTAATTGTAATAGAATTATTACTATCATTGATGTCGTTATTATATATTTGTGTTATTAATGGCTTATGGTAACTGAAATACGAAATATATTGTTTACATTTTAGAATTAGAATTAAAATAAACCCTTTGATTTTGCTGATCACTTTAATATAACATATATATATATATTGCTATGAACAAACGAAGGAACTAACGCCATCTAGCGTCAACTATTAAAACCACTAAAGAATAAAGACGACATAAAACCCCCTATTCAACACTAGATGGCGTTAGAGGAACATTTTAAGATAAAAAAAAGATGGCGCGTAACGGAAAAATGTTACACTAAATTTTTTTCCAACCCCGATAAAGAAGTTTCACTTCAAAAATAGTGTCTGGTGTTATGAACATAGATAGAGTAACTTGGCCTAAAAGTCCTTGATACCATACCATAAAATTAAAAAAAAGATGGAGTAACTTTGCTTAGTATACAGTGTGACCATTTGTGGCAGATTTCTGCCTTTGGGGTTGGGCAGATTTCGCACCTTAAATTTTAGATGTGGCAGATCTCACAAAATCTGCCACTTTTTTGAATCGTCAGCCTACGATTCAAAAAAGTGGCAGATTTTGGCAGATTTCAAGGAAATCTTTAATTTTTTGAAATACATTTGTACATATAAATTAATGTTAATATTTAGAATGCTTATAATATTCTGTGTCGTATTATTTACTTTTATTAATATGGTAGCAAATTATTTTCTGAAGTTTAGAATTTCATCCCACGTTATATAGTACGGGAATTTCCCTATTATTTTCTTTTAATGTAGATGAGTCTTATGATTATGAACGGTAACAAATCAGCAGTAAGGTTTATTTTGTTATTAATGTAATTGATCGAGGCTCATGTCAATGTTTTTGTATTTTCATATTTTCTATTATTCCATACCTTATTCTCTTTTGGCGCTTAATATCTTCCATGCATGATGAAGAGAAAGTACGAGCGTTCGTATCGATAAACTAGATATTATTCTAAAAGAGATTTTCAAGTAAAAACAAAATTTTTAATTTACTTTTTAAATATTTCAAACTTTGAAAAGCTCTTTTAAGTTTGCCTATGTTAAATGAGGAAAATAGAGGGTTTTTTACCTTAAGGCTGTAATTCTAAAGGTGGGCGGATCTAATTTCTGAAAACATCAATCCTCATAAGCGCCGCACTTCACTACACGACAGTGCGAAACCAATGGAGACAGCTCGTCGATCGATTGAAAATGAGTCACGATCTTCAGCAGTGAGGGAACGACCAACAAGAAGATGTTAAATGCCTCATGCGGAAGAATGCCTATTTCATTAATTAATCTGTACTGTCTCCAACGATATTATAATATGATGGCATATTTTTGGCATTTGTCGAAGTTGAGTTTGGCAGATTTTTTGCTGGTGTTGGGCAGATTTGTCATTTTCGAAATGGTCACCCTGTTTGACGTTTGTATACCTTGAGATTTTGAGGTTATATTGGTTCGATTAACCTATACAGTATTAAAATTTATTTAGGTTTATTTGCATTAACTACCTTTATTATAGTTACAGTTTAAAATATATATTTCCAAATGCATTCTTTGTATCGAAGTATAAAATGTTTATCTCAGTGCTACTTGTCAAATAGTAAACGTAAGTATACAAAGACCAATCGGTGAACATACACCGATTATTTATATATTTATTTTATTTTATTTATTATTATATATATTTTTTTATAATTAAGTCATATTTTCTTTTAGATTTTTGCACCCTGCGAAATAACGTGGGTAAATCTTCAGCCAATGAACAAATTGAAATTTTAAAATCGGCGCTGGGAAACAATGTTGAGGATTGGACCGTTTTAAAACGTAATATTCTTTCCAGGCATGGAACTGTTAATGAGAAAAATGTTGACGCTGTTATTATGAAAACCATGGTCAGGAACAAAAAACTTGAATTAGCACTATCCTTTGTAAACCATTTGATGATTTGCAATTCAACATTAAACATTGGCGTAACAAATGGTATTTTAAGTTTATATTATGAAATAGGAAAACAAAAATCATTGTCAGATTCACAGAAGCAATTTGTTTTGAAGACATATGAGGATTTATATGGCAAATATAATGTCTTGGATTATTCAACTGCTGAAATACTATTACATGCTTTATGTGTCATTGATGATTGGAAAAAAGCCTTGAAAGTTTTAGAAGATGTACAATTAAGCTGCACACCAAGTCATTCAGCTTACAGCACATTGATAGGAGCATTGTTTAGAAATAATAAAGAGAAGGATGCATTATTATTGGTTCAGAAAAGTGTGTCTGACTTACGTCCATTGCAGTTTATTGCCTATAAAGAGTGGACAGCTTATTTTTTCAGAAAGTACAAAAACAAGGCAACAATATTGAAACATTTAGACAAAATAAATATACATATTTCCTCAAATTGTGCTGTTATTTCAAAGGAGACTGCAGATTATATTAAAAATACTTATATTTCCATTGGATGGAATGCAGAGTTTTCAGAAATCAGAAAAAATAGGTAAATATTGTTTTTGTTTTATATTACAAAATAGAAGTATAAAAAAATGAAAACTGTCATATACATGTGGTTGTAGGAATTTTCTTTAGTTTTCTTTAATAAATTTGATATTTTTCATTTCATTTTCATGTTAACATTACACAAATGCAGGAATATACTAAAAATAAAATTATAATATAATACTAAAAATAAAAATAAAAATATAATTTATTTATATACTAAACTAAAATATTTGTATGCTATGGGCTTATGCAAATTATTTTTATTTTAAACTTTTTGCACTTAACACTACCAGTCAACTGACAAATAAGCAGAGAAAATAATCAGGTGCGAACATATAAATATACACATATAATACTATTTATAATGGCTCCACAGCTCCACAGAATACCAGCATTGCGATGGCTCCACATAATACCAGCATTGCGGAATTCTCCGTATTTTTTGCTGAGTGGAGACCATTTTTGACATAAAGTCACAGCACAATTCATTCCTTATTACATATACACTATGCATTTTTTTCCTTCAAAGGTTTCTATATGTCTTTTTTGTTTCTTTATTAATAATTTTTATATTTGTAACTTTTTGTACTTATTTTTTTTCCCTTTTTTTAACTTGCTTTTTTTTTATTGAAACGATGTTATGTTTTTATTCATCAATATGTTATGTTCATGTCATTTATTTTTTGAATTTTTTGTGCTGTTTGTTGCTTGTCAAAATAAAGTTTACGTCTATGTCTATATCTATAAAAATGGTATATACAGCGTGTCTTTACACTCGCGACAATAAATTAACACACATATAGGGCATAACAATTTAAAATTGTTTTAAACATTTACATTCTTTAAACATCAATATTTACAGAGTTATTAATTTTTCCAAAACAAAGAATTTTAGAACACCCTTACATATAAAACTGTAACGTAAAGTTCATTTGTAAAGGTCACAAAACATATGAATGGGTTGAATGAATTTAAAAGCCACTAAACATACTGTTAGAAGGATAGGCTTGTAATGCGACGCTGTGGCGCAAGTTGTATAAGATGTTACAAATTTTGTTTCTTTTTTACTAAATTAGTTTGTTTGAAAAGTAATTTTTTTAATTATGGATTTTGTTTAACATTAATATTTTTTTATGATTATTGGCAAGTAGCGTTAGACATGTGTTCATTTATTGTCGCGATGGTAACAACACGCTGTATACAGTACATTTACACACACATATAAAAACACAAATATATACCAACATAGTATTAGATACTTATGACAAGATGGAGAAGATCAATTAACTTAATATTCAATTTTGTCGATTATCTAGATAAAATTTTTATTATATTATTTATTATGTACAATTTATGTTATTTTAATTTAATGTTTATGTGAAGCAAATATTTCATACTTAATATTTTATTAAATTTAATGATAAAATGTGTATAATAATGTTTGCATTTATTATACAGTCAATATATTATTTTGAAGATTATTTATTTTCTAATCAAAAACTGTTAATTATTTTCAAATTGTTATTATTTATTTTAGTGGTCTATGTACATCATGCAACAATACTTTGCAAAATCTCAAATTATCAAATGAAGAATTTGAGTTGCTTCAAAAAAATGTAAAGACTAAACTGATTGTGGGATCAGATCTGTTTCTGAAGAGTTCGCCAAAAGAATTAAATGCCTTTGTGAATTTTGTAGATAAAACTGCACCATATGATGTTGTTTTAGATGCTTTGAATATTGCATATGCTATGGGCAATAGTTCATATGTTGAGAAAATGGGTTTTTTGAAGACTATTGTGGAAATGTTTTCTCGGAAGAATAAGAAAATATTGTTGTTAGGCCGTAAACACATGTTACGGTGGCATAGAAAAACTTTAGATTATATATTGAGTGAAACATGTAACTTTTTCATAGATGACATGTAAGTATTCTAAGGAATAATAATGATTTTTATAATAACTTGAAACTATGTTAAGATTTTAACCTGTAGAAATGGCATTACTACAGAACTAAGACAATTTAAATGTTACATGAATTGTACATTAAGTTTAAAATTTAATAAATTAGTTTAATAATTTAAATTTAATAATTTAATAATTTAGTATCATAAACTAAAATATGCATAATTCACCAAACTTATTAGTCACAGATTGAGTTTCTGACCATATATCAATGAATTCAAAGAAACAAAAATTCTTTGGTGAAAGCTCTTGCAATTTGAATCAGTGCTCTTAGAATGCAGCTACCTAAGTCATCACAGACTTTAAATTTCCTAATGTGACTGTAAATGTGATTGAATGTTTTACATTAGTATTAAGTACCTGGAAGACCGAGCTTTGCTCGGTTTTTTTTTTGGTAAATCATGTATTTTGGAAATAAAAAAATAAAAAATAAAGAAAGCAATTATCTGGTATAGAAAAAAAAGTAAAAAAAATAAGTGTGTTTTGGGGCCGCCTGATTACCGACGGAGCTACTTAACATTTTTTTCGGTGAAATTTACCGTCGTATGATATTCGAGTGATATTTTTCATTCCCTGAAAACTGGGATAAAACCACATTTTATAAAAATGAAACCTAGTCAGATCGATTTTTTGCTCCCGAATCTACGCACATACTAAATTTCATGAAAATCCCTGGAGCCGTTTCCGAGATTCCGATTATATATATATAAAGGAAAAAATAAAATCATTGTGTGCATTTATCGTAATTTTTTTAGCTCACAAGACGACCCTTACTTCATTACAGCAGCTATTGTTAGTGGGCCAAATACAGATATAGTCTCTAAAGACCTATTTCGCAGCCATAGATTTTTATTGAAGGATCAGGCATTAAAGCAAATCTTTCAGAGGTGGCAGTGGCAACATCAATGGATGGTCTTTAGTAAAGGGAAGCGTCCTTTTGTACAGGTAATGGGAATAATAATTAAATTATACACATTAAAGGAGACTACACCTGAAAACTTAATTGTGTAATAAGAGCAACAGCAATGAAAGTTAAATGATGAAGCCTTCAGTATGGTTATTAAGTCTTGTATAAAAAATCTTAAAAGCTGTGGTAATGCGATAAACCTGAGTTTGTTTAATTCTCATTTTACTAATAGGGACTATGATATGTCAATTACCAATTAAACAGTATTTTAATTCATTCATTTGGGCGTACCTTAGTTTGTGTTGTCACCATTAATGCTGTAAAGGGTTTGAAATGTAGTAAATTAAAAATTAAAAAAGTGTGTGTGTTTTTGTACACGCGTTAGAAGTTATACTTGTTTGGTGTAACAAGATAAAAAATTTTTCAAAAATTTTATCTTTCGCCTTTTCTATGTCTGTAGAAAAAAACGACACAAAAAATAGAAATAAGGCATTTAATACATTGAAAGTTTTATTATAACGCATTATCTAGTTAAATAAAGTTTATTTAAATATCACAAAATAAATATCGTTAATACAGTTGTCAGTTCTCACGCAAATATACGTAGATGTTTAGCTAACTTCAGGGTGTCGGTTTTTCGTGATGGTGTGCGGGCGCATCGTAAAAATTTATTCTCATCATTTTTTCCTAACGCGCCAAAAGAAGTATAACTTCAATAATTTAACATTTAAAAAGATAAAATGTATGAAATTTTAATTGTTACAAGTTTATTTGCAATTGTTACAAGACATTGTTATTTAATCTTTATTAAGTTTCATTTTAGTAACGAAGTATGAACATACTTTATTAATTTTTATTTGCAGCCACCTCTACAATTTACACCTTGCGCCCAGAAAGGCTTGGATGGTTGGCATTTACCATATGATAATGAGGAGTCTCCTGGAATGGAGAATACTATACATGATGGAATTCCAGATTACAATAGCTGGTTGTGTTTGAAGCCAAAAGTTGTAGATAGTGGTGTAAAGAAATAAATAAAATATTATATTGCTGATTTTATTTTAAACATATCCCTGTATGTTTTTTTGTTGGTATGCAATATCTTCCAAAATTCCTTATCCACCAGTTAAAGCTTATGTTTACCGCTACTGAAGACTAGAATAAATGTTTATATGAAACAATTTTATGGATTTTATCGCGTTTTATTTTGATCCCGTTCCGACATTTTCACTCAGTTTCAGCGTTGTTGTTGTCATTCCCGTGACCAGTGGAAAGGGTTTTATTTAAAACTTAAATTAAAACGTGATCATATCCGTAAAATAGTTTCATGTAAACATACCTAATATTCGCGTAAAACAAGGAATGAATAGAATAGAATATAAAGTCAGGGTTCCGTACCTTAAAAGGCAAAAAGGAACCCTTTCTAAGACCACTCTTGTTCGTCTGTCTGTCCGTGTCACCACCGATTTTCTCAGGAACGGGTGTACCGCAGTTGCTAAGTTATTGGCTACGGGGTTGGGTTTGATTCTCAGACGGGACAAGTCTTTGTGTAACAGACAAACAATTTGACTCAGACAATTTTTCCGGATCCGAGTGTTTGTTACAAGGAGGGTTAACTTCAGGCAGGCGGCCGGTCTTAAAAATCTGTCCATTGCTATTAAAAACATCATTCACATGTTGCGCCGACCCACCTAGGAGGGATAAGGGTAAGAGACTTCTTGGCTCCAATACGTTAAATTTTATGATTGTTTATCGTTTTAAAACTTCTTGATACTTATCTATGACTGTTGTACAATTTAAAAATAAACTAATATGATATGTTAAATTTTACGTCAAATTGAACGTAGCCAAATAGATACTATATAAATTGTCCGTTAATTTTTTTATAAATTAAAATTTCTAGTATTACGTCTTAGTCTATAATCATGCCGTTATTTAAAAGATCCAAAAATAAAAAAAACAAGTCTTCGGATAGATCGCCTGGATCTGATTCAGATCTCGAAACATCATCTGATCAGAATGTTAAAATTGCAAAAAGTAATTCAGGTAAAACTTTAAAGAGTCCACATAATCTATTCTAAGTGAAGCATCCATTTCTACGGTTTTAAATTAATCATGAAATTCCTGAGTAACAAAACCAAATTAAACGACGTAAGTGCATTAGAGAAATTATTTTGTCAAGGATCGATCGCACTTGATGATCCAAGTTGTCGTTGCCATGCATTATATTTTGTAAAATATAGATTGATTATTCTCTAATGAAAGTAAAATTATATTATTATTATTATTTAAATACATGGTAAAAATTTTAATTTTTTACGTAAAAGTTTATTAGCTCTCACTTTAAAGGCAACCCATGATGGAAGGGTTAAGCGGACGCTTGATAATGTAGGGAATGAAAAGTAGCCACAAAGAAAGATGAGTTCATACATTAAATTACTGCACACATTTTGAAATGTGTTTTAAGGTGAAGTGCCTATTCGCCACTCGCCACGATTACGAAGGAATATGGAAAGAGTTGAAATGCTCGCCAGACCAACTTCTAGGCGACTACGTTCTCTTTGGGACGAAAAATGTGCCATATTGCCAGCAGACAGGAGGGATAAGATAAAGAGTGCTTTGGAAGAGGACTACTTTCTCAGCCCAGAGTACGCTTACATTTTATATTGATTCTATTCAAATTAGGTTGTGATTACGACCTGTAATGATATACTAAATAGGTAGACTATGTATAAAATATACTATATATAATATAGACTATAATAATAGGAGAACTATTTATTAACTACTTAAAGAATTATGTTAGCAGTTCAATTAGTTATTTTAACTGTTTTATGTAACTGGGATAACTGTCATTCTTATATAGACAAACTGAGCAATACTTCCAAGCATTAAGTCACACAAAACAATGGTCAGCCTTAAGCGGGTCTGTCAACCGCAAGGAACACGCAGAAATGGAGCGGGAGTTTCGGCATAGGGAGAAATGGTTGATCAATTTTAGCGCACAGGTTTGTTTTAATGATGTTTTTGTTTCACAAAATACAATGACATATCAACGGAAAAAAGGACTTGGGGTGCCGAAATGACTACTATGTACAGACCTATTCATACTAAAGGGTCTAATGTTTTGTTTATCCTGAGTAAATTAATAAGAAATATATTCATCTACTTTTATCTGCGTTTTTTTTAGGAATGTACATTCCTATTATAAAAACAATTAATATTTTATTTTAAAAGTTACCATCTAATAGTTAATAATAATTATTAGATGTTGTGATGAAAAATTTTACCTTGATTCGTAATGTAGGTGGCGTACCGCTTGTGCGATTACATTGCTAAAGGGGAGAAAGAGATGTTGGTCTCCAACAGATTGAGGAGCATTGCCGATGTTGTCTTGGAGCGAGTGGCAGAAATACTTGGTAAATAATTTAGTTTTTCTGCTATAGCAGTAATATATAACTAGTTAGAGATGTTTAAATTCTAATTAAATAAAGCTTGGAATTAAAATTTGAGGAAGGTACCTAAGCACGTGAATTTTCGAAATGTATTTCTTAACGAAAAAAGTATTTAAAAACGAAAATGGAAATAAATCCCATCTCAATACGGCAACGAGACTTAGGACCCTTAATACCTAAATAGCACTTCAAAATTGCAATATTTTGTCATTTCTATAATACATTCAATGTCGACAACCTCCAATTTCTTCTTCTTCCTTCTTAAATGTAGCCTTTATTAATGATGTTATAAAAGTAGATTCGTACGAATGAAAAAAAAATATTACATACATGCATAAAAACATATCTCAATCTTTAATAAAATGTGTCTGCAGTACTTTGATTGACGGGCCTTCGTTGTCTCTTTCTAAATCCAGGAGAGCCCAAGCCGTCCCGCTCGCACCCGGGGCGCCTAGCTCGCTTCATGGTGGCGATATCCGATCGCATCGCGGTCTGGATTGAAAACGCCGTGTATCGCGCCAACGCCCTCGAGTGCCGCGATTCGGAAACCTTCGACGAGCACGTGCGCCTCGATGGCGATCAGACGCTCGTGCGCTAGTTTGCTTTAGGTACCATCTCCGTCAGGGCCGTGCCTGGGTATATGGCCGCCTGCGTGCCAGTCTGTATGGCCGCCCCCAGGATAACATTAAAAAAAAACTACTTTAATTTTTAATGTTTATTATTTTACACAGGGCATCAAACCGGGAAAAAAATCAGTTTTTGGTTAACCGAAATCGAGAACGATAAAAAAAACTTTTTATTAAATTTCACCACACGAACACACAACTAAAAGTTTTCAGGAATTAAGCAATTTATTTTTATTCGTTAAATTAAAGAATTTAATAATATCGGATCACACACAGGACACAAATAACGATTTATCCTCGCTAGTCTATAGACTAATACGACTAATAAGACGAATAAGACCGCTTACGCGACGCCGGTCAATTGAAAAAAACTATTTCGGCTCGTCGCTCGTGCAATGTTCGAAAAAATTCGGATTCGCTGCATGACTAGGTATATAAATACTACAACGACCTAATCAGTTTTTATACCTTTCTTATTTCTGAGAAACTCTTTTTAGATAGATTAGATTAGAGAAACTGTTTTTACTTCGTATCTTAATGAAAACAAACCGATTGTATTTTTGCCCAGTAAACAACTTGTAACGATTTGGCCGCCTCTTAATTTCGGCCGCCTGCGTGCGGTGCACGCAATGAACGCCCGTCAGGCACGGCCCTGATCTCCGTTGTTCCCTACTAGAGCCTTCTCTCTATTATATCCTTTCCCAACTATTTCTGCGACCGACACATAGTTGTTTCGGATCTGGGTGTTTGTTACGTCCTTGCAGCATGGGATAATGTCATCCTAAAGTAAGCGCATTGCTTTAAAAAAAAAATAAAATAAAAAATAATTAGTATGGAAATTGATGCGTTACAAGTGAAAGTAAACTAAAGTAACAAGTTTCAACGGTGGTAGGGCCACGCAACCGTCCTCGCTGTTGCACGTATGGGCAGGTCCGACCGGGGAAGTACCACGACCCGGCAGAAGACTTGCGTGAAGTGGGAATGTTATATTTATGCGTTTCGTCTGTTGAGTGAGGTGGCCGGAGCCCACTTTATTAAAGGTGGCAAGGCATCCCTACGTGTCACTCACGCGTGTCACCTTCTCACATAAAAAAAAATATAAAATATGTATATTAAATTTTAAATATAAAATATTTAAAATTTAATATACATATAAAACAATAAATTAAGAATATGCAGTTAACACCAAAAAATAAATGTCAGTGTTGCCTTATAAAAAGAAAATGTCCTTACTACTATTATTGAAACGGGCCATCTCAAAAAAGACTAAATGTGTATAGAAATTAGCACGCTCTGTTATTGGCAACAAAAATTACGATTGTGAATAGAATTATCTTTCGCATTGTGCGTAGATTTCATAATAGATTTAATGAAGCATCCAATGTAACAAGTTTCACGATTGTTTGCGATAAAACGAGCTTTTAATCTAGTTAAATGTATGCTAACAATTTCAAGTTCACAACAAAGAGAATATTTATTACATGATGCAACTGAGCCGACTTGTATCGTCACGCGACATGGCGATTCAGTGCTGAATTAATCGTTAACTCGTTATGAATTCTGAGCTGTGCCCATAACGGCGCTTGGCAAGCTATTTGTAATGCAATCGAACTATTAACGGTGTTTCCTATTTGATAAACTAAACCGCTGGTTTAGCGAATATACATACGTGAGTGTTGTACATCACGCCGCGCAATTATTGTCACAATTGATCGTTATTGTGATGTTATTAAGTTTCTGTTATTCTTGTAAGCTTAAGGATGTTTCCAGCAGCGGAATTGATGTTATGTTTAAGTTTCTAATTTTACAGTCTCTTTAAACTTTAAAATATATTTAAACTAATAATATATGTTACTTATTTGATAAACAGTTTAAAATTGGATAACAGCGAGAGAAACAGTAAATTTGTTCGTTGTGACTTATTTATTAAGTAACACTAACCAAGCATTTTTAAGATTGTCATCTGAGAGATGATATCATCTATCTTAATGTCGGCGGACTAGAATATAGGCAACTGTGTAGTCGGAAGATAATACTGACTTTTAGCTTGTTTAGCAAGTGAGTTCTTGTGACCATGCAAATATGATAGGATGATAATAATAATATACAAATATTTAGTAAATTTATTTATTACAAATTATAGATACTGCAAAGGAATTAATAAATGTGTATCATAGACTATGATACATATTGATTCGGGGATAAAACTTATGCAAACCATCCAGTTTGAAAACCATGTTGCTGCAAAATTCTTATTAATATTATTATTCTTTATTGTACACAAAAAAAAAATACAGTTACAAATAAAGGATACAAAATGACTGTACAAAGACGAGCTTTACACTAAACAGAGTTATCTGCCAGCAAACAAGTAATCAAAGGAAAATAGTTACTAATAAGTAATTGAATAGTTCTAATTTTTCTATTTTTCAAATTTTTCTATTATTCTATTTTTCTAATTTCCTCTAATTTTTCTATTTGCATCTCGCTATCGTTGGGTTGCAAGACGACTTTGAGGTGTAAAATGTGCACTATTATGATGATGTATAGTAATAATATAACCTCGAGCATCGTATTGGCCATTGTACAGTAGGACGACCCCATCTAGATGGAGTGACGACCTATGCAAGTGTGCGCGAAGCCGATGGATGCAGGTGGCTCAGGATCGTATTTAATGGCAGTCTTATGTTCAGCAGTGGACTCAAAGGGGCTGAAATGATGATGATGATTTTAATAATGTGCTATTATGTTATATTAGTAAAGGGTTAGAATTGTGGTGGATATAACAATACGAAGCTTTATAATGATTACATATTTGAAATCAACTATTTTACGACCGAGGATTTAATATCTAAATTTCGATTTGTGGCTGTGCAGACAGTTATAGTGATTTATTATTTATTAACCTATTGTCGGCGTCTGGTGGTCAGACACTGTTTCAAATTATCGAAATAATGCGTTAGTAATCGGTGCACCTTTATACGTGTCATTAGTACGGACCTCAGGATGCGAAATAATATGTATTTATTAAACATGTAGGTAAAATCGGTATAAAGACAAAATGCAGTTTACATCCATGATAATTCATTAAACTAGAAATAACAAACATATTAAAAAAAGAAGTTTACAATTGTTCACACTGAATGTAGAAAATATATATTGAACAATCACGGAGAAGCTTTTAATTGAAATATCTTTACGGCGTTAAAGTTACCAACCATTGAGAATTATCAGCCAAAAAAGGAACTTTTCTTTTACATATATCGGCAACAAACTTGCAGATCGATAAATTAAAACGGGAGACTCACGACTAATTGATATCGTCGCGCTATAAAATACTTTAGCACCTGAGCTTTACACCTTTTTCTCGTTTCTTGTGCGCTTATTACAAAACATACCGTCTTTGTTTATTAATAACATATGACATTTCATTACGGCAAATAGGGATTCGGTAATGAAAATGACTGGTTCAATTTATATTATTTTATTATCAGTTCCATAATTTATAGCCGTTGTGTAGGTGTTTTGTTGCCAGCTTCTAAGTTATGTGTATTTTAAAGACTTTTAATGTGAAAAGTTATGAAGCTAGCAAGCGGGTCACCTGATGTTAAGTTATTACCACCGTCCATGGACACCTCAGACACCTAAGGGCGAATAACTTTAAAAAAGATGGCACCTTCAATCAGCAGACGAAACGCGAAAGTATACAATTTTCAATTCACTTGGGTCTTCTGTGAGGCAATAGTACTTTTCTGGATGGACTAGCCTGCTCATTCGTTCAACAGCAGAATCTGATGCGTGGCCCTGGTGGATTTATGCCAAATGGATTGCAATACTTTCGTCCTTTCATACAAATGCAATTGACATCAAATATTTAGTTATGTAAATATTAGTACAATCATTACCATGCCGACTTATGTATTTGAATTATCATTACAACGCAGCGGTAAAAGTATTGTCAATAAGTCCTGGTATCAGTGAAATTAAGTGAATGCATAGCATTCTTAAAGTTTTTAAGTTCTCATGGAGTGATCTGCATTTCTGATTAATTCAGATATCTGATATTTCGAGAAATTGTGAAGTCTACTAAATCGCATTAAAGCTTCACGGCCAAGTGTGCCGTAAGTCAACAGATATATTTTTGTCGTATAGCTTGTTATGTTACTTTAGTTTAGATTATTTGATTTATACAGCTAATGGACGACATTGACATGTATTTGTCCGCATTTATGTTTTCTTGTTCTAATTCCTTTAACATTTAAAATGCAAAAGAGCTTCGGCCTTGGTCCATGCTTACGTATAACATTGCAATAGTTTTACAACAATTGCTTCTAGATTGCTGTATATTCCCTTGTTTTCTGAAACCCTGTACAATTTGCGCAGTGTAGTTCAAAGTAGCACTCTATCTCATAATGAAATTTATCGTACGTATCTACTTCACTATGTATTTAATTTGATTGCGTATTGTTTAATATAACTTGTTACAACTTAAACTAGTTGTATTTACTTAATACTACTACTACTTAATTAAAAGTTAGACTAGTTGGAAACGCAGTTCTCTAATCAATTCTTTCTAACTCTAGATTATCTTTGTCCTGTGCTTGGTGGCACTGGCCGCTGCTAACCCCCAACTGCTCACTTGGCCTGGTATTGTGGCTCCACTTGCCCCGAGAGTAAGTTGCTTGTGTTTTTAAATATACCCTAATATTAGTATTGTACTAATATTAGATCGTGCTAATATTAAGATATAATTGTTGTTTTAGGTCATTTTACAATTTTCCATTTCAAAATAACAATTAGCAAAAAATGAAAAATTTTGAAATAAAACATAAATGATAATTTAGCCCTGTGTTGTTGTTCTAGAAACAGTTGTTAATAATAAAATATGAAAAAAATGCACAAAATTCCGCCCAGCGTGTGAGTTTTAATGGGTATGAAATACTGAACGAAAAACACCGAACGATTTTTA